GAATAATTCTGTACTTTACTAAAGAAACAAAAACTTTCCAGGAATTATTAGCCGATATCGGGCACGATAGACGAAGTTTAAGTGCTAAATTGTTAAATCCCTTCAATTCCAAAGGGTTACAAAGGAAACGAGACTATTGACACTGTCATCTAACAAATGCATACCATAAAGACCAAATGAAATGGATTTATTTCGATAATTAAAGTCAAATGGATTTGACTGTAGACTTGACTCTGTTGGTAATACTAAGGAGTTTCGATTTGACTTTTGTTTTCAAATCGTTGCTTGATTCCATCTCAATGTAAGTTCACAGTTAAGATTTGTGAAGCACCATTATCCTCACAGTCTAAGTTCGATTTTGACCAATCCAACTTGTGAGTTTCTTTAACTAAATATGCCTTGTCAATAAACCTTTGTCGAATAAGTCGGTTTCTATTTGATGGACGTAGCAGTGTTTTTGATGTCATTTGTTTAAATATGGCTAATGTCAATTGAAGTTTCAAGGCCAGCATATCTCGTATATGTTTCTTGTTTGTTAAGTCCGTCCGCTTGTTTTTATTATCATCGCCTTTTCTAAATGCCTTGGCACCCAAGTCAGGTGATTGAATATTAGAGTTGATGCTGGGTGTTAGTATTCGAGTCGATGAACTCACGCTGAACCGGCAAAGTCACTTAATGGGTCCGTCTTCACTCGCGACTTTGTCAGAATTTCTCAACGCGTTCCGGCAATGCGCCATCCAACACCAAAGTAATGAAACGCGTTTGCGTAATTCAACAAACCCACGAATGAAGACGGGTAGTGCCAGCAAGATGAAGGGTTGTGGGTGTATTCTTCCACTGCTGAATCTAATCAAAAAGTATGGTTTAAAAAAGCTAACGCAGAGGGATCAAAGAGCCGAAATGGTTGCTTCCTAGTCTTCAACCCAAATTGAAACTACCCCTACCATTAAATAAAACATACAACTTTTGAACTATACGGCCAAAATGGGGTTGACCAGGTCAATCAGGGCGGTCAAACTGCAAACTTTCTAAAGTCGTAGAAAAGTTTAATTCCAGCAAGATTGTTTCTTATTCCTTTCTTTATGTAAATGTGGGTTTTTCTTTCAATTAGGCGTACTGTTACTATTTAATAATAATAATAATAATGTCTAATATATATTGTGATAGATCTTATTTGTTCGAGTTAATTTGATAATTGTCCTAGCTCAAAACATTTTCCGATTTTTTCTTCCAATGGTTTTAAGCGAACGTTTTATTGACCAATTTTACAGAAAAAATGTTACGAATTGTCGTACTGGCGTCGGGGACGTAAAATTCGTGTGGCGACCAACCCTAACAGGATGCCGTTAAGCCAATTAACGGAAGCCGTACGACTTCGATGTATATAAAGTTGTCGCCGGCTTCTGAAGTTTCTTTAGTGTGAATGACACAGGTCTCTGCTAAGGTACGAAGTTGACATGAGGACGGTCGGACAATTCTTCACAGGACAAACAGTAGGTCTAAAAACAATCCTCTACCACTTTTCTTTCTATAACAAACATCCGCAGTCTACAGTCGACACTTTTTTTTACAAGATTTTCTAACAGGAAAACACCCACAGAAAGACTTCTCTTACATAATCAGAAAGTATCTTATTTTTAGCTTAAAACGTTATTTTGATGTTCAATTTATTCGTCATGCCTTATTTATACAAAATATCAAGCATTTTACTTGTACAGTTTTAACTAATAACAAATGAAAATCCCTCAAAAAAATCAATTTTTATGCATCTAAGATCGATCAGAGTAAGAGAGTGACACTGTTTGGTGACTTTATTACTGAATTTTTCGACCACGTTTGTATAACTCAAACTTCATTATGAAGACATCATCACTCTTATCTTGTTTAATCTGTAAACGGTTTATATTACAGCAAAAAGTAACTATTCGTAATTTTTTCTTAATTGTTAAAACAAATCAAATGTCATTCAATATTGTTTTTTGAAACTGTTCCAGGTCATTGGGCGCAGCTACAAAGGAAATTTTCAGGGGTTGTGTTAGCTGTTGGACACTGCTCAAGATTAGGTTGGTTACTCTTGTGCGTGTGACAGCGGCTATCACAGCTCTTGCTCAGCCCCATTTCCAGCAGCAACAGACATTGGGTTTTGAAGCTCCCAACATTTATGCTGTTTTTTTGCAGTTTTCGACTTTTTTTTAAATGTTTTATTTGATTTCGTGATTTTTTTAATAAAAATTATTTCATGTATTAATGTATAAAAAGGCAAATTTTTGTAGTTTGTTTAAAGTTATGTATAATAAAATTAATTATAATCAATCAATGGTATGAAGATGGCTTGTTTTTGACAGATATTATGTATGAAATCTTATTTTAATTAAGTATCCAGTGATTTATAATTTTATGTAAATTGTAGTTGAGTTGAAAAGATTAGTGTCATGAACGGGACTCCAACCCATGGCCTTTGGCTCAATACACCACTGCTTTAACCACATGAGCTATCGTGTCTTCAGTACCCCCTGAGACACCAACTGATCATTTCAACCTACAACTTTTTTTGCCCCCTCAAATTCCCCTCTTTTTTGCCTCATATTCAAATTTCATGTTACTGTTTTGGACACGACGAACTTGTGGAAAAAAATTGTAAGTCTTTTGTTGAGATGTACAAAGTGATGAACCTGTTCTTCCTAACATCTTGGTCTGCCCATTCTTGCTGGTTTGATCTCATTTTGCCTTTCTCTGTGGTATTGTGTTTTAGTTTTAACAATCACCCACTCAACTTGAGGCATTCTGCACTTTGCCTAGAAAGTGAAAAGCACCAAAGCCCTTTCACATTCACCCATTTATCCAGAATTGTTCATTTGTCAAGAGTGACGTTAAATTGTTTATATTTAATTTATTTCATTTTAGTAATCTTGTAACTTGCTATAAATTGAGTTTGAGAAAAGTGTATCTTTAACTTGAGGCAAGGGAATTGGTCAAGGGACAAAACCAATAAATGGTAATGAATGTATTAAAATTTTAATAAAATAAGTATTCAAAAAATAATGTCTCTGTAGCTTTTAAAACTCAAACAAAATTCTTTTTTCTTCAGGTAATGATAGTTAATATAATAAGCTGATATAATATATATTGTCAAGCAATGCAGTGACTTTAAGACATAGGGTTGCCTTCTTTTTCTTTTCTTTTTTTTTTTCCTTCTAATTTTTCTCCACTTCTGATCAATCTCTCTCCTCACTCGCCAAATGTTTTCAATGAGCCCTACATTTTGTGTGCTGGAGGAGATGACTTGTTCGCTGTCACACCATACATTAATTTTGCAATAATGTCCTTAATTTTTAAAAAATGTTCACTGTAGTATACAGTAGCTTATACCAGAATGGGAAGAATGAGCCAAAGGAAAACCGCTAAAAGCAAATTCCTACTGATACACTGACAGCTCCAAAGCTGATAAGGGCATGGTGGCTGGAGTCTTCGGGATGAATCCAAGGACTGAATTGGCTCCAAACTTAGGTAAATTCGCTACCATTTTCCAGTCTGAAATCATGTCGATTGAACATTGCACCAGACAGGGAAATAAAAAGGGAAGGAATACATTCCGGCAGATAGCCTTCTTTTCTGACAGTCAGGCAACACTAAAGGCCTTAGCCTCATGCGAGGTGAAGGCAAAAAGTGTTTGGAACTTCATGGAGGGGGGCAGAAGTCACCAATGACCTGACCCTGGCATGGGTCCCTGGGCATTTGAGGCATAGAGGCAATGAGAAAGTGGACATTTTGGCCAAAAAAGGAGCCAATATGAATTCTCTAGGCTCTGAAATCTCCTGTGGCCTAACATCTTGCCATAAAAGAGTATACATCTTAAAATGGATCCTGATAAGTCCAAAGTTAAATGAAATAATACCCCAGGCATGAGGCACATGAATAGGTTCATAGAAGGGCCATTCACAAAACTTGCCAGGGAATTACTGGAAGGCAACAACAACCGAACCAGGGTTTTGTTTGTACTCCTGACAGGGCACTGCCACCTAAAAAGGCACATGCACCAGACAGGCGTATAGACAGAACAAAACACTGTGCACGAGAAGGAGACCGCAAAATGTTTTTTGTGAAGGTCTTTGTAAATACAGATTCTTGGAACTAGGAGAGGAAAAGCTTTAAGCAAGTGCCTACACTAAGAAACCACAGGCAAGGCTACGGAAATTGATTAACAATCTGAAGCTGGGCAGTGAATTATAAAAATAAAGAAGCGCACTAGATATATTCAGGTCGCGGAGCAGAAGGCCATTCTTAGCCACTTCTTTTATCCGTGATCCTAAGCGATAGCTTCTACCAAGGCCTCTCTCATTTAATTACATGTTGTGGTAGAAGCATGAAATCTGGATGGTTGTCCTTTAAAACTCCTAATCTACTCAGCACTAAGGAAATCCTTTTTTATGTTTGAAATCAAAGGATCCACAACTGAAAATTCACTTTTCTCGATATTTTTGTTTACATCTTGAAATCTTTAGTTCTCTGAAACCCTTTTTACATTTTTGCTCATTTTTATCCATTTTCAATATTTTTTAAAATTAAATATGGGCCAAATTATGTAAATTACTGTACAATATGTAAAATTCTCCAATTATTTACAAATATTTAAAATAAAATATTATTTGCTTCTAAAGCATGAAACCTGAAATAAAAATTTCTAACACTAAGTACAAGGCTCAGAAAAAACCGATGTAATCATTATAAATCCAGTCCCCAAAAAACTGGATTACTCCCAAAAATATAATTTTCTTTTTTCAACTATTTAAGTATATAAAATGTTTAAAATATGCAAAAACGTTGAATTTAAACTATGGTAATTTATTTCAAGGAGAGAAATGTGTTTTTGTTTGTAATATTGTGCTGCATAGCAATTTTTAAATAAAAACAAATCATTTTAACTATTTTTCCATCTAAAAAAATAGGGCTAACTTTCAGCTGTTTTTGTTAGCATCTACTGAAAATTATTCATAAATATAACTTTTAGCATCCTGTCAAGTATATTCTATATACTCTTATTTTACAAATTTAAGAATTTTGATAACAACAAACAAAGGTTCAAATACTTTCAAAATGATAACATAAATTTATACAGATTAAAATAGTAATAGATTATAGAAAAGAGGGCAGTGGACAAAAGCCTTCTAAAGATTAAGAATTGCATTTTGTACCTTCTACTTCTTAACGACCAGAAAAGGGTTAAATTAACTTAAACTTTATATCGAAGGTAAGACCTTTTGGGACTACTTATACGATAAGTAAGTAAAGTGTAAACAACTTGATTTGATATTTTTAATTCTGTAATAATGAAAATATTAAACATTAGGATGCTCATATCAAAGAAGAACCGGCATGCTATATACGAGACTTTATTCAAAGAAGGTGTTATGGTGGCGAAGAAAGATTACAACGAAACAAAGCACCCAGATCTTCAGCACATTCCTAATCTTCAAGTGATTAAGACAATGCAGGTTAAATATTGGAAACTAGATTGGGATATTTTGTCTTTTTAATATAAATAACTTTCTTATACAATACTAAAGCCAAATTTGTTGTATAGTTTTTCATATTTTTTCCAAACAGGGTGTCCCAGTTCCTTCTGACAAAACTCAGGGAATCAATTCTACTTTTCGTTTGGAGCACAAAATGCTCATGAAAAAATTTTCGGAAAGTTCTCTATTTTGAAATTTGAATGTAAAGCATATTAGATGAAGAAGTTTTTGTGAAATTTGACAAGTTGAAGGTATTTTTTTGTAACCTCAGTAGAACGTGCAATCATGACCAAAATTTTAAATTTTGTAATTTTGACATGTTCCAACTGATATTGGCTAACATTTTGTCATTCAGATTATTGCAAATAGAAGTATCTTACAGCAAATTTAGCATTCTTTCAAATGGTGTAACTGGATTTGTTGTAGTCTTAACATTTTGGAAGTTGTAAGCGTTTTTATGTGGTAAGGTAGTGAAAAGTTGAAAAACCTAAATTGACGAATATCTTTAAAATAGAGAACTTTCCGAAAAAATTTTCATAAGCATTTTTTGCTCCAAACGAAGAGTAGAATCGATTCCCTGAGTTTTGTCAGAAGGAACTGGGACACCCTGTAGACATCTCCAAATTTAATTGCCTTTATAAACCTAAGAAAACATGTATTACTTCACAGAAAATTGACTTTGCTTGCACTATTGTGAGAACTTACAGTTTAATTAGCATTTATAATTTTTTATTGATTTCATTATTCAGTTCTTTTTTATTAGATTTTATATTAGATATCTAATATGTTTTATTATATTTGGGTTATGATTTAATTTTAGAGTTTGAAATCCAGAGACTATGTCAAAGAACAGTTTGCCTGGAGACATTATTACTGGTACTTGACCAACGAAGGAATTAGCTTTCTACGTAATTACCTTCATTTGCCATCAGAAGTGAGCACATTACTAAAAACAATGTTCCTTAATTTTTCATTTAAACTGTGCTACACATATTTTTAATAGATTATTCCGGCTACCCTCAAACGTCCCACAAGGAGTGAAACGGCCAGGCCTAGGATTTCCGCCATCCGTCCTGACATCACTCGTGTCGACGAAGACAGGTCGATGTATCGTCGCACTACACAAGCACCCGATAAAAAAGCAGACGCAGGAGCTGGCTCTAGTGATGTTGTTTTTGTAAGTAATTCAATTTGTTTTCTGTTTTATCAAGATTCTTTACCCTATTTTACTTTCTGTTTCAGAAAGGCTATGGCAGAGGGAGAGGTGCTCCATTATAATGTTAGAATTTTTCCATTGTTTATAATCAATCTTAAACAAAACTTTAAACAATTGTATTATGAACCTGTCAAAATGAAAAATTTTAATTTAAAATTAAACCAATAAAATTATAATGATTTCTAATTATCAAATAAAATTTGATTGTAATAACTAATAACTTTCTACTCTTTCTCAAACACAAAAACCAATTATAAACCCCTTAGGAAAATTCCTAACTGTATGATGAATGACAGACATCCAGACTCTGTTCGTCATAACTAACTCGTATATGATCCTACCAGTCTGCAGAAAATCTTCAATACAACAAAAGGTACCAAGACCATTGGACGCAAATATGAAACAGCTAGTGCTGGGTCTCAAATTTTCAACGAGCGGATGTGTATTCTGGGAGTTAGAAACGCATAGACCCAATAAAACATTAAATACTAAAGACTTGGAAGGTAAAACGGAATCAATAAAATCTAGTTTTGAAATCAAGAATTGCAGAAATAAAAAGGTGGTTTACATAGACAGGTCGAAATTGAAGAATGGAGTCAGTGCAGCTATGCTAGACCCAGGAAATCAGATATTAAAAAAGCTCTATACAATATACAGGCTATGGCTGTATACAAAGCTTTGAAATATATGCATGCTACTTCAAACTAAGAAACCTTCATAATCTACAACAGCCTTAGCAGCCTACAGCTGGGTTTCCACAGTACAAAATTTACTTGCACAACTGTTTCACGAAACTAGTCTTATGTTGTGAAGATGTAGCCGAGACTGCAAAATTTTTGGCGTGAGGATGTTTCACAGTGAGCCAACCTGCTGTTGGCTTTTTAGTTTGCAACAAAGTTTTCTGTATTGTTGTAAATGCTCCATGTAAGCTCTCTTCTCTCGAGTATATGAATGAATCAGGGCTTATCCGAACGTATCACAGCTACCGATTTTTGTGGGATGCTAATGATAAAACTCATGAGAACAAGAGAGAGTATGCGTGGAAGGAAATTAGTATCAAAATGGGACAAATTGTTGGTACTCATAAAGCAAAAGAAACTCTAATGGGGTTCGCCAATGAAATAATTATTTGATCCACCAATAGCGTTTTCTTTGTTTGTTTTTCTTTTTAACAAAAAGTTTCGCCATGATAGCAAAAGCTGATGTAGCAGTGTAGTTATAAACAACATGCTTGTCTCACACAACTGATAGCTCACCTTGTTCCACATTTATGTTATGAAATGTTTCACCTTGTGGAAATGGTTAACCAGAGACAGCATTTCACGAGTAATTCTCATGTTTAGTAGGACGAGTGATTTTTTCGCAGTGGAAACCCAACTTACCATCCATCAAGCGAATGGCTAACCAATAGGACCTCCCTAATAGATATAAAACCAGAAATCTTAGATACTCTTAAAGAAAAGTAATTTGGCATCCTCTTAAACTTGTTCAAAGCACAAAGTCTATAGACACAGCAATGAAGTAGAACTACTCGCAAAAGAGCCACAGAATGAGATCAAATCAAACATAATTGTAGCATGTAATATCAAGACCCAAGAAACAAACGGCAAGAGAAGGTTGGCAAAAGCAATAAATAAACCTAAACTAACAAAAGTTCATCGCTACAACGCCAATGTTCAACTTACGTTACAGGATACATTCTGGTATCTTAAGGTTAATAGACTGAGGAAATTCTTTACAACTATATGCAGATTGCATTTTAGCCACAAACAGCTACCACACCAACTGGCCAAAAGGAAGCCGATGCCGGTCAGAACTTCAAAAGTGCGACAAAGAGAATAAAATTTTATAACATATGAATTCACTAATTACAACCCTACACTGATGAAATGCCAAAAGACAACAGGAGAAAGATTTGAAAATTAATTAGAAAAGCTGAGCCTGTATAGTAATCATTTGATAATTATCTATCTTCTTGGTCTGCCTATCCGCACTAATTTTGTCTGTCAAACATGTAACTCATATTCTGATGATGCCTTTTTTTCTTTTTTTTACTTTTTCACAGGAGATTTTTTTAAACTTAATTCTTGCCTACTGAGGCAGAGGTAGGTTTTGTTTCCCTTGATGAGATGACGATTAATTTCTTTTATCGTTTTGCACCTGGTGAATTTACCCAGAATGTGGTCATTATTTCTTCATATATTTGTTCAGTTCCGTTGTTAGCATGATTTGTGATATTTCAATTTGAAGTTCTGGTCAAAAGGGGGTGAGAGCTGCTCCTCACTGCTAGTTTGTAATCCTGTTTGTTTCCTTCGGTTTCCTTGTGTCCTGGCACCCATATCAGAGTTATCTGAATTCATTTTCCCAAGAGTTGAAGATATTTTAGCCATTCCTAGACCAGCTTTGACTTGGTGGTCTTAAGCCTTCGGTGCTGCTTTGCTTGTTACTGTTCAATGTCTTATAGTTAATGAACCACTTTTCCAGGTTAATTAGTATAGACTGTGAATAAATTAAATCAAATTGAGAATGGATTCTGTGGAATATTTTGAGGTCGTCTGTGAATAGGAGAAAATGTGTGTCATTAAGAGCAGATATATCATTAATGAAGATATAAAATAGAAAGGGCCTAAGTGTGATCCCTGGAGGACTCCAGAGGAGATTTTACCCACTTTGACAACTCACCCCGAAGGTGTTTGAAGGATTTAAGTCAGGACTGCATGCTGGCCACTCCAAACATTGAATTGAAACTCATTCCAAGTAATCACCAACGATCCTAGCTGTGTGGGGCCTTACATGCATAAGGGTGCTTTAGCCCTTAGTGGCACATAAAGGACAACGTCGTCTGATAACATCTTCAATGTATCACCCATCTGTTAGGGAACTCTTGATGAATATGAAGCCTGTGTCACTTTCCATAGAAATGCCTGTTCAAACCATAACACCATTTCCAAAGCTCCTCCAGAGTAAAAATGTTGCGGGGATATATCGTTCTTCTGTTCTTCATCAAACCATCTCTCAGCCATCAGAACTCAACTTGAAACTTTCACTCATCTGAAAATAAAATTTTAGTCCAATCTTGCTTAGCTCAATTGTTGTGATTTCTTGCTGTTCTGTGCCTTGTCAGAAGCTCTGGACCAATGGCAGGCCTTGTCACATGTAATCCAGCTTCTGAAAGTCTTCGTCTTACAGTGTGTAAACTGACATTAACATTCCAACTTGTTGAAGTTGAACTTGATATCATCCGCGGTACTTGTGGATTATGGAGTACATTTAAAAAAATAAAAGAAATAAATCTCTCTGAGATGTGACATGATCCATTCCTTCTTCAGTAACCTCCAGGTTCTTGGTAGTTGGTAGCGATGGAAGACAAGCTGTTAAGCACCCTTGACACATACGTTTGTTTGACTTATTCCATCATCCAACAATTATATTAATTCTAGCCGAATCTGTATCAGTTAAAACCACTCAAACAAACTTGAAACTTAAAAATGGAACAACTTAAAAAAATCAAATCACTGAAACTAGAAAAAAGCTTTTTTCAAAAAAATCAATTAAAAAGGGATTGCTTATTCAAAGATTTATTATTACAAAATCCAATGGGAAATTTTATCTGTTTTATTTTACCTCTAATCCTTCAAAACGGACCAAATATTGTTGTAAGGTAATCAATTGAAATTGAAAAATGGAAAATTTGATGGAACCCAAATTTGAAATTTATATTTTTTGTATGCAGGTGGCGTTTTGATCGACAGTCAACATCCTTTCCTTTGGATACGGCGGTCGGCCCCTCGACGAGGTTAGCCGAAATCGTGGTCAACGCGTGAACTACGTCTATCCTTTTCCGTAGGTTCTTTCTCCTGCCTCGTGTTCGCCTTGTTGGAATAATTATTCTGTTTTTATAAAAGCAAGCCGCCGAGTGAGTATTTAAAATTAAATGTCCATTTTTAATAAGTTCGATCCCATATTTTTCGTTGAGCATGTCCTTTTATATTTTTTATTTCGTTTAAGACAGTGGTAACGTCTGCGTATAACCTTAAGAACTTGATCCGATAGAACTTTAAAGTATCATCTCTATTAATTAATTAATATAAAGAACATCACCTCTTATATTTTATAAAATATAACGTAGAGTTTTCCAGTGGTACTCCAGTTTTTGAGATTATGCACTTCCAGGGGAATTTACTCCTGTGGCCCAACTAATATTCTGCCTTTTGTAGGATGTTGATTTCGAAGAAAAACCGACATGCTATATACGAGATGCTTTTCAAAGAGGGTGTTATGGTCGCCAAAAAGGATTACAACGAACAGAAACACCCCGATCTGGAAAGTATCCCTAATTTGGAAGTCATCAAAACTATGCAGGTAATTTAAATGGGTTTTCTTTGGTTTATATTTGGCTGTTGTATTAAGAGGAAACACATCCGTCACAACGTGACGTTACATGACCCGACATTCAATCTGAATAAATGGACAAAAACAAGATTATATCTTATCACGCCGGATGGCAAACAATTATCAAAGTACTAAGCTCAAAAATGGTGCTGAATTGCAAAACTAAACTAAACAAATTAGGTATGAAAAATAGAGGCAGCCTCAGGGTCCCAAGACGTGTATGAGAAGGGAACGGGAAAGAGGACACCTTTGCAAGAAAAGGGGCACTGATATGACCCGAGCTCTTCAGAGGCATAGAAATACACACTATCAATGAATATCTCAGATACAAGCATAAAAAGAAAATGCGGGAACAATGGAACTCACTCGGTGAACGCAAACAATCCAAGAACCTTCTAACTTTGGAAGGAAAGAAGTAACAGAATGCATTAAAAGAAGCACAAAACTGCTTAAGTAGTTAGATCGGTGGCATAATGAACTGAGGGTCGTGGGTTCGAATCCCACTCATGGCACTTGCTTTTTCATCTCAATCAAGACCTTAGATTAAAAGTATAATTAATTCAAGTAATTAATATGGTAAATTTTCACCACTAAATGTACATACATATATATGGATCAATATAATAAAGCCATTTGTAAAATCAAGAAAATGTTTGAGACTTTTAGCTTAGATGATAGATCTGCCTTTAGAAAAATGTTACAGGTTGAATCGTTATTGACCTGCATAGATCCACATTATTTGAGGATCATGGATGTGGTAAAAAAAAAAACACTCATCTCTGTAAATTAATAAAAATCGTAATCAGAAATTTTAACAAATTTTGTGGGCGTCATTGACGCCATGCTCGTCACAAAGGTAAAGGTCCCAGGTTCAAATACAGTAGTCCTGAATTTGAAACCGACATACTTACAAATTGTCTTTTTTAAGCTTTTTCGATACTTAGCCTGGTGAAGAAAAGTGTATGGTTGATTGGCCAAAGTATTCCAACGAGCAGTATGGTTGACCTGAAGGCATAATGCATCAGAAAGTTGAAATTAGAAGGGAGGGTGAAAATTGAAATTCCTGCCAGCATTGAATGTGTTGTCATTGTGTCAATTATGTTACTATAATTTTGTGAGGTGATGAACTTGTTCCTAGTATATCTTCTAATACCTTGTCATCTATTATTTGTGATCAGGCTACATGCTATTGAAACATCTTGCAAAACCCTCTTGTTTTTTAAAATCTTGTATTTTGGCAGTTTGGCATTTTTATTTCTGGGTATTATTAACATGCATCTTCTTGGGGGAGGGGGCAAGAATATGTTGACGAGATTCCAGAGATGAATAAACGACAAGAAAAGTGTTGACTTGTTTCTGATAGTTATAACCTATTAAAATATTGAGATAAAACTGGAATGCAGTAGTGATTTGAAATTAATTGCCAAATTCGCATTGATGACTTGGCAAAACTTGTTGCGCATTAGCTTGAGACCTTGTGGATAGAAGGCATTTATTTTCTCCTGTAGTTATTATTCAGGTCATCACATTCATTGTAATAAAATAATAATAATAGGATGCTTTATTTAAGAATAATTACAAATTTAAATTCTACAAAATTTGGTTGAAGAAGTTGACTTGTTATTAGTCTGAAGCTATGATCGAACAAATTTAAATAGTATAAAGAAGTTAAACAAAAGTACATACGGCTTTGGTATATGATGTCCCATTTGTTGTCTATTAATAATATTGAAAATAATATTGACTTTTTTTGCTTATTTTTAGAGTTTGAAATCAAGGGAGTATGTTAAAGTTCAATTTGCTTGGAGACATTTCTACTGGTACTTGACCAATGAAGGTATTGCCTATCTGAGGAACTATTTGCACCTTCCTCCTGAGGTTAGTATTACATTGAAGTTATTTTTAATTTAAAATTATTACACTTAAGGGAAAAAGCTTTCGGTTTATTATTCCAAAAAGAAATATATACAGTTAACCCACATAAGGCTGTAAAATCCCAATACTTTTTCCTAGCTGTAAAATGGAGAGTTCTTGTTAAAATTACGTATTCTGAATACTCTTGGTAGTATAGTAACTCCTCTGATTTCGCTTTTTCTTTGGGCGCTTTGTTTCCTCTTCAATAGGCTAAAATGAAAATAAAATTTGTTAAATAGATCGTACCTGCCACCCTAAAGAAACCGAGCAAGAGTGAAACCGCCAGGCCGAGGCCGACAGCAGCTAGGGCAGATTCGTCTCGTGGTGAAGAGGACAGATTCAGCTACAGAAGACCAGCCCAGCCTCTTCCCGACAAAAAGGCTGAAGTTGGTGCTGGCTCAAGTGATCTTGTTTTTGTAAGTATTTTTCATTTTATGAAGGATTTTTTTTAATTTTTATGTGTATTTTATTTACAAATATATTTTATACATCTATTGTTCATTCATTTTTTTATGAACAGACTTAGTACATAGTGTTAAATTTTTTTTTTTTTATAATAATAATGTAATATTATTATTAAATCACTTTTAACCAAACAAAACAAAAATCTAAAGGAACGTGACTTAATTGAACCATTTTGGTTACAGAAGGGAGGATATGGCCGAGGAAGGGGAGCTCCACCATCTTAAGTTCTTTTAACACCATTATATATGTGATTTTTATATAAAATGTCCTCATATTAAAAAATGGGCAAATAAAAAAAATCCATTCAAGTGAAAGTTTTTCTACCACAACCTATCCTTAAAAAGTTCATTTTTCCTTGTATTTTTTTGTTGAGTATTTTTTACCCCTTTTTTTGCCTTGTCGAGTAGAAGAAACTCATCATCTATTAGCAGCTCGAAATTTCCCATGGCTTCTATTGAAGGGATTTTATTCCATTTTGTGCTGTAAATAATTTACGTTATATGAATGTGTATAAAAGTACACTTTCAAATACAACATTTTGAAGAATAAACTTACTCTGGTATTCCACCAGGGGGGATCACAATAGACAATATATTATCAATTAGCTTGTTTTTTAAAATGCGATCGTTAACTGTTGTGGACGTAAGCGATGGTGAAGCATTTACCTATCGAAAATTTTAATATTTACACAGACAAATTCTTAATTACAAGAAAATGAAACTCACTTCTATAAGCCACGGCTTTAAATTGTTGTCTATAATTATGTCGTAGCCGTAACATTCAAAACAATGTTTGTCGTTTGCCATGATGTAGCTTACGGATTTTAGCGAGTGGACGATCAACCATGTGATGTTTTGGAAAAGTTTGTCAGTCACACATTTCCCTCTCGTACTCTCTAAATAAAGCCTCAAGTTGTCAACGCTTAACTTTCCTCCGTGCATGCTGTTATAATCGCCCTATAAAAATTAGAATAGCGATAATTCAATAATGATTGATTTTGTCAATTTACTTACCCCATGCCTCTGTACAGACACATTGGTCAAATGTACAAATATATTGTCCAGCTCTTGTATGCTAGTGTCATACTTGACCGTACAAAATCGGCAAAAGCCCAGCTTAAATAAGTAAGCTTTCAATGGTCTGAACGATGTTACTAAAACGTAAAGTCTCATATCAAACTTCTTTCCTCCTATCAGTAATGGGTTATCAATGTACCTGAAATTATTATAAACTTAAATACAATACATAGATGTTTAAGTGCAATTTCAAACCTTGATATAATGTATGATTCTTTTACAACAGAAGGATTAAAAGGAGCTTTTGCTTCTCTAGACCATCTTTTCAATTTGGAAAGTTTATTTATTAAAAATATTCCAGCCCCTTGACTTTTCCCTACTGGTTTCATAATCCACGTACTTTGTGGATTCTTACGGTATTCTTCAACAAACATGTTATAATCTGGAAATGAAAATAGTTTCAACAATTTGGGAGAAAAGTAAAAATGGCATGAAGTACAAACAAACAACATAGCCAAAGCATTTCGGAGGGAAAAACTTAATGTCAATTGCACCTAATTAAAAAAAAAAAATTTAAATAGGCTAGTTCAGTAAAATATATACATGTTAATTAACTGCTTATACCATCAATTAGGTTTACAAGGCACGCAACTCTTTGCTAAAGATCCCGAGTTCGAATCCAGGAGCCGTGCATTCAAACCTGACACACTTACAAACGGTTTTTTTTTGGTTTTTTTTTTTTTTTCAAAAACACCAGCACCCCAGAGGTTCATATAATAAACAAGTTTGAAAAATTTTATTGATTTGCAAAATTGACAAAAAAAGATTTCCTACATTGGAAACTCCTAAAATTTCAGCAATTTTTTCTGGTGAATGTAAATTTGGTATTTAACGTTGTAAGGGGTAATAAAAAATTTACATACTTATAAAACAAGTGGTAAAGGTATTATTCTGCCCTGCTAAGAATAATAACTTAATAAATCACTGTTTTGAGAAGTTGAGTTTTGAAATTTTCCATGCTGAATGTACTCAGTTAAGTTGCTATATTTTTTAAAGTTTTTGGCCTGGGACTGTAACCACTTTTTTATACCCTGAAAGCTTTTTATTATAGTTTATAATTTTTTTGTTAAATCAAAAAAGGTTACATTAAACATAAATAGCAAAGATTTATGATAATTACTTACGAAAAAGAATATATCGAGTGTATTTTATATTTTTTATTATAATTTCCTTTAAAATGCAATAGTTACATAATGCATATATTTAAATTAATACCACTGAATTTTCATATCCTTTGTTCAATCGAATGCATCTCCCCCACTAATTGATACGTTTTATGCAGGAAATGAGTTTTCATAGTGGAAAATAACATGAGTGGCCCAAACAATGTGCATTAATTTTATCTAGTAACATAAACACCTTTTACTCAGATAAGGTAAAATTTCTTTATTAGTATAGATATAGTATAGTATTAGTATAGGTTTTTTGATTAGTATTTTTATCCAAAGATTTTAAGCTATATACAATACATTGATATTTTTAATATTTCTGAACTAATTTATGTAGATTTTATTGTGTTTTTCTGTAGGAAACAACATACCTAAGAATAAATGGTTAAAAAAACTAAAGTCAAAAAATTTGGAGATTAGGCATTTCTTCTTAGCAGGGCAGTATTAGTATTGGGTGTTGAGTCTGTATTTGATCATTTTGTTATATCTGCCTATTTTTGGATTCCACCAAGAGGCGGGATAAACCGCAGCTAACCAAAGAAGCTAGGCAGACGGAGACAATCAGAAATGACCAAACTTTAAGAATTATTGTTTATAACTTGTCGAAGTCATGAGGAGCGGTCTAGAATGAGGTTGTTTAGAAAAACACTTTTCATTTTTTTGCCAACGCTTCGACGTTATTCGGGTCATCTTCAAGACAAAGTGTGGTGCTAATATTGTTTATGATTATACCTAGTGTGAGAAAACTGAATGTCAAAGAAATAAAAATAACAGCCTAAAAACTTGCGCTGTCAGCAAAACTTATCATTGCACAAGTCAACGACTCAAAAAAATAGTGCTTTACTACTCTCTCAGATGATTTATAACAATCAGGCAGGCAGTTTCAAGGGTTTGTGCCTGATCATATATTTAGAGGCTTAGAGTTAAAATATAACTGAAAATGCATTAAATAAAAAATAAAAACTGTAATTCTGAAGCTGTAAAATAGAAAAGGCCAAATATTGAACTTTTTTAACTTTTAAAGAAGTAAAATAATATAAAATAAAGGAGGTCCTGCTTATTGATAAAAAATATAGTCTTATTGCTTTCATCTTGAATGGCAATTTTTTTTAAAATTAATTATCAAGTGGCAGGTGCGATTAAGACTAAGTACTAATTGAATTCAACTCTGGTATATATCAGTAATAATTATTAATTGCCTAATGTGAAATACTGCAAACCGATTGGCCATGAGAATTTTGGGACTGTGTATAAAATTATGGTCAATTTTTTTTTTATACATACAGAAAACATTGATGGTTGCTTGAAGAATGTTGAATTTGCATGACATATAAATTAAAAGCAAAGTTTTCAAAGATAATTTTGAGGCAGGTAAGTACCAGCTTTCTAAAGCTGTAATAAAGAAAAGTTAACCAAAAACCTAGTTTCTTTAATCAAGTTTTGAAGTTGTAAAAAAAAATTAAAGTCGAATTAAATGTACGTATTGGATGGCAATTTTTTTATTAATTCTTTAAGACCTCTTATGTATCACTAATAATTGTTAATTGTCTAATAGCGAATATTGCAAAATAATTGGCCACGGGAAATTTTGGAATTGTGTATAAAAATGTAGTTAAAATTTTTTTTGTGAGTTTTAAATGTATTCACTGACAGAACAATAAAAACAGAAAATACTGATGGTTGCTTGAATAATTTTGAAATTAAAAGCCAGCTTATTAAAGTTAATTTTATGAGATTTCTTCTTACTTAGATGGTAGATAAGTAGTTTTTGAAACTGTAATAGAAAAATATTTATAAGATGATACAAATTTCTCTGGACAATTTAGATTTTTAAAGAAATTTTCATATGAAAAACAATAGTTAAATAATATTGATTTATCAAACAAGACCACTACTGAAGAACGCGTCTGACAGAAACAGGGATGGAGGGCAGACGAAAATGGCCGGAAACGGCAAACTACAAAGCTAATTTAATAGTAATTTTTAGGTTTACATTCCATCTCTTTCATGCTCACGCTCATGACCGAAATAAATATTTTAGTGATAATTTTAATAGACTTTACCAGCGGGTAATACGAAAGTAATTGGAATGAAATCCAGGAAGATGTATTTTCCATTTAACTTCGAGCCAAGAGGGTTTCCTTCTCGTTCCAGTTCTTTTCTGTATCTCTTAATGTTTTTAACCAGCAGATCTTTCCTTGTCAACTCATAATGGTTTGGAAAATGATTTATTGTTCTATAAAATAAAAAATGTAAATGTATTGTTTTTTTGGGGTTTTTTTTTTTTACTTACTGATGGTCGTTCATGCGATACCCGCTATCCAGGCTGAATAGATTTCTGCATGTCTGTATTCCTGCCCTAAAAATGAGTGTTCAATAACTTCAATGTTTAAGTGGAGTAATTTGTATTTGCAACTCACCAATAAAAATTCCAATCGTCTTCAGGGCCGACCTGAGACCAACCGCGTTTTTCGAAGTTTCCTATTAGTACGGATTTGTCCAAATCTGTGCAGTAAGTGACTTTTATTTTGCTCGGTGGGTTCGTCAGAATCCTGCCTTATAAAATTTCAAAAAATTACGTTTAATAATAAACTAATCCAAAATAATATAATACTAGTTTAGTTCATTTGTATGTTAGTATTAACGTTTTGCTTTTGCTTTTCCTCCTTCTTGACATTTTATTCCCTCAAGGTTTCTAGGGGGGAAAAGGACTTCTACGGGTTTTATAGGAATATGAAGGCGTCGTCGTGCTTCGGAGCGGAAATGCGGGTGTAAAATGGGGATGGATAATTTTTGTGCCGTTCCACTACAACGCGTGCACCAAACTTTGATTGGAGAAGAGATTTTAGAACAAAGGTAGTTTCAAAGTTATTTGCATAATTACCGCCCGTAAAGAAGGTCATTTGACAGTACGCTCTTCGCCCTTTCCATGTCTGCCGTCCGAATCAGTTGCCAAGTAGAGATACATATAAACACGGAACTGCCGGGATCAATATTTCTCGCTGTACAAACTATTTCTCAACAGTTAATCCACTCACAAATTATAACTGAACACCGGATTCCGCTCGCAAATTTCCCATGTGAACTTTACTGTTTTTTTGTTTATCGGCAGGCGTGAATTGTTTGCTATGCGGCTACGTTGAATTTGACTCGGTCATGTCCACGATTTTCATATTTCAACCGTTATCCTTTTTAAACTAATTTTGGAATTTAATTGTTCAAATTTAATTTTCTAAAATACACTCAACATTGAATTATGTAACTGTTTAAATTGTTTTCATCTGTTACAATTTGGTTTGAAATTTACAAACGCTGGGATATTTATATCATTCGACTTTAAATTTATGTACGACCTTATGCCTAACAATCGAAACGAAGATGAATACTGTACTGTAGTTTAATCAGGCATAAAAGATTTTCCACCGATCCCTATTTACAAACAAAAACGAACCGCTTTCTCATATGTTCACCTGGAAAATCCATATCTTCTTCTATCCTTTCCTTTCGAACCAAAATATATACTAAGTGCTAAGTAAGGTACAGCCTTTCATTAAAGTTCACCGATAACTGTGGTTTTTTTTCTGTATGTCCGACAGTTGAGGACGTTCCTTCGTAACTTTGCCGTAAAAACAATTTTTAATTGGTATAACAAACAGCTGTTAAGTAATGTCTTCGCAATGACTACTCAAGTTATGGTTTAAACAAGCCACAATTTTATGTAAAGAAGTTTCATTTTCGACACGTTTGACTCATCAGAGTTTCTACCTATCTCGAAGGATCGATAATAAACAAATTTTCAACAAAAATTAGAACAATTATTCGTTTCGTGGCTAATTCACAATCTAGCGACTTTAACGATCTTTTTCACCCCAAGTCTGACTCAAAATGGCCGATCAATTCCATTTAAGTACTCTTAGTTGTTAACGTTATTTCGTTACTTTTCTAAAAATATCTTTTCTGAAAATTACAATTAATTAAGGTTTTTAGTTGAAAAAAAGTTAATGGCACGAGCGGGATTCGAACCCACGATCTTCGACTAGATACGCCGCTTGCTGCAGCCGAAGATCGTGGGTTCAAATCCCGCTCGTGCCATTAACATTTTTTTCATCTCAACTAAAAACCTTAATTAATTGTAATGTATTAATTGGTCAAGCGGACCACGAAATTAGTGAATTTATCCTGAAAATATACAGTAACCCTGCAGTGGGGAACTTTATTGGTTTTCTTTTAACCCAGTCCCATTATGATTTATTATGATGACAGGTTTCTCTAACTTTGTATTCTATTACATCAATATTTTCTTTTGTTCTTTACATTTGACTATTGTGTTCATGATTGTAATTTTATTTACATTATGTGCAATAAATTAATTACGTACTATAAAATTAATGATAAGTATAAATTTTTATAGTTTATTGATATGTAATGAATTAACGAAACTCAGTTGTAAAATGATTCATTAAATCAAGAATAACTAGAATCTACGGACATTGGAATATGAAAAAAGATTTTTTTTTAATCCTTTCTTCCAATGGATCCTATACAGATTTATTGTTGAACCCCCATAAATTATAACCATACCTTGGAAAGTGCATTTTATCGTATAAAACTAAGCTCTTAACTCGGTGCTTTTCACTCATCTCTTTTGGTGCGAGAATTGCCTTACTGAGGTGCCTAATGGCTCTAGGAAAATACAACATTGATTCTGCCTGGTGCAAATTTTGGTCCACAAATGCACCTAAAGAAATTAATTTAACAGCATAAATAAAAATTGATTTGTTGGCCTTTGAAGCATTTGAATAATTCCCCCCAAAAAATATTGAAATATTTTAATAAATAGGTTAACATTTATCTTAAAAACCAACTCACTAAAGTTTATTTTATTTTTTTTTAACTTTCTATACAAATCATAAAAATATCTGGTACATTAGAAAAACTGGATATGATTTTACTGTTTCAGAATGTGGACTGAAATTTGCATGAGGCTGAATTGCGCTTTAATGAGCTACATCTGGAGCGTCCTGCTAGTTGATTAAGAAATTGGTGTGAAATTTTTCTTTCAGTACTATGAGCAATTAATTTACTATCAAATAAAAAGATAAATAAATACATTGGTGATCGGTTGAAAAAATGGGGAAGATTTTGTTTTTACAAAAAAACAATATTTGGAAAAAAACATTTTTTTGCCAATAACTTGAGAATGGTTGCTTCAAATGAGAACCGTTGAATTCAGCATCAAAAAATTATCCCATTAACCTGGAATATTCAGATCAAAACTTTTTGTTTCATGAGAAACTGGTTAAAAAACAAAAATGTATGTATCTCTGGGTTTTTAACAAATATGCTTCAATAAAAAAAAAAGTATAGGGGGGGGGACAGAAGTTAAATTCACCTCGTATATGTACAATTAGTGATTGTCGATGATGATAGTTACTATCACACCATATTGTTTCATTCACATAGTTTGATCTACCTAATACAATTCTATTCTGTGTCAACATTTTTCTCTTTGCAACGATAGAGGAAAAATCCTCCTATTCTGTGCATATTGTACAAGTATATTGTAAAGTAAAGAAACACTTTTAGTTGATTTTTTCTTCTAATTGTGACTGCTTTAATTTCCAATAGGCGTACTTTGGTTTCCTTATGAAAAACTCTGGTTCGAGTTCCCTAAATTCACTTTTTCTTGAGCACGCAATAATAACTCCGGCTATGTAAAATATAATGCTAAAAAGAAAAATGAATCCCAAATACTGCATGTGACGTACAAAAGCTGTAAACGATATTTCAACATTAGCATCTTTGCATTTTGAAACTGCTGATTTTTTTTTAACTTTACCTTCTTGCGTTAACTTTGATCTTACTGTAATGTATATAATTATTTCTTGTATTTTTTTGTTGTCAATGTAGCAAGTGTAATTTCCTTCGTCTTGTTTATTGGCAGACACAATGCAGAGATTAGAAAAGGCATCAATTGAAACATGCCCTTGGTCGGAATTCTTAAACATAGTTAATCCGTCCCTTCTCCAAACGACTTCATTTTTCAATGACGCTCTGTGAATAAAATTATCCTGTTTTTAATTCTTTCTTGTAATTTTGTATTCATTTGTTTCAAACTCACTCAGGACACTTGAGAGTAATGTGTTCACCTTCTTGAAGAGTAATCGTGTTCTTGTATTTTGGCAGAAAGTTGGCACCAGACGAAAACCGACAAGGAGCGTAGCAGGTTTCGTGTATCACAAAATCGCTTATACCCTTCAATTTCTTTGAAATGTTTGGAAAAAGATCAGTAAAATCGAGAGAAAAACATGACAGTTCATCAACATTGTTAAGAAATGTTTTTATTCTGTCAGAAACATTTTGCCCTACTTTGTCCTCTTTAGCTACTGATGTAAAATGTGCATCTGAAGCTTGGTCTTCTGGTAGTTCATTTTCACGTGGTGTAATTTTAACTTCAGGCTTTAAAAAAAATTAATGTTAATGTTTGTTATTAATCGCTTAAAGAAAGTTTCCATAAAGTCACTTTTAATGTAGTTCCATGATTAAACTGGCCGAATAAATATTTCAGATTGTGTTTTCTCCCTTTCAGCCTTAGAAAAAGGTGACATTCAGCAATACGCTTTCTTGTTTGGGTACAACCTTGGCACGGCAACCATTTGCCCCAGATCCCTTGAGCTTTAACCGTAAAGCCTAAATTTCTTAGCAACTCAAACTCCCCATGATTGTTTCTAAATTCAGAATTAATTTCTGAATAATATCTTTGCTCGAACTTTGGCCAGTTTATTGCACTTGAACGAACAGCCGATACATTTGGATCAATCACTGCAAAAACAAATTTAAATTAAAAAGAAATAATATTTTAAATTGATTTAGCATGAATAGTTCACTGTTGATTTTTTAGAAATTATTAATCATGGTCGTAATCATAAGTCTTACCATCGACCATATAATTGAAAGTCACTTTAACATCTTCAGTGTAGTTTCTATAGCAGTAATAAATACCTTCGTCATCTCTTGTAACATTATTTATTACTAAAGAATGATGAGGTGTGACAAAGACTCTGTTGTCCGGTAACCGATAGTGCATTCCAAGTTGAACTTCCTCAAACGCATTACTCGAAAATCTGCTTCTCTTAAACCACACTTTTGGAGACGTATCATCTTCCTCTTTACTAAAGTGAATTAAATAATTGCATTGTGTTATCAGCATATAATGCAATTTTACCTATTTATATTACCAGAAATGACACGATAAAATTAATTTGGAGAATAACGGGATAGGGACTGTCTGAGGAAGGAGATTGTTTTTTCTTGAGGAAAGGTGCTTAGATTTCTCTTTGCACCAGTGTGTATAATTAAAATCAGTTTCCAAACTTTCATCTAAACCAGAGTTAGAATGTGAATAAAGCTTCAACAGATCGCTTACAACTATTATGTTAAACAAAACTTTGTACAAAGTAAACATTCTATATCATGTGTTTTTAATGTAATTTAGCAAATGGAACCAGTTCGGGTTGAAATACAGTGTATAAACAGGATGATTCACTACTCGTATGACAATGTTCGTCAGATGCATTTACACCTCAAACGCAACAAAAATGTTTGTATGAACCATGGTCCGATTCTCAACAGCAGATATTCATCATATTATGTTTTTTCGACCATCTATATGTTTCCTCATAAATCTACTCATAGCTTTTGAACTATTCATTTTTAGGGAAATCAAAAAAAAGCATTGAAAAGAGCGTTAAATTTCCATTTTTGGAAACAAAATCAAAAACTGCTGAATTTAAAATTTGTAAAAAAAAATTACAACCTTGTTGAAAAAATTCATGGAAGAGCTTTTCAAATTTTATAACAACTTTTTTGTTCATTAAGTTTTCTAACAGCATACCTTTTTTTAATCGCATCAAGCCAAAATGCAGAAATTTTATGCTAAATGGGGCAAAGTGATGGCAGTGTGAAAAAGGGGAGCAAGGAGGCATTAAATCTTGTTGTAATTCCTTTTTAACCTGGCTAAAATTTATTTCCCTACTTTAATTTAATAAAAAAGCTCAAAAACAAATCAAAACGAAACAAAACACACAAAAAAGAAACAATAAACAGAGTGAAGTATCAAAACAGAAAAATTGGACAAATTATCAACCCTAACACAGACAAAAAAAAAAAGGAAATTGTAAAACCCAACTTTAAGCTAATAAAAAACCACACAAAAAATAAAAATTCAACGTAATTTGTAACATAAGTTGTTCTTTTTTTTCTTCTTGTTCTTCTTTTTTTTATTAGGTTAAAGTTGGGTTTGACTGAATGTTTTTTTATTTATTTATTTATTTATTTGCTGAACATTGTTTTTTTCCTACTCATACTAAATTCAAAACATTAGACTCTCACAAAGAAAAGCTAGTTATTCTTTGAAAGTATGTTGCTTGTGCAGCAGAACAAGGTTACAGTTGTTTCTTATTTCTTAATTTAAAAACCGTAAAATATAAAGGATGTATTTTGTGCAGGGCAAAAAACTTTTTCGAGTGATACAAAGTTTTTAAAGAGTAAAAAATCTATATCTTTGCTGTTCAGAGGGGAGCCATACAAAGTGTGTCTTGGTTATAGAGAGGACTGCTGTTCTTCATTTCGGCAATTCAACATTTTAACTGTACACAGTGTTTTTATTTTTCAATGCCTGATGTTCGCTCACTGTAACAGTTCTGGATTAAAGTGTTCTAAAGGTCAAAACAAAATTAAAATTTAAGGTATAAGTCAAAAAAATACAACAGATTACAGAACTCCAAGAACTTGATTAACTATTGGTGTGTTAAATTATACATCACCTGCTGCATTTCCTCATCCCTCTTGATACTTTTAATACAAAAATACCTCAGCTATTAACAAGACATAGTGTTTTTTTTTTCTTCAATGGAAGAATATAAAATGTTCATTATAATCATTCTAATGCTGTGTTAAGTAATATTTATTATTTATGCATGCAACTTGACAATTGGTTAAATTATGGGATATATTTATTAATTTATTTCTAAAAATTACATATTAAATTAACTTCTATCTGTGTAAAATTGTAAAATAATTTAAATTATGCAAAAAATATCTTAATTGATTAAATTAAATTAAATTAAAAAATTCACTATGATTATAATGGATCTTAAATTGTTGTTAAAGTAGAATTGTATTAATAAGCATAGTTTATAATTATTATTAGTTGTAATTATAATAGAAATAATTTATCTAAGAAGGATATAAATTGAAAACTTACTCCAAATTAAAATAATACAATAATAATAATACACAACAAATTATATATAATTGACTAAAATTATAACATATATATCTAAATATTTATTTTATCTCTGTCCTTTCATCTACTTCTTATTTATCTCTATGTATATTATAACTTGATATCTCTAATATTTATTAATAATTAGCTCTTATTTTTAATTACAAATGTATAGTTTTTTTAATTTGGACAAATTTGCATTTTTTTATCGCAAAATATATTGTATATTGTATTTAGGGCATCTGCCAGCATAAATTTGTGCAAATATTAAATAAATATCTCTGAAACTATATCTATGAAACTCCACAAGTCCGAATTGAAATTCCCGCTTTCTCAGTCCATTCTACGAATCGTTACGGTGCATTATACTATCAGTAAAATTTGCAAACAATAAAATAATTACATACAATATTTATGGAATATATTAATTTTGTAATCGTTGTGAAAGAGTGGGATTTATTTTCGTGTTAATTCTAGAGACGAGTATAATCTGTTCAGATTGTTTTGGATTGCTTTCGTCTCTACGTCAACAATGGCGGATGAACTCGAAAGTAAGTATAAGACAACGAATTTTCGTCACTTTCTATTTGAATTTACGTCCTAAATAATTTTTCTCTTTTTTCATATCCTTCTGGAAAGATTGTCGAAGTTGAATCGGGTGAATTGAAACAGTTTCCTCTTTCCGTTTCGGAGAAATTTAATAAGGTTTCTTGTCACAATTCGAATTGTCGATATATAAATTTCAAAATACTGTTCCTCTCTGGGCGGGACCTAGTTAAATTCTGAAATTTATTTTCGACATTATATTGGATTCTGACCCTGCCGCGCGACCCACACTAAAATAAAGCTTAGATGTCGGAGAAATTCGAAAATATTTCACAGACTCGGGCTGTCCCTTCCTAATTATGGCTTGTCAGGGAAATATCTAATTTTATATTGACTCGGACCGCTTAGGTTATGCATTAGTGAGGTGTTAAGCAATCAGGGAAAACCTGTTATGAAAATGGCACGTAAAACTGACTTTTAAAACGAGACATTTTAACAGTTTACGAGTTGGGTCCGATTCTACGGAGATTGACGCGAAGCCGGCTTGGCCGAATTGACCGTTCTATTTTTTAAAACGCCCCACTGGCGGAAAGTCGGCCTTTTCCCACTGTCCCAGGCCCAAAAACGTTTTCTTTTGTCAAAACAGTCCTAAACTTTATCCGAGAGTCATGTATGAGGAAGAGGAAAGGATCAAGTGTAATTATATACGTTTGATTTCAAATTATGGACAATAAACAGTTTTACTGATGGAATATTTTAATTACAGACGCCTCGGAAGCTCTTCTGTCTTTTAAAAACGGGCTCCCGACAAAAATAAAAGAAGAACCCATGGAAGAAGAATTTGGGCCTGCTTCTCTCGGTCTCCATCGGATCGGAGATGCTCTCCCTCCGAAACCTCAAGGGAATATGCCGGCTCTCAATCGAAGGGGAATGGTGAGTAAAATTTGTTTTCATTTTATTATATCATTATGCCATTTTTTCAAACTTTATTTACAAATTATAGAAGGTAGTTAAATATTTTTCTAATTATTTTGGTCTCAGTTGTGTTTCAATTTTACACTATCAGTGTTTGATCTTTGCGATTACCATTTAATCAAGAACCTTTAATTTTTTGAAAGGTGCGAGGACCTCATTGTGATAATCCTTTGTGAATAATTTTCCAAAGCCTAGAAGAATTTTTAAATTTTTATTTTGCAAAGTAAAGATTTTTATATTTTCCGGTTACGCAGAAAGAATCATCAGTTATTACCTTACCCAAGCAAACCTCGTCTGTTGATTTTATTGCTCTTTCACCCTTAGCGAGGTGAACTGAATTTTGATCATTTTTAAACATTTCTGTCTGCCAGCATTGCTGTTTTAGTGATAGATTTGTATTGGTTTTTTGCCATCTTAAGTCCTGGACCTGTGCGATTTCCATTAACTCAAGCATATTTAATTTTTTGAAAGGTGTGAGGATCTCACTTTGATCATCCTATATGAACAATTTTCCAAGGTATAGAAGATTTTTTTTTAGTTCATGAAGTAAAGATTTACCTATTTTTCTATTAAAGTTCAGTAGTAAGAGTCGTCAGTTATTACCTTACCCAACTATTCTGGTGGTTTTATTGCACCCTTAACTTGGTGAACTGAAGTTTGATCAGTTTTAAACTTTCTGTCGGCCTAGCATCACTGTTTTAGTGTCAGATTTGTTTTGGTTTTTGGCCATCTTCAGTCCTGGACCTGTGCGATTTCCGTTATATCAAGCATCTTTAATTTTTTGGAAGATGTGAGTCACCCTTTTTTATCGTGCATTGTGATCATCCTATACGAACAATTTTCCAAGGTCTAAAAGTATATTTTAGCTTGTGAAGTATAGATTTTCATATTTTCCCATTACAGTTCATTAGTAAGAATCGTCAGTTATCGTGGCCATTCCCAACTCTACTGTTGATTTTGTTGCATTTTCACCCTTAATGTGATGAACCGTAGTTCATTGATTTTGAACATTTTGGTCGGCCTATCATCACTGTTTTAGTGTCAGATTTGTTTTGGTTTTTGGCCATCTTCAGTCCTGTATCTAAGTGATTTCCTTTAAGTCGAGTACTTTTAATTTTGTGAAAGGAGGGAGGACCATATTTTGACATTTCTGTCTGCCTATTGTCACTGTTTTAGTGTCAGATATGTTTTGGTTTTTGGCCTTTTTGGCCATCTTCAGTTCTGGACCTGTTCGATTTCCATTGTCATGCATCTTTAATTTTTTGAAAGGTGTGAGGACCTCATTTTGATCACCCTACATGAACAATTTTCCAAGGCATTGAACATTTTGGTCTGCCTACCCTCACTGATTTAATGTCAGATATGTTTTGGTTTATCGTCATGTTCATTCCTGGATCTTTGTGATTTCCTTTAAGTCGAAATTTTTCATGAAAGATGGGAGGAGTGTATCAGTATTATCATCATGACCATCATTGTAAGTCCCCCTAAATGTGAACACTTCTGAAGTCAGGAAGGAAATATATTGGTCAGTTACTGTGGCCTGACCCAGACCAAACTCTACTGCTGATTTCGTTAACTTTCACCTTTAAAATTATTAATCTTTAGTTTGGTTGTTTCCAAACATCCGCACTGTTTTAGTCTTTCAGATTTTGACTTCTCACTAATCTCAGATTTTAAACCTTTTTTAATTAAAAATTTAAACCCACCAAAGATAGCGTGAAGCCATAATACATCTGATATTTCAAGACAGCAAAGATTGGCTGACTAAAATGATCAGAAATGACAAGATTTTCCGAGTCTAGCCTCTGATCCAATGTAATTAAATCTCGTGTCATTGCATGCGAAGTTTTTCAACTTATCCAAACAGGGGTCGGTTCAAGTTAGTTCAGACAAGACTGTACAATGTCTTGAATTGTGTAAAAAAAATAGCATTGAATTTGTTGTTTCTGTTTACAAGTGGGTTCATTTTTGATCAGTTTTGTACGCCTTGGAGTATGCAAGCTTGTCTATATTTTTGAGGGTTTGTAATGGTTTTGTGCGAGGTGGGGTCTCATGGTTTGGTGAAATGGCATAATTTATAGCTTGATTGTATCTGATAATTAGATTAACAGCTGATTTCAGAATTTAATTAATTGTGAAGTTTGGTCTGTCAGATGCATTTGGCTTCTCGCCATATTCATGTTATTTATGTCCAAAATTTAAAACAAAAGTCCAGGATTGAGAAATAATTATATTTAATTGTAACTTGGGCTGTTTTCAATCATTCTAGGGATCTGTTTGACTAAAATTTAATGGAGAACCCTATGTGAACTGTTTAGAATTAAATTTTCCAAAAACCTGGATATGGGATATGTTGACCGTATGAACAATTTTTCTAGTATACATTATATAATAATATACATGTCTAGCTCTTTTGTGATATTAAATTTGTTTGTTTTTTAGATTAAATACTTTACACTGCATTACAGCTACTGGGTATGAGTAAAGTAATCCTATTCAAAAGAGTTTACTTCTCACATACATAATTTCTCTAAAATAAAATAATACTATTAAAAGCAACATAACTTTTTCTATTAATCCAATTTACATTTTGAAGATGAAATAAATAGTCAAGAGTAGAAGAATAAAATTGGATCCAATTTAAGACCATGGAATGTTAAATATTAATAATTTAAAATTAAAATAAAGTGAATAGTTATGCTAATTCTTTATAATTTGATGTTTAGGTTATAGGTGTGACTCATTAGCCTTAATTTCTATTCTTCTAATTATATTTCATCCTATGCAAAGATTGTTTAATCTTCTTATCTCTCTACGCTTTTTTAGTGATGTATATTTACTATAATTTGTAATTTAAACTATAAAATGAGAATTTTTTTTTCAGTTGATTTTATTTAATTTTGCTATCTTACTTTTTTTAAATAAGCAGAAATACAGTTCAGATATAGGTTTGCCATTTTATTTATTCATCTTTATTATTTATTACAGCCTGCCCGTATAAGGAAAAAGAATAAACTATTTTTTGATGATGAAGTGACTCCAGACACAGTTGTTCCAAAGTCGATGTTGAAGACAACAAGAGTCAAGTCCCCAGGAAAAAGAGGTCGAAAGCCCAAAGAGCCTAATGAACAACCTCCAGCCAAACTGGAAAGGTAAGCCTCCGGTTAAAACTGAATGCGCTAAAAAATATTAACAGAAATTTGATTTTGCAGTGGTGATCGAAAGCTTGGACAAAAAATCGGCATGAGGCTAAGAAATCTGTTAAAACTGCCTAAGGCGCACAAATGGGTTTGTTACGAATGGTTCTATAGCAACATTGACAGGTATGGACGAATAAAAATTTTCGCTTTTTATTTTAATTATTTTTAACCTAATTTATTTATCGTTTTAGTGCATTATTTTCGGGCGACAATGATTTCATGATTTGTTTAAAAGAATCTTTCCCTCAATTAAAAACAAATATGCTCACTCGAGTCGAATGGTGCATAATGAGGCGAATGATGGGTAAACCTAGGAGATGTTCACAGGTAAGATATGTCTATGCTTTGGGTATCCATGTCAAAGTGGGAACCTTTTTTATTTATTATACTCAAGAAAACTATGCTTGAACTTTGTCATATTGTTTGTGGTTATATCTTAACAAAAATAAACTACAATTTTATATACCAGTGTTCTTTACAAAATTATTTTCATTCCAGGCATTCTTTGAAGAAGAAAGGCGTGAACTGGACAGAAAGCGTAGTAAAATTAGACAACTTCAACAAAGAAAACCTACAGATCTGAACAGTTGTAAAGACTTACCACCTGAAATACCCCTACAACTTGTCATAGGAACAAAAGTAAATTTTTATATCATTAAAATACATTTTTTAGCTTTAAAATTTGTTAGAGCTTATTGTTTAGTGTGTTAATTTTTTACACTTTATTTTTAGGTGACAGCTAGACTGAGAAGTCCTCAGGACGGTTTATTCACCGGGTCAGTGGACGCCTTCGACACATCAAATGACACCTATAGAATTACATTTGAAAGACCCGGTCTTGGAACACACTCAATACCTGATTTTGAAGTTCTCGTATGTTTGATAAAGAAATAATTTTAAATATAATTTTGGTTTAAGTGTCAATTTGTTTCATAATTGTATTATTTTTAGTCAAATGAACCTATAGATACCATATCAGTCACTTCAATGGTTCATGCCCTGAGACCAACGAAACCTCAGAGTAGTGCCCCTGCGGGAAATGAACAGCCGTACAGCGGGCAAAATGATGCAAGGTCAGATAATTCACAAAGTGAACGAAACGGCTTTCCAACGTCTGTCTTAGAAAATATTGTAAGTCGAACAAAACTGAGCCGAGAACTTTTATTGAAAAGAGTCATTTTAGGTCAAACTTGGTAAACTGTTAGAAATCAAAAGAATCAAAGTAAACATACTCAGGGATATGAATGTTGAAGCAGAGAGGAAGAAGTGCCATTCGCAACCCATACCGGAGGAGTTTGTTAAAAAATATGCCTCAAATATTGTCGAGTTGGAGCATGTCAATACGATGCTACGAGATTTACTGAGCTCAGTGCAAAATCATTGCCAAGAAGTATGTCATAAATGTAATTTTTCTTTTCAAATATTCACAAATTTGTAATTTATTTCCAGCTCTTGCCAAACATGAATATGGCTGCAGTCATGACTCCAAATTATCTCAGGAATCAAAGCTTAGATGAAGCCAAAGCAATGGTGAATCGATTTAATCCAACAATTAGCGATCCCATCCTCGATCTAGTCATTGAACTCACCGCTTTAATGATCCAAGTGAAAGTGAGTTTTATTTTGTTGTTTTTTAAATTCTATTTATACTTGTGATATCATTTGAAATTGTTTTACAGAGTTTATCTGAGAGTGATAGAAGTAGTTTTGAAGTCGAAGTTTTATCAACATCAATGGATATTATAAAAAAGAAATTATCACCTGCTAACAAAACTGTTTTTGAGAGTTGTGTGGAGGTATATAATTTGCATTTATCAATCATAAAGTTTATTTCTTTTAATTTGATTCAATTTTTCAGGTTCATATGAGGCATATACAGTCCGGTTTAAGCGGAGAAATAGGTGCTTTTTCTATGGTCACCCCTAGCAGACCATGATATATAAAAATTAAGGAAAGTGTGTAATTCAGTCAACAAATTTATATGTGTATATATATACATAATTATTTTATATATTTTGTTTTTGTTAGTTGTGATAATTTATCTACACCAAGAGAAATTAAAATTAATACAAAAATTTATATATTATAAAAACTGTACATAAAAGAATCAGTGCAGACAAATTTTCTCTAATGTAAATTAATATATATTTCTTAAAACTGTAATATAATTGTATACTTTTTCAAACTTGGTTACTCAAAAAAAGAAAAAAATACATGCTACATATTCTCAAGAAAATTGTAAGATTTTTCTTTTGTAGATTGTTTTCAATGCTTTGTTTAATTGTGTACGAGTGGTTTATTTTTTTAATGAGTCTTTGTTAGTTTGAGTCTATTGTTTTTTGAACAAGATGTAAAGATCTCTTAAGGCCTGGCAGACCCTGAAGTATTGGCCTTTTCAAGGAGGCAAGAAATTTTTTTTTCTCAAGATATCTGAGTGTAAGTCATTTAATACTTGTTTTTAAAGCAGGGTTCATCTACAATCACTGGTATAATCAGGGGAGTTGGCTATGTTGTTGATTTTGGTATAAAACCAGCATAAATACACACAGGAAGGTTGTAGGTTCCTACTGGGCTGGAATACATGTAATCTTTCAACCTTTAATGTTCCATTTAAAATCTTGTACAGATCGATTTCAGATCTGAGGCTTTTACTGTCCCAAGTCTCTCTTTTCATTGCTTTTATCGGTTTGATTTTTTCTAAACTTCCTACAAAGTACTATGGAAAAAAGAGAAAAAGACATCTTGTAAATTAATAAAAATGATCCGTTTCAAATCCCAAAAGTCTAAAGTGATGCATTGTCTAATAGAAGCAATAAGTAAATTGCGTGAATGAAGATTCTATAGGGCTAGTAAGTTCAGAAATTTCATTCATCTTCCCTCATCATTGGATCCCAAAACTGCCATTTCCTAGTGGGCCAATTACTGTCTTGGGCTGATTTTCAGACTGTTTTCAGAAACAATAATTTTAAAGACATCCTTATAAATATTGCCAAGTTTGGTTCGACCAGGAGAATCAAAATCAAGCTTTTGTGTCAAAAGTTTTAAATACACAGGCTACAAGATCCCATATCACTCCTATAATCAAACTATCATAAATAACTTTCTGTAGGATCAAATTGTATTGGATTGCTTTAGAATTTCCATATGAATAAGATATACCTAAAACCCATAGATTAACTTCAATTTGACCAGTCTTCTATGATGCTAGTTCTCGGCCGTTTATGTGATTATGTTCAAGGCAGGTCAACTCGCCTCCCTCCAGGGGATAAAGTCTGAAGTTTTTTTACAAGGATTAGTTCCAGCCCTAGTTTTTTGTTCCGAGTATATAAATCTTATTTTTAACTGCCTTGGAATATGCCCCTTGTTTAATTTAATAATGGGGTGTCAAAAATTTACAAATATGCTCATAATTACCATGATTATAATAATTTTAATGAATTAATTTTTTTGTAAATATGTACTAAGCTTGTTAGTTAAATGTGAAATATTTGCAATATGGCAAAATATAGATTTATTTATGTATGTGGATGTTTTGTATTTAATTTTCAACATGTTCGCACTGAACTGCACGATACCATTTTCCTTGTTTATAGAGAAGAGCATAACAGATTGCCAAGTGGACTACACACAGAGTACGCTGATTCACGACACTTTTTTTTCCTATATGTGAATTTATTATTTTATCCAAGTTTTATGCCTGGTTATTCATTAACTGTTAATTTTGTATTCCCTCTATGTGGAAATATGGAATAGTTTAAATATAAAATTTTTCTTTGGTAAATAAAAATATAAAAAAATACATAGTTATAAAAATTTTGACACTGCAATTAATCACAAATTAAATTCAACAAAACCTTACAAGTTAACATATATTACAAACTAAATTACATAAATTATCCCTGTATTTCTACACTACAATATATATTACATTATGCATAGTACATACTCTTAGCTTATAAATAATTAAAAAAATACACACGTGAACAATCTAAATAAATAATTTGTAAAAATTAAATTAAATTTTTTCAAGAGACAGGGATGACTTCCCTATGACCTCTAATGAATCTAAAATAGGAACATAGATGTACACATAACAATGATAATTTCAGGAAAATCGGATAACCATCCTGCCATAGACAACTTTATAGATGTTCAATATGTTGTTCCTTTCTTTGTTGTAAATAAAGTAATTATCTATTCTGAAGAGAAAGCCCATAAGGCTTCAAAAATGCATTTAACGCAAACTACAAAAGCCTTGTTTTTGTTCATCAAAAACCCCAACATCCAGCAAGTAAGCAAAGTCAAACATGAGGGCTTATTGTCCAACTATTTGTTGGGTGTTGTGGATGAGGTATCAAATCTCTTTGTAGACTTTTTTCAGACTAAAATAAAGTAATTCCTGTCATACATGAGTCATTATTGTCCAACTCTCAGTTGGGTGTAGCAGACGAGGGATCAAACCACTTACATTTTTCATCGTTAATATTAGAGGAATTCACCCGCTGAAAAATTTGCAAGTTGACTAAAAAAAAGTGGCACTTGTGCAAAGAAAAGTATAGCAAAAAATTGTCTGTGGTCATCATACGTAATTTCGTGTGTCTGTGTAAATGTATGGTGTTTAGTGATCGTTAGTTAATGATTATTTGGAGATCGTGAGATGAGGTCTGGTATGATGTAGGTTTAGAAAAACATTTTCTTTATCGTGCCAATGTTTTGATCTTTATTGAGATCATCTTCAGCGCTCATAGTGTTTGTTTTCTGTGTAGAAGTGTCATTCTTGTCTGTCGTGTTGAGAGTGCCTACCAGACCGCATAATAATTAACTAACGGTCACTAAACACCATACATTTACACACACACATAAAATTATGTGTGACCACATAGACGATTTTTTGCTATACCAATCATTGGAATATCCAATAAAAGCCCCAAGTGGCTAGCAACCCCAAAACGACGCGAATGGCTTGACTATCAACACTTCATTGGCATAGAAGGTATTTGAGTTTTTGCCTTAGCCAGGATGTTGTCCTTAGCTGTTTTTTGTGACCAAAAGCACCATTTTTGTTACTGATTAATGGGTACCAGTGATGGCCTAAGAATGCACATTGAACAGTTTTAAGAGAAAAAAGATAGCATTGCTGCATAAAGCCCCCCCATACACCTACAAACCAATTGCACAATTGAGGCTATTATGCAAACAATTGTATAGTGTATTATGTTGTTTTAGGTGCTGTGCAACTAGTTGCGGAAATTCAAAACAGTTTGAAATTAATTGCATAACGAGTGGCATTGGGCAACTGTTGCATTGTGTATGGGCTCTTTTTGTATAAATGGTGTTACCATTTCTACTAATTCACCAAAAGTTATGAGGTCCATTCGCAAATAATTTTTATGATCAAGTGGTGAACTCAATTGAAGTTCTTTGAGGAGATTTGCGTGGCTAAAAACAGATCTTTTCTTCAACCACTCTTTGCTTCCTTTTTCTTTCTTTTTTTGACACAATAGAAATTATAGCTAAACAGGCTGCATCAAGACAAAAGACAAAACAGACAAAAGCAGTTTAAAAAAAAAAAAGCAAGGTGTATGGGGGGGCTTAACAATCCTTAATCTGCAACATCATGATATGTACATTTTAAAAAATATACACAAATGGATTTATTAGTGAAAGCATTTGTTTACCAGGCGTTAGTTTTCTTCACAATTATAACAATAAAATTAGATTTTTTATTATGTTCAAATAATATTTGGTGTATATTAAAGGTTGTATCCATCGATGAAAAAAGTACACTGAATCTCGAAAAAATTTAGAGTATTTATACTACTATTGCATGGATAAAGGGTTGTAATTACATAATTGAAATGAGATTATACATTATTTGGAAATATGTAATAATAAAAAGACATATCTAAACTAAATTTTTCTAAAAATGAAGATTTACAATTAATTTACATGTTGTTCAAAAGATAGCGCCAGAGTGGTATAGAACAGTAATAGAACCTTTTGTTTGTATACTTTGGTTTTCAAAGTTTTCTCCTTTAATTTGAACGAAATAATGGTTTATCTTTACGTTTCTACAAATTCGACAATTGATTTCAATGGCTGCACCAAACAGAATTTGGATGCTTTGTGATGACGTTAAACTTTTAGACGGTATAATCCAGTTTGGATTCGATAACTGGAATGACATATCGAAGTACACAGGTTGGGATGCGAAAGAGTGCGAAGATCGTTACATCCAAAGGTTCATCACAGAGCCCCAAAACGCAGAACTTCAGGAACTGGTCAAAGACTGGAATGAAGAAAGGAAGTCTGACAGGCTTTGCCCCAACAACTGCTTCCTGTCTGTGCCGAACAAGGTCAACGCGTATAACTACGCCAAACTGGTAAAATTGGAAGACCACCTCAGTTTCCTTGCTCAAGAGGGTTGTAAAAAACCACCTCCGATCCCTCACAGAAGGAGGTTTGTAAACAGTTATCTCCCTCTGCCTGGGCACAATCCGTATCGGTCTGACTTCGATGTTGAGTTCGATGACAAGGCAGAGCATATTCTCAGCCTGCTTTACGAACCTGAAGATCAAGACCCTGCTCCTGTCGAACCCGACAAGCAAGACAAGCAATTAATCGATGAGATGAAAATCGCCTTAGCGAGCATTTACAATTTTAGGCTTAGTGAGAGGTTCAAACGCAAAATAATCATCAGGAACCATGCTCTTATAGACAGAAGAAAGACATACAATGCGCTACAAAGGTTTGAGGTAAGGCAGATTATGCTTTCATTTAATTAAAATAATAGTGTGTGTGCTTTGATACTGGCATATTCTTGTATTGTGCGCCATGCTATCTATCGGTGAAGCAGGATGTATTGATGTTTACATTAGAGAAAATTTATTTAACTCAAATAAAAAGATGTTGCTTTGAGGATCTCCTTAGGTTTCTTTCAGATGATGCGTTAGTTGTTTCAACTATGGTGAAAGGCACAAAAAGTGGCCACCCTTAATATTTTTAATTATCTCTCAGACAGTCCTCCATTGCCTCCTCTTACAACAATATTTCGTCCATTTTAAAGGATTAGAGGTAAATAAAGCAGATAAAATCTCCCACTTGTGTTTACAATTTGATTTTGTAAATAAATCTTTGAATAGTCAATCTCTTCTGTGTTGATTTTTTTGTAAAGCTTCTTTCTAACGTTCCGGTGGTTTGATTCTTTTAAGTTGTACCATTTTTAAGTTTCATATTTGTTTGAGTGATGGTTTAAACTGATACATCAGCTAGAATCATAGCATTTTTGGAAGATGGAAGAAGTCAAGCGTATGTGGCCAGGGTGCATAATATACCCAGAATAAATAACCGAAGGGTCTTCCCCCTTCAATTCCCACAGACCCCCTGGTATTTTTTCATGACCCCTTCCTCAAAAATAAAGTGATACAATAATTCATTGTGCTCTGGCTAATAATGAGAAATAGGGCCATTAAAAAAAAAAGCATTAAAAAAATATGTTTTTCAGCTGAGGCTTAAGGAGACCCTCAGTATCCAACCTCTTAACATGAAATGAAAGTTTGTGTTAAGATTTTTAAGGTATTAATAAAAAATACTAAGAAAAGTGACAAACCGGAGGGCTTAACGTCCAACTACCCTTTGGGGGGGGGGTCAAACATTTTACAATAAATGTTTTATACTGTAATTAATTAAAAAGCCATGGGTTTTGCCAGGATTTGAACCCAGAACCACTAGGGTGGCAAATACATGTCAGACGCCCTAACCTCTCAGCCTCCACAGTCCCCTTATAAAAAAATATTAGTCAATACTTATTACTAAACATCATTTATATTGTTAAATATAATTAAATTTACAATATAGTTTCTGGAGAATGCATGATTTCCTGTGTTTAATGTTAATCGATATTTAATTAAAGTTTTGTAATATTTATAACTAAAATTTACTTATTTTTCTTTAGATTTCAACTGTTGGTAAAAATCTTTCAACTCTGCTTCATCTTCAGAGGTTTATTTCTGGTCCGGAATTCGATTACCTTTATGAAAGCCTTTTGCATCAGAATGAGCTCAAATTGCGTATTCAGTCATACATCAACTACAGGGAACAAGGGATCAGGTTTTTAAGCGGCATAAAGACATACGATGCTTTGAATAAAAAAAGATCCAAGTATAAAGCAGAGCTGAGGTATAATAGAATCCAGCTCGACGAATACGGGTTCAGACAGGTCAGATGCGCCGCGCCGCTTGTACTTCACAACCTGCCAGGGTAAGTCGACGGTTAAGTTTCTATTGAAACAAATTCGAATTCGGTTTGTAAATTTTCAGATATAATCTGCTCGAAGAAGGTGAAAAAGATTTATGCTCTAATGCGAGGATAATACCAGAGACTTTCTACAACTTCAAGCAGCTGCTAATATCGGAATGTAAAAAGAACAATGGGCTCAGGCTGGCCCAGGCAAGGCAATTAATAAAAATTGATGTCAATAAAACAAGAAAAATTTACGACCACCTCATGTCTTCCAAATTGATCTGGCAGCCTAGATGATTTTGATTTTATTAATACATATTTTAATGTAAATGATATAAACATTTATTTATTTAACTGTATTAAAAGTTTATTTTTGAAATATATTTGAATTAGGGCTGTGCCTGAAGTTGTAAATCTTATTGACCCCAATTAAATAAATTTCATGTTGACAACAAATACGTCCAAACACATATTAAATACTTTAATATCGGTACATTAATTACATAATTACGTTTTTCATGTTAATAGGAATCAACGAAATATTTGCTTTGTTATTAAATTGATTCTTCTATTTTTTACAATTTATGTTCCTCACTTTCCTTGCATGCCTTGTTGGAAATCAGATTATTTGTACGGCATACAATTTCACTACAAAATAACATTTTTTATGACTTAATTGGTAACAATTAAAACATGAAAATTGTTTGAGCAGAGGTTTTAATTTGCTATTGACCCATATCAATTACATTATCGAACAAATTAATAAAATTTTAAGAGTTGAGCTGTTTTGTTAATGAATAGCATTATTTTGTTTTTACAATTTTTTTTTTTTTTTAATTTGTTGATGGTCTTTCATACTAAAACACAAAAACATGCAATATTTTTTATTTAGTTAGAAGTTTTTGTTTAAATTTGTACAACCCATGTTTCAATGATGTTTATTTAATATTCTTAAAATATTTAAGTAACTTCTAAATGCTCAAAATATTGACTAAAAATGTTTTAGAAATATCATTTACAATATTTATTAATAATTAAACTTGTATTTTTATTTCTCTACCATCCTTATTGGGGTGACATTGATATTTAAAAGTTACATCCTAAATATTTTGAGAATCAAAGTATGACTATAAAAAAAAATACTGGAATTAGTTTTTACATTTAAATTATAATATAATCTTGCAAAAAATGAAATTGATGATTGGAGCGCTCAACCAAATTATTACATTTACATATAATATATATAAAACATTTAGATAATAAAAAGAAATAATGGTTAGCTATAATTTGGATTGTCTTCAGACCAAAATTTTGCTTCCAACTAATAACATCATTTTAGCTAAATTATCTTAAAACATAAAATCAGTTTTCAATTATCTTTTAGATTAAACTTGTTTACATTATTTTTCGCCAAAAATATTTATAAAACAGAAATAAATTGTAAAAATGTAATTCAAAATGTAAAATTGAAAAAAAAAATTAAATTTTAAATTACAATCAGTACTTTTAATTAAGTAGACTAGTGGTGTTTTACAAGATGGCCTATGATTCTCTTTTAATTTTATTTAATAGTCAGTTTTCTGAAATTAAATTGATCAGGGAAATTTGTTGAGTCAGTCACTGCTTTGAACTTCTGTGTTCTTGTATTTATTTATGACCTCTAATAGTTTATCAGCCTCCTGCTCAGTTTTCACCCTGAGCAAAACCGGTACCGGAGCCGGTTTCGAGTCGGGAGTTGGGATGCACACGACCGTAACGTTGTTTTTACCGACTCTCTCGCTTGGTATGTCTTTGTTGAGGATGAAGTTCAAAAGTACATTTCCTAAATTGGTGTCTGCTCTCACGATAACTTGGTGCTTCCCACTTATGCTTTTAATGTACAACGTGCCAACACCTCTGTCTGCATAATTATTGTCATTTTTAACAAACAGTTTGACCCTGAAAATAAAAAATGAATTGTACTTTTTACTGATTTTAAAAGAAAATTAAATCGGTGTTGCAAGGTTACCTTTGTGAAAACAATGCTTCTTCTTCAACTACAGGAACTAAATTATACTTCTCTCCAGCCACTTCATCTTCATTGCCATCTTTATTGCCATCGGTAGTTTCAGAACCACTGTTTCCACTTGTAAATGTACTAGAAATACAATTATTTGTATTATTTTTGTCATACTGATGTTCAATTCAACAAATTTAATTCTACAATAAAAATTAATATCTTACCTTTGAAAAGTTGTGGGTTTTTTCATGTTTTCAAATGTAGGTATGTTAAAACTAGTCGTTGTATTGGATGATAAAAGAGGATTTGTTACTGAAGACGCACCAAATGTAAATGGCGAAGGTTTGTCTTTATTTGGTGAAATGTCTCCTTCTTTTTGTACTTGCTTTTGGGCTGAACTATTTGTCAATGATTCATTAATAGGTAACTTAGAGAATTTAAATGTGCTAAAAGATGTCGTCTGTTCGTTATCTTTTTGCCCTGTATCCCGTTCAGCTCTAATCTCTTTAAGGTAGTTATCATAGTCCGTAAACACCGGTGATAATATGCACGTCGGATTTTGCTCAATGTGCAATTTGATCCATTCTAATAGTGTCTCATTTAAACCTTTAAGTTTAGATAGATAAACTCCTTGTTTATCAGCTTTTGGCCCCTCTTTTGATCCTTCCTTCGATGGAAGTTCGTTGCTGCCATTTTTAAATTGAGACGAAAACAGGCTGTCTGATGAAAACGTCGCTTTTGGAAAAATTAGTTTGTTCTTTTCATCCTGAAACAAGAGACAAGTTGTAAGACTTTAATGAAAAACATTGTCAAAGAAGAATCATTTACCTCATTTGATTTCGTGTCATTCCCTGAAGTATTTGTGTCCTCTGATTTACTACTTTGACTATTGTTGGACGATATGTTGCTAAATAAATTTGTAAATGGATTGTTGGAAGTACTATTTGGAATATTGAAACCACCAAATCCAGCGAATACGTTTGTGCCATTTGCGGGCTATAAAAATAGAAAAACATATATAATTTTATCACAGTAATATATTTTTTGTCTAATTTGTAGTTATAGTTTTAATCCTTATTCACACTAAAACATTACTTCTATCTTTACGGATGTCAAGGGAAATGCATTAAAAACAAATTACTTGAATAACAAGAAAAAGTAAAATGAAATGAGACAAAATTTTTTAAAATAAATTTTATAGAGGGCTGACTTTTAAAGTTCCCATCAGTAAAGTAAAAAAAGCCTCACCATCATTTTACAAACTTAAAAAATGGGTACGGCTGGTCAAACCACAATAATACCAACTGCTGAAGATGACAAAAGGTTGAAATGCACCTGATAGAATAAATAGGACATAATTACTAGCCGACATTAAACACTAATACACAATAGCCACATTAAAGGAGAAATGGAATCTTGGATGAGTAACAAACGACAAGAAAAAAAGGAAAACCTTCTCAACAAAAGAAATTAAAAACTCTTAACTGGCATATTTAATGCTCCAGTTAAACATCACCTTCAAAAACCAGTGCTATCAACAGATGGCCAATGTTTAGAAGAGATAGAAACTATAGAACATATCCTATGCAACTGTAATAGTTAGGAAAAGGATATGGAACCTGGGAAAACCATTCTTGAACCATGTAAATCTTGATGCCAAACCCCTGAGAAGAATTCATTACTTCATAAAAGAAACTAATAGCTTCAAGGAAACCCATTAACAGAGATCGGCACAATAAAAGACAGTTTAAGTCTAAAGGAATTAATCGTTATGACTCCATATGGACAGGAAAAATGATAATTTATTTATCTATAGCCTCTTTTTCAGCCTCCCACCACAACATATTTTTGGAGAGAACTCAAAGACTGACCTGACTGTAAACCTAGGCTAATATGCTCCAGTTTTCCAGTTTTGAATCACGGCGATTGCGCATTGCACCAGGGAAAGAAAAAGGCTAGGACTACATTCCCAGAAGATCGCCTATTCTCAGACAGTCAGACAGACTAAAGCCTTATGTGAGGTGAAGGCAAACGGTATTTACAACTGCATGGAGGTTCTTGCGGAAGTCAGCATTGACATTGGCCTGACCATTGATTGGGCCCTGGACATTGGGGACATAGAGGCAATGAGATAGAGGACATGTAGGCCAAAGAGGTAGCCAAGATGGGCTCTACCCTACGAACCCTACTATAGCCTAGCACCTTGCCACAAAAGAGGATTCATCTTAAAATGGATCCTTAATGAGTCTAAAACCTGGTGGAACAACACCCCAGGAATGAGACACGCAAAGAGATTCATAAAAGGGCCATCCACAAAACTTACAAACAAATTACTGGAAGGCACCGCAACCGAACCAGGATTCTGGTTGGACTCCTGACAGGGCACTGCCACTTAAGAAAGCATATCCACTGGATAGAAGAACAGACAGAAGAAACACTATGCAGATACTGCCAGGAAGAGGAGGAGACCGCAGAACACATTTTATGTTTCTGTGAAGGACTTTGTAGGTGCAGATTCTTACAACTAGGAGAGGAAAAGCTGCAAGATCCAACACTAAGGAGCTGCAGGGTAGGCTATGAAGGTCGATTAACAGCCCGAAGCTAGCCAGTGAGTTATATAAAAATAGAAGAGCACAATAGATCTACTCAGGTCAAGGTGAAGGCCTGGTGACCACCTCTTTGATCCCTATCCTTACACCTCTTTCACCAGGGGCGTTCATTCAATTGGTCAAACGAACGTGTGTCAAGGAATGTAGCTGGGTAGGAAATGTTTTGAAACTACAGGCACAAGTAATGGTGACTGTTGGCTCAACTCAAAAGACACAAGTCAGCATTTATCCTTTACATTGAAGGAATAATGTTTGGGCACATGGCAACCCAGTTGAATTAACTAAGGCTCAAATCATAGTCAACTCTTTTAAAGACTTAGAAAAATATAAACATAAGGGTCTTATGATTTTTTCAAAAACTGATTGTCCTTGTGTTTTGTTGAGAGATGATAATTGAAGACAATGAAAAATTTCTTTCATAATTTTTTATTTCCCCCAGTTCAAAGAAAAACCAAAACAACCATAGGAGTTGCTGAAGAACCTTGTAGATTAGTACAGATTTTAGACATTTGTGTGCGAATGTGACATGTCCGAGAAGGTGAAATTATCTAAATATTAAAACGAATCCATTTAATTGACCATGTTAATTATTTCAATTAATTATTCTTTTTATGTAAGGTCTTGGTTAGGGATGGTTACAAGCAATATTCGAACCCACCATCTTCGGCGCAATACGCTGTTGCTCTTAACACTTGAGCTATCGTGACTTCGATCCCCTCTGACTCCAACTTCCCATCTCAACCTACAACTGTTCGAATTTTCCCTATTTTTGCCATTTTTCAAATGTCGTGTAATCAGGATTCGATTCTCAGCGATTTATGAAGTGGCCACGGGGAGCTGTTAGTGAAGTGATACTTCTTTACTTATTATACATTAATTCGTTTATGTTTAGTGGTCTAATTGACCATTAATTATTCTTTTTATGTAAGGTTTTGGTCGTGGAAATGGGAAGTTGGTGTCTCAATAGATCGAAGTCACGATAGCTCAAGCGGTTAAAGCAGCGGTATATTGAGCCGAAGGTCATGGGTTCGAACCCCACTCATAACATTAACTCTTTCATCTCAACCAAGACCTTACATACAAAGAGTAATTAATTGAAATAGTTAACACGAATGTAGTCGTAAATTTATGTTAATGAACACATTATATCCATGAAGTGATTGGAGGTATATTAACAGTACAAAACCACCTCATGGATGGGCCTTTTACGAAACATTATTTATGCTAGTGCTGTTGTGGAAAACCATGTCAGTACCTGGGTAGTACGTCTCTTTCCCACTTTTATTACTCTTTTGCTCATATCTTCCTTTGAAGCTTTTTTAAAAACTCCGATTTCTTCCGGTTCTTCTTCCACATCCCAGTTATCTCGATTTAATTCCGTCGTAGCCGTTCTCTTGGTCATTTTGTATCGTTCTTGATTATGTTGGTTCCCGAAGCTGGATAAAAAGCGAAAAAAAGCAAGACAAAGCTGGAGCTTCGATGTGCTAAAATGTAAAACGGTCAATGCGAAGTTTATCTAAGTTGAGACGTGCTATCCTGTAAAGTAACCTGTTGTATCCACGGATGGCAAATGCCGTTACTATTCTAAAATTGAGCGTTTCGAGTATTTTAAAATTTTGAAGTCTGTACGATCTACCATAAGGGGATTAATTTTATTGTCTGAAGTTTTAATGGAAATAATTTTTAAAAAAAATTGGCATTTTCAAAAACGGACGATAGGAAATTTAGGAAATGGTTTTGAAAAGTTGACTGCCCGTAAAGATTTTCTCCCGGTTCGACTTTAATTTCCAGAAGATATTTCTCTCTTCTTTTCCCGGGTGGAAGCATTTTAAAATATACCCGGTGAACAATTTGTCTCCCGAGACGGAATCGACATTAAAAATCGGCGGATAATCAAAATTTCGTATTAGTTTTAACGAAACTCCTCAGAGGGAGCCTCGACGTTTGGGGGCTTTTGTGGATATTTCTCCCCTTGATTTTGCCTTTTATCCCCGATATGAAATTTTCTCAGGGTGCATTCTCGTATTCAATTGAAATGATTGTTTTTACAAATGGACTTAAAAAGGGTTTTTAAGGGCTAGCAGGGATTTTGCACGATAGTCCGCATTCGAGGGCGTCGGGTAAACCAAACTATATTCCAACGTTTTCAGTTTTAATCATCTGTGGAGTTTGTTTACGCCTATGAATGGAAAAAATGGAGCAAGAATTGACAACAGTCGAAAGAATAAGAGAACTACAGAATCAATTGAGGATTGCCATTCAGAACCACCAGGTATACATTTAATTTTTGGACAGTTAACGTTTTCTCCACTATTTAAAAACTATCTTGAGCCAGTACTCGTTTGGTCAAGTGAACTTTTACATTTGCAGGCAATTTAATTTTTCTCTGCTTTTCTTTCAGTTGCTTTATGTGAGAAGAAGATCTTGCCCTTCGGTGAGTATCAGGAATATTTTGGAATGCTTGCGACATGAGACAAATGACATATGTTACACTTTACGTTGTTTTCTTCTTTTCGCAGGATCCTGATATTAAAAATCACATGAACGTGATCCAGGGGTTAATCATTTCGATGGGAAGGACTCAGGTACTTTCAGTTTGATGTTTACTGTATTTACGATAGAAACCGAGTCCAATTTTGTACATTGCGCAGAGCAAAATTTACAGAAACCGGATTTAGTTTGTTATCCAACATTGCGCTCTCTGATTTGATCGTTTTGCAAAAGAACAATGGTTTACTGAAAAATTGTAATGTTGCGACTTATTACAAGTTCGTTGGCATTCATGCTTCAATAAATCTTTAAACACTTGTACCCAAATGGCATAAATTTTTTACTTTTCCTCTTGTTTTCTCTCATTTAACACATAACCATTTGTGACTACCCATTTTCTAATTTCTGTTGTTCTGAAATTGGGCGTTGATGGAAAATTGCCACTTTGCAAATTGGGCGTTTCCTAATTTCAAATTAAAAAATACATATTGTCCCATGCAGTGAATAATTATGTTAATAATGAAATAAATCTTTGTAAATTTCCCTTGCCTCTAATCCGGATTTGGACCTAAGTTCTAACATTGCTAAATCTGTACATTTCACAATGTTGTGTCTAAACTATAACAACTTAAAACAGTATTCTTTCTGTATATGTTGTATGTAAACGGAATTATGTTCTCTATACTGTAGCCCGTCTTAACGTATGACCAGTTTCTTTTTAATATAGCATGACAAATGTAGGTCAAAGAACTCTATCTCTCATCACCTTAATTGATGCTTTTTAATACAATGTAGCTTCCGGCGTTGTAGGAATTCAAAGTGACATAAATATATCTTAAATGTTTTAATCAAATGCATGCATACTTGTGTAAAAATGCCTTAACGATTCTTCACAACCAGTTAAACATTTGCTTTTTTTTAATGGATCTTAAAATTTGATTTTCACGGAATGTTTCAAATCGCTAAATCCTTGTGGATATGAGTATTTAGCTAAAGAAAAGACAAGAGGAACGTAAATTATTTGTAGGATAGAATCAGAAAAACAAGCAATATATTATAGTTTCTAATATTTGCACATTAACATTTGCTTTATTACTTTAACAACTTCGAACTTTATTGATTTCCATTACATTTACCAAGTCTGTATATTTACGTACTTATAATTATTAAAGAAAGCATTTGTTAACAGGTGTGCACGTGTGTATGTGTGTTTGTGTGTGAAAGAGAGAAAGAGATTAAATTGGATGAAACAAAAATCACGCTTAAAATTAATTCCGAACAGTTCAGGAGACAATTTGTAGACTGGTGATGCACTATGCAAGCCAGATTATAATGCATTTAATATTTTGTGCTAATCGTTTCATCTTTTGGTGTTAATTTGTCTTTAGTTAAGTTAATTTTGTTGTTTTAGTTAATGTTAATTTAGCAATGCTCATATTGCCATCAATCGTGTATTTGTATGTTTAGCTTTATCCAATAATTTTTAAATTTTGGTTAGTTTTTAACTTTTTTGAAAAAATTTAGCTCTACTCCAGATACTAATCACTCAGTTATTTTACTAACCTTTGAGAAAAGCAAATTCTGGCAAAATAATACTCGATTTTTATTTACATATGTTATATATTGTTGGCTAAGATTTTTTTTTTTTTTATCACACACCTATTCCACAAATAAAGAAAAGCTTGTTGAAATAAATAAATTTATTTCAGGCTTCCCTGTTGTCTCAGTTCAAGCAGGAAATTACCCAGCAATACGACACACGGGCTTCGAGTTTACGTATCACGAATATTATGTCTAAGCACTTATCATGGAGCGATTCGCCTAAGAATATCCCCGTTTACAAAAATAATATAAACAAGAAGAAAGTTGAACCTAGTGAAAAAAAACCTTGGGGTCGGAAATCGAAGAGGGAAGCAATTTTTCGTAAACCCAGCAAACTCCAATCTCTTTTAAAGGTCAATAACGAAAAGATAAATTCTAAAAAAGAGAACGATAAAGACGCACTTTTTTTCGACAGATCAAAAATTAAAATAGTTTACAGCAACAACAATAAAAAGTTTTGTGATAATTCATCATTAATAAGTGCTAAAAAACTACAATCTGTTTTAAAGCCAAAGTACGATAAAACAAAAGAAAGTCTATTAAAAGATAAGAGAGAATTAGAAAATGGCCAACACGATAAATATTCTATTATTGAAGTCGCTTCTGAGCCAACGAGTCCGTGCTCCTCGAATGATGATACCAAGAGTAAAGAAAGTCCTAGTCAAAGCGAGAGTCATTCTGATACAGAGGTTGTTGAAAATGTTCGGGTCAGAAGGCCAAAAGTAGATCCAGTTATAGATAAAAAGTTTAAAAAACTTGTTAGGAAAAAAAGTAAGTATAAATTCCGTAGGTTTTTAACATTCCTGATTTAATTAATTAATTAATTTTTTTTCTTTTAGAAGAGCGATTTGAAAGTACCATCGTCCTAAGGTCTAATGGCTACGTCAATAACTGGTAATTACTAGATCGCAGAAACATTTCTGGTGTCAATAAATTTTTCTCACATTCGATTCGTTTTCAGCCATCAACAGAAAGATGACACTGAAATGCCTGATTCAATCAAAGATATTTCGCAAGAAGGATTCTTAAAATTTTTTGGTAATAGGCCGTAAAGTTTAAAATAATTAATAAGTTTTCAAAATGTGTGTAATATACAATAGGTTTGTTCAAACACACAATCACAAATCACTTGTCAACTAATCCATGATTTTTGACTGCGCATACCCGGACATTGACTGATCGCAGATTCTTAACTCCTTTGGAACTCTTTTTTCCAATCACGGACTCGTACAAACGGTAGCTTATGTGTGGTTTGAAACACACCAAAGTACAATGGTTAATTTTTCATTAAAAACCAACTTCAGCAACAGGATTAAAAAAAAAAAAATCAAATTTCACTTTATTATGTTACTTTATTAATGTAAACAAACTGACATAATAGAATTCTATTGAAATAATCGGAATTTTATCTGATGATATCTAATTTTCCTGAAGTTAATTATTTATTTTAAATTATCTAATTTATTATTTATATAATTATATGATTTTTTGTGTGACTTAGATTTTTCTGTTATATTTCCTTTCCAAATGAATATGTACTAGACTGAAAAAAAGAAATTCTATTGTTGGTTGAGGTCACTGAAATTCATCCCACATGTTTTAATATTTTTAGAGTATATTGTATATTTAAGGGGGTTTGTTAGTGCATATTTTAGAATTTTTATTACAAAACCCAGTGTGTAAGAACTTCGTGATATGACGAGAGCGAAAGCACAGCGAAATGTCGCACACATCTGTGATTACCAGTCCAAGCAAAATCCTCGGACTATTTCGAATGTCAAAAACCAGTCATAAACTCTGCTCGAAGCCAAGTTGGAGCAGCTATCTGTCGGTTTTCTAGCGTTGGAACGATCAAACTCGACTGTGTAAGTCAGTTTGCCGATGGTTTGGACATGTGATGGAACAGATCTAATATGTATAAGAAAATAATTTTGACATTTACTCTTAATACCTTGCTAGTTTTCAAAAGTAAATAAGATTTACTGGGTTATATGCAACTGATATTATCACAGTTAAATTATATATTATAAATATTAAAGTACAATTATTGCATAACTATTATTTATTATCATTATAAATGTTATCTATTTTCAAATTGTAAAATTAACATGCTAATTGGCTGTATAAAATAGTGACATTTAAACCTAAATTAATTTAAAGTTTGCTGTAATTATTTTCTTTTTTAATTACTTTGTTAGCTTATATTCTAGTAACTTGTAAAGTTACTATTTATATATTACCAGTTTAATTGAATGTTGTATTTTCTTAAGTTTTATCTATAAAAAATATTAATGTGTATGTTTATTTATAGATCGTGAGACAAGGTAGTGGGATGTAGGTTTAGAAAAACATTAACTTTATCAAGCCAATGTTTCGAGCTTGGCACAGTAAAGAAAATGTTTTTCTGAACCTACATCATACCAGACTGCATCTCACGATCTCTAAATAATCATTAATTAATGATCACTAAATACTACATATTAATGTGTATTGTAAATTATATTCTTTATTAAACACTCATGAAGCCATTTTAAGTGGTGAAAACTTAGCTTTCAAGTATTGTCAATATAATTTTTTATTCTTATCTTATAGTTTTAAAATTAGTTCATTCAATAATCATTTGTTGGTATTAATGTTTGTTTTTTAATTTAATGAGTCATATTTTTTCTTTATCTGGTTAGATTGGAATTATTTATTGAGGTATATATTCTAGGAGACAAAAATTTAATATAACGAAATTTTCAAAAAGAAATTAATTGTTTTAAAATTAAAATTAAATTGTTCCTTCACTATTATGGAGCATTTCTGTACTTTAGAGATTTTTTAATTAGAAAATTCCTTTTTATTTTTTACTTGTTTAATTAATTTTGTATCATTTCAAATGTTTGCAATGGTTTTAAAATAAATGAATTTGTAGGATTAATAAGCCGATCACAAAGCGATGTACTAAAGAGGAAACGTTGTGAAAGGAAGCGGAGGAGTGTAGCCGGACAAAACAATTTTTATAACGACTATTTTCAACCTACGACAGTACGTAATACTCCAATTTAATATAAATTTAATATAAAAAAATTTAATCGTTAAAATATATATTTTATGTTTTAGCCTAAACGTACATATACACCGAGAAAGGCTGCTAGTATACCTACATCCCCGAATAATCAAGTGACTGTTGAGACAGCAATTGATATCGACGATGAAGATGAAAAACCGAGCAAAAATAGCATAAGCTGTGTTATTTGCAACGACGAAGGTAATGAGATATATTCTCTTCAAATCGGCAGTGTTTTAAAGTATGGTTTTGCAGGTACGTTAGAGACGTGTGCTTCATGCAGCGAAGCCTACCATTCCGCTTGTTCTACTTTCAACGGTGGCTGTCCTACGTGTAGCGCTCAAGCCGCAAATATTAAAAGTATAGTAGGTGCCAATTCTGCAAGCTCCGCTTCCAGTTCAGAACTGATAAAACGATATTTAGTTCCTAACGGTGATGTTTAGAGAAAGGTATTTCCATCGCCTTCGTGCATTTGGTGTAAATAGAAGCGATTCTGCCAGTGTGCTCAATAGTCGTTATTCTGTTTTAGGGAACTTGTACAAATGAATGAACTAAACTAGAGAAAATATTTATATTCATACTTGAAATTCGACTGAAAAATTATTTATTTGAAAATATTTTTTTTTTAATTGTTGAAATGATTTCTAATTAACTACATTATAGATTAGCTTTGTGTGTATGTATTGTATCTCATAGATATAACATATACACATACGTATGGGTTTTTTAATGGTTTTCAATTAATGTAAAATTATTGCTTTACTTATTAACGAAATGTGAGATAACAACAATCATAAATCAGATAATTATTTTACCCCTGTTATTTAATTGTGTTTCCTTACCTCCTTCAATAAAAGATTTGCAATTTTACCTGTCATAGATCTCGGGGCTTATGTATATACTTCCTATATCAAAATTGGCACGTTGTCCAAATGTGTATAATGTACAGATAGTTCTTTCTATGTATTGCAATTATGGATTAAAACAAAATTCCTTTTGATAACGTATAAATACATATTATCTTGATCATAAATTTCACAAATTGTGCTCTTTATTTAATAAATATTGTTTTGATTGATTTAATTTATTTGTGATCTGTGTTATTAATGTTTTGGCCATTAATTTAAATGATTATTTCTTCCGCCCAACATTTTACTGATTAAAGTGATTTAAATTTAAAAACGTATTATTATTATTATTATTATTTGTTTATTGAATAAATACTTTATGGTATTGTTTTTAAAATGTTCCTTTGGCCTTTTAACAAATATCTCTTAACAAAACCATGAACTTACTAATATTCCAGCACTCCCATACAATCATCATATTTGGAAAAAAACTTTGAAACATACATACTACCAAATTGTTTTAGTTATTTCTTGATTTTCCAACATTCAAATAATCTGTACTTTGGTTGTTACCATTTTTGTCTGTCAGACGCGCTTCAGCATTCTGCAGTCGAATACACCACAATATGACAAAGTGCCAAAACACATCTAACAGTTCAAACCAGTGAGGATGGGAAATACAAAATAATCGTTAATGACCAAATTACAGATTCATAATATCCTAGACTACATGGAAAAATCAAACGATCAAATAACCATTGATCTAAAATTTTCAAATAGTTTAGTTATACGTTGTCTTAGCAAGGTGATTCCTGTTGGATTTGTCTGTGGCTGCAGTGAATAAAAGGTCAGAATGCTTGATTTTCTTTGTTTTGTTGTCGTTTTTGGATGTCTATTTGCAAGTGGTTTGGAAAAGCTAACCAACGTTACTACAATACTTTCTTTTTTTTTCCAATAACGGATTTGACCACAGAATTTTTCTGTTGGGTTTTTTTGGGGATATTGTAGGCGATTCTCTTGTTATACCTTGAGAAAGGAGGTATATCCTCCAAAATGTTCGTGAAATAAATGTAAGTGAAACGAATGGTGTCACTTTTTGACTGAAAATGAACAGTCATTATATTCACCGATATTAGAAAAACAGAATTTTTAACAAAGCATGAGAATCACAAAAAAAGCCACTAGGGACCCAAAGTTAAGTTGCTTTTATTGTTAGAGAAAAGCTGTTGATAGGAATAAGGAAATATTTTTGTTTTGTTCAGCCATTTCCCAAAGCTAAGTCCTAGCTGCATTCAGTTTTACACTCAAAAGGACTAAATTAAACTAATTTCATCACGATTTTGTGTTGTGGTCTGTGTGATGGTCATCTTGATCTGCCTATTTTTTCTGTTTTGTTTGTCACATTTCGATGTAACACGGGTTAGAAAAAGGTATGACCTATAAGTGTGAGATTTCTTTGGGACATGATCAACTAGTAATTTGGTTTTTAGATAAATTTGGTCTGTCTGCCTTTGCTGGGTTGGTCTGTCAGATGAGTTATGGCAGTGTGTATAGACATAGAACATCCCAGTAGAGTAGGCAGACCAAAATGATCAGTAACAACTGAGGATCGTTAAAAGATTACAATAAGACTTCTACAACTTGTTATCTATGAAGTGTGAAAAACTTCAGGACCCCAGCCAAAAAAAGCGTAGCCACACATCCCTTAGAACCGTCTCGGTTTCGGATAACAGGAAGTCAAGTAATCCTAAATTCTAAGCTGTAGTAGTCAACCAGCTGACAGTGAAATTCTTAGGCCCAAAACACACTGGATTAGTGAATTTGATTGATGCAAACCGTAACAAAATGTTTAATTGTGACTGAATTTGACTGGAATAGCTACCACACTGCAGGCAAAACAAGTTTAGTCAATTGTGCACCGATGTAGTGAAGACGCAGTTTTGGTGTATGGTCTGATTATTTAACAAATTATATTATACATCTGTGTGTCCAAAAAAGTTGATTTACTGACTTATTAATTGGCAACATGGCTTGTGATGAACTAGTGCTATTCATTGGACTAATGAAAGGGTCACATCTTACTCCTGCTCTTTCAATTACCTATATATTTAGTTAATTTAAAACTGTCTGTTTAATATTTTGTTTCCTCACTCCTGGCAATTTATCTGTCTGGCATTAAATTTCTAAAAAATGTCAATGTGTGGTTTTCTGGCTCTGTTCCGAACTGGGGAAAATAAATCTTTTGGTCCACTATCTCGTCAACAGCAGCAGTTGGCTGTTTCTTGAAAGTTAGACTGTGGGACTTAGACAAATGCTACTGTTTTGCTTTGCTTCAAACAGCATAGAGTAGCATTAGACTGTTGTAATTAATGCGGTGGATTTTGGGTCTTACAGCACTTTAGGCACTTAAGACTCTTATTACACATAGTTTAAAAAACAGCTAGGTGACAGTGACCATGATGAGGTGTTCTTTCCTGGCAGTTTCAGGAAATCCTCATTGAATTTTAATAACAGACAGTATACACAGTTATAACAATATATGGACTTTTCTCAGCCTACCCCAAACGCCAGTCTTAGCTAACAAATTTCAAACAAACTCTGTCAAAACTTAAGATTCAGCTGATCGCGACTAGACGCCAAATCGATAACAAGTCATCCATTTCCCAGAAATGACTTCCAGTACTTAATGGAATGCTTCTAATGCCGGAAGTTTGATAACAAACATCCGCATACACGTCGGGGTCATTAGTTGTAGTAGCCATAGGCATTTCGATTTAAAAAAATTCTTACTTCAAGCAATCTACCTGTTAATTGTTACAAAACAAATCGATTGTTTAGAAAGAATAAATAGCCTTAACGACGGCTTGTACAACCTAGATTGACGATTAGTGACCAGTTGCGATGCAATTTATTAACGGTGATCATTCATATTTAATTAGAAGACGAACTTCTGTTATGGCCTTAAATTCCAGTCGTCCATCCCTTAATTAATTAAAAATTTAATATGTTTTCAACAGCTGAGCATTCTATATTTAAAACGTCGTTAATGTCGTTAGCAAAATGTGTTAGAAAACACCTTTGTTAAATACCGGCTGCTCAATCAATTTGTACTCCACATTTGAAGGTCATTTAGAATGAAAACTCATTTCAACTTGGGCTGTTGACTTTATTGTTTTTTGTTTCTCTTTTCCTAAGCTACTCATTGTTTTTTATTTTTATTATTTTTTTAAACCTAATTTTTATTTGTAAATGTCCAATTAAATAGACTTAGAAGTGGAACGCGGCTATAAAAGTGTTGAAACACGTGGCTTACTTTGACTGCATTGGTTTCGAATTTCGATTATGGGAAGAAGCAAGAAAGAAAAACTAATTTTTTGAATAAAGATTCAACAAAAATGTTTTTAATACTTATCTATTAGAATATTTATTTACTTATTATTATAAAAAAAAGTCTTTAATGGTTATTCTGGAATGGTTAACTGGACGTTTCGAGAGAGGAAAATTGTCTGGACCATAGCATATAGCGTACGAAATTTCGTAGGATGAAATCATCCTCTCAGTACCAATGTTGTCCATGACTTATTGCATAAATGTCTTGGAAGTCAAAATCGTGCTCTATGCTAATTGAGAGGAGCATCACCTTTCCAAGAGATATACATAACATGGAATTCCTGACAAGGAACAGTAGGAATGACCTTTGCTCAGGTCCCCCTCCAGGACTTCTTTCTTCCCTACTCTTCCTTCTTCCCGTTAACCACGGGTTCACTTTCATTTTCAGTCCTCTGACCATGAAGGTGCCAATATCCTCGATAAGTTTGAACGTCTGCTTTTTACTCATAACATTACAATCATTAGTCAATATCGTCGAAGGTATTTAGACATTTTTTTGTTTTGTTTCCTGTACATTTTTTCCCGTTCAGGTGTTCTTTTTTTTATAAAACCGATCTCGGTTTTCTTTTTAATCCTTCAAGGGGGATTTAATAGGTGTTTTAAATGTCGCTCTCGGGGAGATCTGGGCAGCTGCAAAGATAATTTTGTGTACAACAACGCATCTGCCCTCGACGAGGTCCGTGGTATCGAGGCTGTACCATGCACTTCAGGATGGTGCGGGAAAATTTTAGACAAAGGAAGCAATTCTTTCAAAGACGAAGGTAATCAGAAACATTCAAAATTACATAATAAATACATTTTGAAAGCTTATTTAATCAATTAATTGTTAGAGGACAGTGCAAATGCAAGGATTTCGTAAGTAGGCGGTATTTTGACGGTTGTTTGTAATTAACACATTTCAACAGGGTGTTAATTACCTAGCCATATGTCACGAGAGAACTTTAAAAGTCATATACAGCAAAAACCATTTCTTTAATAATGAAACAATGGTAACGAAATTTCACAGCTCATCAAACATATGTGCGATATTACGAATTTAACAATTTTACAAATATTCAAGATCCCCTAGCCTAAAATTTAAAAAAAAAAGTAATTCTAAAGTATTAACAATAAATCAAATCTGGCAATCACAGTCCAGATGTAATAATTATGTGTTATTTTCTTCACAATTTTATTTTATTTCTATTTTTTGGTATGGTTGTTAAACTATGTATTATTTGTTTATGAGGGAAGGTCAAAGGCAACAAAAAATTCATTTGTTGTAATCCCGTAACTGTATTATCATAGCTCATCCTCAACTGTTTGTGTGATATTACGAATTTAACAATTTTACAAATTTTCATCACTCCTTTCGAATGAATTAAAATAAATTGTGGTAATTCTTAAAGGTTACCAATAAATCAAATCTGACAAACACAGTCCAATTGTAATAATTATTAAATCCATTATATTTAGTGGTCTATTGACCAAATTACTTCTTTCAATTAATTATTTGTTATTTTCTATGCAATTTTATATTATTTTATTTTTTTACATGGTTTTTAAAATATGTATTATTTGTTTATGAGGATAAGAAGGTTAATAAATGCAACAAAAAACCATTTGTTGTAATCCTGTAACAATTGTAACAATATTTTCTAGCTCATCCTCGACCATTGTGTGACATTATGAATTTAAAATTTTACAAATTTTCATCACCCCTTTCAAATAAATAAATATTCATGGTTATTTTTAAAGATTAACAATTCTATTTTTTGATATGGTTGTTAAACTATGTTTATCAGGATAAGAAGGTCAAATGCAACAAAAAACCATTTGTTGTAATCCTGTAACAATTGTAACAATATTTTCTAGCTCATCCTCGACCATTGTGTGACATTATGAATTTAAAATTTTACAAATTTTCATCACCCCTTTCAAATAAATAAATATTCATGGTTATTTTTAAAGATTAACAATTCTATTTTTTGATATGGTTGTTAAACTATGTTTATCAGGATAAGAAGGTCAAATGCAACAAAAAACCATTTGTTCTAATCCTATAACAATTGTAACCATATCTTCAGAGCTCATACTCAAATATTTGTGTGATAGTACGAATTTAACAATTTTACAAATATTCATTACAACTTCATTGTATCAGGTAGATCAAATCTGACAATAACTAGGCTTTTAATCATTTTGACAGTAAAACATATTTTGGTCGACTGTCCCACTTTACAACCCTTTAGGCAAAGGCTCAACCTTTCGAGAGATTTACAGGAGTTACTGGGTCCCCAATGTTTCTTTCGAAGAGTGCTTTTCAGCTTTCTCAAATTTATTAGAATTTATAATGAGATTTAGGCCTTTTCCCAAATTGTTATACCATTGAATGCTTGCTAATGTTTGAATGAGAGTTGCAAGATTTCTTTTTTCAGAAGTTTTTGAGGCTGCCGGAGCGGAAAAATGAAATGGAAGAAAACACAAATTGCGGGGTAATGAACTGCAATGCCTAAAATCGCAATTTAAATAAGAAAAATAGCTCCAAAAAAAAAAAAAAAAGTGTTATTGTGTTTTGTTTCTTATTATTGTTATGTAGAATTAGTTTATGTATCATATTTGAATGGAAGAATAAAAGGATAAGGATGAGCCTATACTCATGCTGAGACTGTTGCTAGTCTGACTCCATTATTATTATTATTATTAGCCATACAAGCCTACGGGGAATTTTTAAATTATGGAACAAAATTCACAATTCTAATTAAAAAAAGAAACAGAAATAAATTTTATATGTAATTTAAAATGGGATTTTTGCATACATTTGGCCTTCCAAATTAAGAATTTTAAAAAAGAAAAAAGAAAAATTAAAGCTTGGATGGCAATAGGATAAATTAGTTTATGAGTGAATGTTTGGAGTCAAAGTTTTATAGCACTCAGAAGAGATATAGCTAACCTAAGATAGAAGGTTTGGATGTTAGGGCGTAATGACCTTAGCCGTTAAAACGCCCTTAAAAATTAATAATAATAATAACAGTCCAGTTATACTAATTGATTTATTTTGTATGCATTTTGGTAATGAAAATTTTAAGTATTTTATTATTTATTTTACTTTTAATTAATAAAAAAAGCAACTTTTATTAGATATTAGATTAACTATACATTTTTCAATGTATGTACATAATGGACGTAAAAAATGTATTTCTTTTTTGTGTGTTTGTGAGCTAACTGGGTCTCTATGGTCATTAAATCACTACATATTTCCCAAAAAATAACTTCTTCCCTTCTTTTTTATTTTATTTTATTTTCATTTAGTTATTATGAATCACATAATGTTATATTTGATTTAGATAAGTAACAGCAGAAGGCTCTGCCATACGTCAATGCTGTAACGAATTTAACAAAGACGTTTGATATTCACTATACGATAGATATTAGTCAATAATTTAGTTGTATTATTTACTTTGGTTAATATTTTAATTGAGACATTTGTTAGACAATAATTTGCAAAATGTTAAATACTTCAAAAATAGTTGAGTATCAGTTGACATAAATATTCAATTCTTGTGTGTTATCATATGGCTGGGGATTTCTGGTCCATTCTGTATACTAACTCTTATAATAATTTTTTAAACAGTGATCACAGATTATTAGAATAAACTAAGCCCCAATATTGTCTACATTGAGATTCACCGATTATTAAATTAATTTGTATATTTTTTGTAATGGTGTAATTGGATTATACAAATTTCTTGCCAAGGTTATGAAAAGATAGTGAAAATATTAAATGAATTTAGGATTTTTTACTAAAACAAATATGATGGTTTCAAATGAAAAATTTTCAAAGTTAAGCACAATTCGAGCTTATGCTTTTCAGATTCTTGAATATTACTGGGATTCTGCACTAGGCAGTTACAAAAAGTTTTGTCTGTGTAATTTATTGTTTGCTTTCTCAATCAAACAATTTTCCATACAATAATTTTTTATTGATTTTTGTTTTGAGAATATGGAGCGGCCACTGAACGGCTCTGTCTACAAAGAGGTCCGGAAGACAGCGAGGAAAGGTGCGCGCTTACAACCTGGAGAAACGAGAAGGTCTTCATGTGCTTTTGCCAAGGGGATTTGTGCAACAGTTCTACAAAATCAGCAATGACAACGATCCTTCTCCTTGTATCACTGCTTCCTGTCTTGATTAACAATTGAACGAATCGGTTTAAATACTGTGATTTAAAACATGTAATTTATTTTACTTTAATTTTTCTATATTTTTTATACATTTAATGTTATTTGTATTATATAATAACATAAAGTTCATTGTTTAATAATTTATTGGTTTTACTAAGCAGGTTTATCCTTTGTTCCCAAATACAATAGTTTATTATTTGTACTCATTTTCATCTCAACCAAAAATTTTAGATGGAAAGAATAATTAATATGGTCAATTATGGTCACTAAACAAATATGGATATTATTTACACTGTTTTCAATTTGTCATTTACAGCACAGAGTTGTTGAAAATTCAAGCACATTTTGATTGACCAACATTGTCAATTTGTATAATCAGATAAATAAAAGAAAGCAAGTCCTGTCGAAATCAGGTTTATTATTCAAATAAGAAAGTGGTTCCAAATATATAATCAGCTATGTTTGAATATTATATTTTAAATCAATGACAGAAATTCAATTTTTGTATTATTTTATTGATTATTTGGATATCGTGAGATGCGGTCTTGTGTGGTGTAGGTTTAGAAAACATTTTCTTTATTGCGCCAACGTTTCGATCTTTATTGAGATCATCTTCAGTACCTGGGATTTACAAACATTATTTATTAGATTATACAAATACATGTAAGATGTAAATATGAATTTAGACAATAATGAACACAATATAAAAATTTTAGGTTTAATCAAAGTATTTGTACTCACTCAAAGTGTTTTCTGTGAAGATGTGTCACGGCTGTGTTGGGTTGAGTGTGTTAGTGAGATATGTATTGTTTTGTTTTTTTTGTGTGATTTTGAAGGAGTGGGGAAGGAATAGGGGTAAAAATTAATTTTTCTATGAGTTGGCTTTGAGGTGAAAAGGACCGACAATGAAAAAAAAGGGTTTGTCATTCGGGCTTAGTTATCCTTTCTGGAAAGGAAAGATAAATTTTTGGGGATTTAGACTATGTAGAAATTGATTGATATGTGGAGTGTAATGATAGTATGTTCTGTAATTGTTGCTCTGTTTATCTCTGTTGATGTAAACCATTTCTAAAAGTTACATTTATGTTTGTTTTATTCTTAATATTTTCGGATTGTTGAAATCGAAAATGGTGGGTAGCCAGTGCTGTAGGATTTTGTTATATATCCAGATATTGGGATGTAGTTCTGATGTAGTATAAATTCATTTTCACATCTTGCATTATTTATATAATTTAAACAGTGTTTATAAATCCCAGGCCCTGAAGATGATGTCAATAAAGAAAAAAACATTGGCACGATAAAGAAAATGTTTTTCTAAACCTCATCACACAAGACTGCATCTCGCAATCCCCAAATAATCATTAATTAATTGTCATTAAATACTTTACATTATTATTGTTGTTTATTTTAGAAAGTACCTTAAGTGCCAAGTTTAAAGCACACAATTTTATACATTATGAATTATTGCGAACAATTGCTGTTATAGGTTCTTGAAATGATAAGCCACTTAACTACCTGCATCAACAAAGGTGGCCCTATATAAAATTTTCATACGATGTCCCAACATGCAAAGAAACTATTAGTGTTTTAGAAAATAGTGTAGTAGGATGTGTCAAGTGCATGCAGTTATCAAGACTTAAATTTGCAGGTCATATCTTAGGGATGGATGACAATTCAGTCTCAAAGAAAGTATTCAATACCGAACCAACCAGAAGTAGGTGAAAGACCAATCTAAGGCTAAGGCTTATTAAATAACGAACTTTTAATGAAGTTTGACAATTTCTAGGATTAAACATAATTTCACTAGTTTTTGTGGTCCGCTTGACCAATTAAACATAAGAGCATACCTAATTATACATTATTTCTTAAAAACTTTGTGGTATTTGTCAAATTTGAGCATTTATTAAGGTTCTTAATTGAAAATTTATTCAGATGAAAATACATAGTGTAATGGAATTTTAATACTAAATCCTGCTGAATGGCTTTCCTCTGCACGGCTCCAGTATGTGTCCTCCCTTCCTGCAAGGGTTTGAACTTGTTAACAGAGTCTCAGGGAAACCATGACCCTTGGGGGTTCTAGCCTTTAAAATTAAAATTTAAAAAAAAAAAATCGAAACTGTGGTAGCCCTGATGATATATATACAAGTAAGATAACATTCCCATGAGAAAAAAAAAATTGCAACTCATAAGGGATACGTATATTGATTATATGTTGGAAGTTGTTGCACGTAGGGTGTTCTATCACCCAAAAATCTTTTTTGCGTTATCTCTGGGATACTATGTATATATTTTTCTCCTTCATTTTTGAATAGGTTTTGTAAGAAATTGGTTTAGCAATGAGAACATGTCTTACAATTAGCATGGAAAAGATACTAGGATTAATCCCCCAACATCATATGGTAGAAAGGACAGCACAGAAAACCATCATCAACTTTATCAGAGAGAAACCCCCAACAGGAATAAAACTGAAATGGAGAGAGTAACAAACTATGGAAAGACCATCCATCACTCATGGCTCCGAGAGACGACATGAACAGGATGTTTGAATTTAACCAAAAATTCTGAATATATCTGGGTACCAAAAAAGAATGGGAAAGAAAGGGAAATAACTCCCTTAAAAATGGCACCATCCTCTGGTACACAGATGGATCTAGAACACAAGAAGTTATGGGGGCAGGAGTATTTGGACCTGGAACCAAATACTCAGAACCCATGGGAAAACACACCAGTATCTTCCAAGCTGAGATTCATGCAATTGAAAGATGTATCCAATTCAATCTAAGTAAAGGGTACAAAAACAAGAATATAGCTATCATGTCAGATAGCCAAGCAGCCATCAAAGCACTAAGCTCAAGTATCATTAGTTCAAGGATGGTGCTGAACTGCAAAACCAAATTAAACATATTAGGTATGCAGAATAAAGTCAGCCTCTGCTGGGTCCCAGGACACATGGGAGTAGAACGCAATTAGAAAGCGGACACCCTTGCAAGGAAAGGGGCTGCCACACCGCTGATAGGACCCGAACCCTTCTGTGGCATAGGAATCCACACTATTAACGAATATCTCAGACAGAAGGACAAAAAGAAAATGAAGGAACAATGGAATTCACTCATTGGACGTAAACAATCCAAGAATCTTCTAACCAATTTTGGTAAGAAAGAAATCACAGAATGTGTCAAAGGAAGCAGGAACAGACTGCGAATCCTAACAGGACACTGCAGACTAAATGGACATTTAAAGAAAATTGGAACAATCCAAGATGGCACATATAGATTCTGCAAGGAGGCAGAAGAGACACCAATACATTTACTAACAAACTGCGGAGCTACATTAGCCCACAGGAGGAAATGTTTTGGGATGTATAATGTGACCATAGAAGAGCTTCAACCACTGAAACCGGGCCTATTAACCAAGTTTCTTGATGAAATAGGACTCACCGATGTGCTTTAGGCAGAGAACGGGGGATACAATAGCTCTTAAAGGGCGCAGTATACCATAACCTGGAAAAATTACATCTACATCTACAAGAAATTGGTTTTTGACCAGTAAACAAATAAATAAATTGTCAAGACATGACGTTCAACAACGTGTTAAATCATAATGATTTTGTGTGAAAGTGTTGTGACAATGAAACAACAGGTCACTAAAGAACCCATATTTTTTTAAATTTAGAAAATTTATACATTTTTTAATCTATTATATTTTGTGGTCCGATTGACCAAATAACTTCTTTCAATTAATTAATCTTTTTATGAAAGGTTTTGGTAGAAATGAAAAAGTTAATGTCACGAGCGGGATTCGAACCCAAGACCTTCGGTTCATTTCAACCAAAACCTTACATAAAAAGATTAATTAATTGAAAGAAGTAATTCGATCAAGAGACCACTAAATATAATGGATTTAACGTGTTAAATGTTAAATTTCGCGTCAACAGAATTTTAAAGAAGGGGGGATGCAGGAACGATAATAATATTGCTTTAGTGATTTTTTATATATACAAGTTTTATTCGTATGATTTTATATGAATTAATTTAAAAATTAAATGTAGTGAGATTTGAAATTAGCTGTTCCTAGTTGTTTGATCTCTAAAATTTATTATAAGTGATACTAGTTTGTAAATTAAAGGTAATTAATTAGCGTGGTTTTAATCTTTTGTTTGAATGTTACAAAAAATTATTGTCCTTTTGATTTTTTAAGTTTTTTATGAAAGAATAAACTATTTATACATATATAATATCTAAAGTTTGATCTTAATTTAATTTTGTTTTATTATATAGGCATTGGTGGATTGTCTTTTGGCCGTGTTTTTGTAACCAGCTTGGGCGAGTTCATGGGTAATTTCCCAAGATTCTCTGCTAAGTATAATTTCAAATTTAAAACTACTAGCGTTTTTACTAGTTTTACAATGTAGAATTAAAATCACTTTTAACAATTTAAAATACTGGCGGAATATTGTTTTCTTTATGTTTGCGTACCCGTATGTAGGTTATTAGTGCGTAAACCCTTTTCTGTAGTATATTTTTCTAGGGAATAAATAACAATTTGACGGGTAAAACGATCAATAATTAATCTCGTACACCTTAATTTCACGAGGCCTTAAAATTTTTAAAATTTTACAATTTACGTTTTACACGCTGACATTTTCTTGAACAACATCCTAAACTGTACTAACTCTAAAACTCTTTTCCATAACATTTAATTAGTTGTAACGTTTAGTGAAAATTCAACAAATATTTTGTGGAAAAAAAATACTCTAAGCAACAACGTTATATTATTTGAAAATTCACCAGCTGTTAAAACAAAACTATTGATTATTTATTACATAATAATTAATTGGAACCAAAAAAAAAAGTTTTAGTTGTTTTATTTACAGGCCAACAAACATCCACAGTTTTTAAAAATTATCATTTCTGTTCTTTTCTAACCGTATTTTAAGATTACATGTACATCACTGTATATAATGTACTGTGCCCTTTAAGATTATCCCCCGTTCTGTGCTTATAGGGCACTGGTGAGTCCTAGTTAATCAAGAAATTTAATTAGTAGGCCCGGTTTCACCAGTACAATTTCTTTTACAGTAAAAAAGCAAAAATAAACCAAACAATCCTAAAAGACCAACTGTCGCCCCCAGTTTTATGCGGTACCTTTGCGATGTCAATTTTAGCAATCTAAGATAGCCAGCCTGTACTCCTGATTTGAGCTGGGATAAGCTCGGTTGTTGGTTTGGAAGTAATAACCCAACCTTAACTATTCCAGCTGTAAGTTTGGATCTGGGATGAAATTCCTCGAGATGTTACAAGCTAATTATGAACATGCTGAGAAAATGAGTGTGTAACATAAGCAAGAAGAGGTGACACACCCTTTTATAGATTTTTAAGTTTGTTTTGCAATGTTTTATGATCATATGCAAGTGCAAACAAAAGAGATTTTTTCTTTTTTTTAATGAAAATTCTTTGATGAAAATGATTCTTTTTTTGAATTTTTTTCCAGGGGTATTTTTATTTTAACACTAACCAAATCTTTTAAAAAAAAACCTACCTGAATTATAAAAAAAAAAAATATAAATGTTAATATTACTGAAAAGGGTTATTCAGATATCGTGAGTTGCGGTCGGGTGTGACTTAGGTTTCAGAAAAACATTTTCTTTATCGTGCCAACGTTTCGATCTTTTATTGAGATCATCTTCAGGGCTCAATAAAAGAACGAAACGTTGGCACGATAAAGAAAATGTTTTTCTGAAACCTACATCACACCCGACCGCACCTCACGATATCTGAATAACTATCGATTAACGGTCACTAATCTCTACACATTACTGAAAAGATTTCAAAGTGCACCACTTTTTTTTTTACCTGTCCGATTGATACAATATTTTTATTTTTATGAAAATTGACAAGAAGGTACCATACTGGCACTTATAAAATTGATGTAGCCGTATCATCTCTAGTAGGCAGCCACTGAAGATGGCAAAATGCTGAAAAATATCTGACAGGCAAAACCAGCAAAATTGGATTGACTGAAGACAATTAAGCTATAGCCTCATATCATCACAGTCCAACAATGGTTTACGTTTTATTTTATTTATTTTTTGAGAGAGAATTTTACAAGTTCATGACAAAATGTTTCTTATTAAGAAGGAACAGTTTTATTTATGCAAAGAGAAAAGCAATGCAGGTTTTATTTTGCATTAGCTGCTGCATCACAGCCCTCATGATGGAAAGGTGAAGGTCCCTTGATCGAATCCTGCAGCCCCGAATACTTTTTTTGCAAGGGTATATGAACACTCTCAGTGCTGGTGTTTTTGAAAAAAACTTCCCATTTTTAAGTACGTCCAGTGGCCGTGCATTCGAACTGTGGAACTTAAAATGATGAGCTTCGAGCCAATACTGTTCCTGCCACTGACGCCCCTGCCAATCCTGTTTTTAAAAGTGTATTTTAATGCCTACATATGAATCATTTAGTCTGGCTGGTCTTTCACCATACTGAAATACAATTAAAAATATATCCTTGTTGTATTAACAACTTATGAGTGTTCACAACATATAACAGAATTATTATTTATTCAATTTCATCGTTAAAGTTTTTGTAATTTATTAAGCGACATTTGTCTACAGATTGTACAAGTCCATAAGAGAGAAACAAGCACGGAATGAGAATTCCTTTCTAGAAGTTTCAAACTCTTGCAGAGTTGTTACAAGAGAATGGAAGAGACTGAACAGACATGCGGTTTGATTCCTGTATCATTGGATCTTAATAATGCTACTTGTAAATTGAACTTTTATCTATTTGACGAGCTATTTACTACTTAAATAACCTTGTTTTCTATAGTTATACATTTAAGCGATGAAGTGTCTCCGGTCAGAAGCGTCGAATTAGTGAGACAGGAAGATTTACTGAAGCTGAGCGATGGGATTGTGACTTTAGAAGATGGATCCCAGTGGTATAAAATACCTCTGGAAGAAGGTAATACATTTTTTAGTTAATATTTGTGCATCAAAATAATTTTTTTGTGTGTTAATTTTTAACAGAGGCTGAAACAAAAGAAGTCTATATAGAAGGAGTATCAACAGAATGGGGAGAAGAAGATGTATATAATGAAACTTTAGAAGAACAGACTGAGAGGGTAAATGCAACTGATGAGGAATCATTTGCTCAAGTCATAGTTTTAGAAGATGGATCCTTAGCTTATTTCCCACAACACTTAGAAGGTTATTTTTTATTTTATTTATTTATTTTTTTGAATAAAGATTAGTTATTAATAAATTACCTATCCATTTAGATAAAACGCAGACGGTAGTTCAGAATGATTCCAAAACACCGGCAAAGAAGGAAAGAACTCATCAATGTTCGGAACCAGGCTGTAAACGTTCTTATAAATCTCTCCATCACTTAAAAGTACATAAAAGCTCACCAAATCTCAAAATCCATTTTAATTTTAATCTATTTTTGTATTTTATTCTTAGGTTCATATTAGAAATCATACAGGAGACCGCCCTTACAAATGCTCTATGGAAGGGTGTGAAAAGGCTTTTGCAACTGACTACAGTCGTAAAGCGCATTTGAGGACTCATACAGGAGAAAAACCGTACCCCTGTCCGGAATGTTTGAAAAGCTTTAAGACGAGTGGCGATCTCCAGAAACACATACGAACTCATACTGGTAATACAATTAAATACAATTAGAAACCATCGTAATTAAAAATTATCATGACATTCTACAACAAATAAAGAGGTTTTAAACTTAGTATCCTTAACCCTTGAGTCAGCGCGTCTTGTTGATTAAAATGTACTTTGACGATTTTTCCCCTTTTTTTCATAAAAACCTTGGTTTATGTGTTTTTTTTTTTTTTTTTTAATTCTTTGTCCAAATATCAGATTTGTTTTGTTAAGTGATATTAAATATTTATTATTATAATTTAAATGTTATTAATTTATGACGTCCAAAATCTACAATCCAAATAGCATACTGAAAATATACCTGGACAGACGGACTCTCCAGTACTCCTCGTCATTCTCCATAAGCACGTTTCGCCCAATGGCGCACTGAGGGCGCCTGACGGTGGCTTAAGGGTTAAGTTTGTAAAACAAACATTATGGTCTTCAGTGTGCATTACCCTAATCTGAACTTTGGTACTTTGGACATCTCGAACGGTACAAAAATTCAAGAATTAAAAATTTTAAAGCAAACAAATGAAACATTATTTGGAAGAAATGGTGCAAGAGAGAGAATGAATGAGGAAGAGTCTATGAGAGAGAAAAAGAAAAAGAGAGGGGGTTTGTGAGTGACTAAGAGAAAAAGAGAGAGAAATAGTGAGTGTGAGGGACCAAGACAAGCTTAAACTATACGGATTTCAGGATATTCTTTTGATCAGTGAATCCCTCACCTCCCTACACTACTTTTTTTTCCTTTTAATTTAACGTGGGTTCACAACAGCAGAGGTCATATCAACCCTCGGGGCCAAAGTTGGTGAACAAAAAAGCCCATTTGTAAGTATGTCAGGTTCTAATGCAGAGCCGCTGGATTTGAACCCAGGACCTTTACCTTACAGTGATGAGTGCTGTGTCAACACCTAAACCATTGCGGCTACAGACGCCCCCCCCTTAACTATTAAAAGATGACACGTTTTAATTGTTGTGTGTTAAGTATAGTATACCTTCTGTTTAAAAATCAGAGAAAAAAAGGAAGAAGCTATGAAGAAAAGAAAAAAAAAAAGATGCGGTCGGGTGTGATGTAGGTTTCAGAAAAACATTTTCTTTATCGTGCCAACGTTTCGATCTTTTATTGAGATCATCTTCAGGGCTCAAAGTGTTTGTCTTCTGTGTAATTGTGCCATCCTTGTGTGTCGTGTTGAGAGTGCCCATAGTGAATAACTATCGATTAACGGTCACTAATCTCTACACAAAAAAAAAAAAAAAAGATTTTGTTCTTTTTGTAAAGAAAAATTGACAGTATTCTAATACGTTTAAAGTTTTGTATACGCATCAAGCAGTGTTGTGTTCAAATAATTTTTGTACAAACGTATTTATTTTTTAACTCTTTGTAATGGGAATTTTTCAGTAATCTGAATACTTCCCTGCAATGATTAGTTTGGATTATCGAGAGAGCACCGTATGTACTGTGATTTTTTATATGTGCCAAAATGATTGCAAAATTTCATTTTAGCACCATTACAAAATTAGAATTGTTATTAATGAATCTGTGGATTAATAATTAAAAATATTATGTTAACCCTGATTATTCTCACAATTTTTAATTCTTGTTTTATAAATATATATGTTACAATTAATGTATTTTATTTTTCTGTTTTATAAAATAGGGGAGAGACCATTCAAGTGTCCTGTTGTTGGTTGTAATAAATCTTTCACCACATCAAATATTAGAAAAATTCACATTCGTACACATACAGGTGAAAGGCCATATGTATGTAATTTTAAAGGGTGCGATAGAAGTTTCGCTTCATCAACAAATCATAAAAATCACATGAGGATCCATTCAGGAGAAAAGCCTTATGTTTGTTCGATAGAGGTATAATCTTTTTTCCCCCCATATGTATAATTGTTTCCCTACTATTAAACTGTAATTTTTTATTTATTTTATTATTAGAACTGTGAAAAAAGGTTTACCGAATATTCGTCACTTTATAAACATAATTTAGTACATTCACAAGTGAAAAATTACCAGTGTTCATACTGTTTAAAGACGTATAGACAACTTTCGACACTTACAACTCACAAAAGAACCATCCACGGTGTAATAGCAGCCGAAGATGGTACTGAAGTCATTTTAGAGCAAATGAGAGTCGGCAAAGATGGAAGCAAAAATTTTAAGAATATAACTTCAAACGTAAGTTTAAATTTAAAACAATCCTTAATTGTTATAATTTAATTTATTTTTTAGCTTCTTAGTTTAAGAAAAGAGCATAGTGCAATAGAAAATGTTGATGGTAACATATATATAATCGATAATGAAGTAAGTAAATAAGCTATGCCTTGTAATATTTAAATTAATTTTGCTTAATAATGTTCAATTTTTGAAATGATTTCAGAATGAGATAACTAGCCAATTTGAAATTGAAGAGGTTCCAGAAAATGGCTGTGAAACTGAAGATTTTTAATATAACTTATTAGCTATTAGTGCAATATGAAATAGCCACAAACTAATAAAGTTAGACACATAACTTTTATTTAAAAAAAGAACTTCAAAGTATAATTTACTTTGATTATTAAATAAAATGAAGGAATAATTTTTTCTTAATTAATATTAAAATAGAAAGTTTGTTTTATTTTTTTAGTTGGGCTCATCTCAGAGCAGAGGCCTTGTTTAATTTGTATAATCTAGTCGATAATGTACAGTTAGAAAAGTAATATTTTGTTACCAAATGTAAAAAAAAAAAACTTTGGTTTAGTTGTTGCTTATTTTTTAATCTTTTTTCTGTAAGTTTTTAACAGATCCAAGTCAAGCATGAATAAACCCTCTCCATCCTGGACACGTTTTATTTGTGCTAGTAAACTTCCTAAAAACTTTAGGGCTTCATATTGTTCAGGGAGAAATTGGGTTGTAATAAAGTCTTCTAAATTAATATCACCATGTTCATTACCCTTTTCAGCCACTTTGATTAAACTCTGAAATTAAATTTAGTTATTCAAGGAAGGTAAATAACAATTAATGCGAAGTTCTCACGTCTAAGACATTTTTTTCAGTGTTAAGTGAAATCGTTACGGCAGATGTAGGATTCCATATTTCCTCTTCAGGTGGTTGAATTGCATACAGTTTCAATCGTCCGCCTCGCAGGTTCTGATAGTGTACTAATTTCATAGCGTGTTCTACCTCATCCTTGGCATTAAATGAAAACATTGCATGGAAACCTGGCAAAGCAATCGTATCATGGCTGAACACGCTGGCCTGAATGTCCAATAAGTTGTTAATTTAATTGAAGCGTCAAAGGGGCCCATAATTTGCAATCATACCATGTTTAAATATAAGTAACCTGCAGATAATTCTTTGTTTATTTGATCGTTAATTGCTTTTTCACATTCCTCGTGGAAGTTATACCTTGTAGCCGATGCTTTCACTTCGTTCGAGCATTTATTTGAATCTGATGATGACCGTTTCCGCTTTTGTATTAGAAGTGATTGCTTTGAAAAATTTTGAAGGCTTAATTTATTCGGATTAAACTTCCATAAATTAAAATATATATTTAAAAGCATTTTAAAAACACAACTATTTTATTAAAAAATAAACACACATGTACATATGCCATTTGATCATATTGTCCAACAACAACCATAATTATCAAAATAAATTTAAACAATTATACATGTTAAAAGAGGCAATAACTAGAAATTTAATGCAAGTCAGACAGTATTCAGTTTTAAAGCAAAGGTTTACTTGCCGAATTTATACAAATATTTCATTTTTTTATTTATAGCAAAATTGAATCTAAACAGTCAACATTACATTAATTTATATTAAACTTAACAGTAATTTATTCTTGAACATGTAACTGGTTTACAAAGGTGAAACTTTTACAACCGACAAAGTTTCACAACCTAGATGAAAAAAATACAAAGTATAAAAGACACAAATAAGTACAATACAATTTAACACTATGGTAAACAAGACAAACTCGTATAAAAATAAAGCATGGCATAAAATTATTGCCTTAATAAAATGTTCTTTTTAAAAGTTGGCACAGAAATATATAAAGGGAGAAAGAGAAACATTTAATAATCCTTAAGTTATTAAATATTTTAGATTGTTTTTGTAATAGAAATATAAAGTATTAATTTAATTAATTATACTTTTTACCTTGGTCTTGGTTGATATGAAAAAGCTAGGGTCACGAGAAAGATTGTAGAGCAAAGTCATGACAGCTCAAATGGTTAGAACAGCAGTGCATTGAGCCGAAGGTCTTGGGTTTGAATCCTGCTCATGACACTCACTTTTTCATCTTAACCAAGTCCTTAGATAAAAGTATGATTAATTAAAATAATTAATACAATCAATTATGACTACTAAACACATATATGGATTAATATAAAATATACTTTGGAACAAACGGTGTTGAATATAATGAGAGAGAACAGTGAGAAGGAGACAGGGAGAGATAGGTGTTTGAAGTTTTCTGTATGAAGTTAGATTATATAAATAATTTGCAGGAAATGACTTGAAATTCTAACAAAACCACAAAAACCATTGAAATTTAGTTTTTAAAAAAATTTAAAATTATATTTTATTATAATGAAAAAGATAGGGAGAAGTGTTTGAAGTTTTCTGTATAAAAAAAAGCTAATGATAGAAATTATTTGCAGGAAACAACCTGACATTTTAATAAAATGCAAAAAAAACATTGAAAAAAAGTTTTAAATTATATTTTAATGTAAAGAAAAAGAAAGGGAGAAAGAAGTTTTCTGTATAAAGTTGAAGTTTTCTGAATAAAGAAAGTTAGATGATATAAATAATTTGCAGGAAATGCCTTGAAATTCTAACAAAACTACAAAAACATTGAAATTTAGTTTAAAAAAATATTTTATATTTTAGTTTAATATAATGGAAAAGATAGGTAGAAAGAAATTTTTCTGTATAAAGAAAGTTGGATGATATAAATAATCTACAGGAAACGGCCTGAAATTTTAACAAAACACAAAAAATCATTGAAATTTAGTTTAAATTTTTTTTTGAAATTATACTTTAATATAATGAAAAAGATAGCGAGAAAGAAATTTTGGTACTTTTTGTATAAAGAGTTAGATGATATAAACAATCTACAGGAAACGACCTGAAATTTTAACAAAACACAAAAAATCATTGAAATTTAGTTTTAAAAAAATCGTTGAAATTATACTTTAATATAATGAAAAAGATAGGGAAAGAAATTTTGGTAGTTTTTGTATAAAGAAAGTTAGATGATATAAACAATTACAGGGTATAATAACAAGTACAGGAAACGACTTGAAATTCTAACAAAACCACAAAAAACATTGAAATTTAGTTTAAAAAAATCTTTTAAGTTATATTTTAATATAATGAAAAAAATATTGAGAAGTGTTTGAAGTTTTCTGTATAAAGAAAGAAAGATGATAAATACTTATGACCATAAAACGACCTAAAATTGCCATAAAGTATTCAATTTTAGTTATGAAAAGTTAATTATTTAATTAAATCAGGTAAGAAGAGGAGCAACTTGTCAGTCCAAGATTTGTTCGGAGGGGGGCTCTGTATAATGTTCTGCTGTAAAATCATGTTAATTTATTAAAATAATAATAAATCAATGTTTGAATTAAAGAAATGTTGTTTTGCTGCATTTTTAAGTAAATTCTTGCTATATAAAGAATAAAGTAACACTTGGTATTTTTTGATCAATATATTGGAGGAACCTATTTAGCAAATTTTCGATTGAAAAATAAAATAGAACCAAGGAAAAAGAAGTAAACTTTTCTTTTATGACTTTTCAGGAGGAATTCTATTCGTTATAGCCTGCACGGGATATAATTGACATTGAGTTCAAGCCCAGTTGAACTGTGTTGGCCCCAGTGTAGGTGGTAGAGAAGGGCAGCGATGTCTCGAATTGACCTCTCTCACTCAGTCAACAGAAATTTGTTGACCTGTTGTAACTTGTAGGAGTCCGAGACTGATTAATTTGTCATAAGTCAGAGGTATCAACGATGTACCAGTGTTTCACAAACTATATATTACCACCGGTTTCTCACGGATTTCACCGTTAATTTCATTTCACCGCCTTTAAACACAACGGCAAAACGGACGGGGCCGAATTAATTGGGCTAAGACATGAAACACGGATTATTTATAAGGTTAACGACTTCTGAAAACAAATCCTCCGATGTTTCTTAAAGTAAGTAAACCAAGGGCGTAACTGTTAGTCCTCCTTTTTTTTTTTTAAATGTCTTGCTTTTTTTTACATAATTTTTTTGTTGTGTTTATTTCTCTTTTTTGTTTGTTTATTTAATAATAGCAAATTTATATAATACTTTCACCCAGAAGATTAATCCTAAGCTATATCAAGTTACATGATGTCAGATTCAGATATAGTGTTTGAATGTTTTTTTTTTTTCTCGTTACTAACGTTATATTTGTGCCACTTGCAATGCTTGAACGAATCCAAGCAATGTAAAGGATTGTCCGATTATTTTCTACTTCCTGATGAATGAAAAGAACTCATTTTGTCTGTATAACTGTATAGATACATTTGATGGCAAACACAGCAAGTACGTATTGGAATTTGGGCTATAGTTTTGTGTTACATGACAAACACAGGTGGTTTGTTTAGAATACTAACAATATTCTCTCCTTGTAATATTGTTTTTATCTTTTCTAAGTGTTTATTGAATTTGTTTCCTAACCATGCCTTTCAATATTATTGTTATTGCCATTTTAATCTTTAACAGACTCCAATTTACAAACATAACAATCCATTTTAAATTCAGCATTTGAAATTCCTTAAAATTGACAGTGTATTTTAACAATAGAACGATACTAAAGAAAAATTTACTCTGCTAAAACTATTCTTTTGGCCCGAAAAGTTGAATATAAAGAAATATTCAATGACTGGACTGCACAGGTGGTTTAAAAAATTCAAAAATGGGGATACAAGTCAGGAATGGGGGCAAGGTTCAGGATGTCCTTCTGTAGTGAACAGAGGATGACGAGACACTATTGCCAACGATGAAAAGCACTCAAATGTCAGATGAACTAGGTTTAGGTCAGTTGAAAAAACTCCAGTTGTACAAGTTAAGGCCGGTCACCAACTTTTTTGCCGAGCTTGTCGCCATTCTTAAAGCCATCACAGTTATATCTGTCTCTCATAAAACTCTCCCGTTCTTACCCCCTCACAACCTTAATGTCAATCAAAAATATTTTTTGTACAACCCGTGCATCCAAGATATCCTTTACAAACGAAAAGGACTCTCCACTCAAAATGTTAAAGTTATTTTCATGTGGAATCCAAGTCACGTTGGCATCCACAGGAACGAAAAAGCCGACCAGTTAGCTAAAGAATCAATTTTGTGTGGAATTCCCTGTACAACAGTTCCCTACATATCAAAAACATCATTTGGAGGGGAATAGACAACACACTACAAATAAACTTTTCCAAATCAAAAAATAAGTTAAAAATTGGCAAGCCTCAATTTGAGGAAACAGCAAACAGTCCTAACCAGAATAAGGATCGGACACACCCGCCTTACCCACGGCTACCTACTTGACCATAAAAATACACCAATATGCCCCACCTGTCAAACACCACAATTAAGCATATCCTACTGTCGATACTTCTCTTCACACATCACACCACTTCCCAAACAACATATCCGATTATTGGGTGATCAGTCCCCACATTTAAACGCTGTCTTTGATTTCCTGTTGGAGGCAGCAGGCTTATGTGGCGAAATTTAAATTGTTCCTCGTGAGTCTTCCATCCTTGAAAGAATCAAGGCAAAAATGGCCCAAAGGTCGTAGCCACATTGTAGCTTACTGGAGAGGTTTACATGTACCGATAAACCAGAACATGAGTGCCAGCTTTTTCCGTGAAAGGTATCGCGACTGGTTCTGGTAACCTAGATTGGATCAAAATTCGATCATTTTTATCTGCACAGTTGCTTAAACCAGTGTGTGTTTGTGTGGAGGGGGGGAAACACAGGTTTCAGTATTCAATTTGTTGAGCGTGGACATTCTTGCATTTTTCGATTTTGTTTGTGCTTATTTTTGAATATGCCACAAAGCATGTTCAAAGTTTAGCTAGTTTAGCCCAAGATTGGTGAATAGAAAGAAATTTAAGTTTCAACAAGACAACACCTGACCTAATTTTTCAACACGCGACAGGAGATGGTTGAAATTAGCGTCTGCACCCTCCCTATCATCCAATAAATGCTCCTTCAGTCTACATCTTCTGAGCAGATCACTTCCAACATGGATCCTCCAACAAAAACTTTTGTATGGCTTTTTTCACTCAACATGCTAGCAATGCAGCCAGAGAATTTACAATTTGAACTCTTGATGTCATTTACCATTCAGTATGAAGGGTTGTAATAATAATGATTGAAATTATACTTCTTTTTGTCTCACTTATATTTTCATTATATGTTATTAACATTAACCGATGTTGGGTGTTGTCTTTCATATTATTTGTAAAACATTGCGATGTTTGTTCTAAGTCAATAATTAAAGTTAAAATAAAATTTCCTTTTCAATATGCTTGTCTTCTAGTCATATAAGCTAAGCCAGAAAAAATATTTAATTGTTTACTTTCCGTCACCTTATCTTAACTGGTTGTTTTTATCTTTTAAGTATGGTTCTTCCCAGTTCATTCCATTCATTTGTACGCAATGAATTAATCTATTGAAAATGTCCGTTTTCGTAAAAAAAATAAAAACTATAAAATTATAGGTATTTTCAAACAGTTAATGAACTTTGTGATGAAATGAAAATGTGTTTTTTTATTTTCAGAAGGGATACATTTGAGAAATGTAGGATGACAACTTGGGCGGAAAGGATGCATCGTCGAGCTGCAACGTTTAGCAATGTCGTCACATCATGTGGACAACCCAACGTCCACCCATATCCAAGAAGGCTTGAAAAGTAAACAATTTATCAACAATTGAATGATTGTACTGGTAATGGAATTATTATAATTTGAATGATTTATTTTATAGGGTCAAATTTGGTGTGCCGCTTGATGAAGTCTGTAAAAATGACATTCCTGGACCTTTACTGGTAAATTTTTTTTCCTATTAATTTTTTCTCATCCTCTTGACAAATACATTTTTGAAAAAAAATCCTTTCTTTCAATAATTTTTCTTTTTCATTTAGTAAAGTGGAAAGAGAAAATAGAGCAAAAACAAAACTTAATTTTTTAAGACAACCGAAATACTACAAAAACTTTAGTAATCCATTCCGGTTTGTTCATTTTGCTAGTTTTCACTCTGTTTTAAGTCATTTTATATCTTATTCCATCGAACTTTTCTAATCTTTTAAGTATATTTAACTTGATAAATTGTTATGCAACTGTTTGATAAGAAGCTTTTTTTTTTATTATTTTCTTCCTTTACAGAATGACTAATTTCTTGCGATAAAAGATAAAGTTGTGCCTACTTACAATGTACCGAGAATTCAATTGTACATTGTTAATAGAAAATTAATTTTCTTTCATTACTAATCTTGATAAAAGTGGTCAGAAATATCAGAAATGATAAATAAACCTTTTCTGTTTGATTTTCAAGTAATTTTGGTACAATTAAAATGACCAATCAATTAAATTGTGTACTTGCTACTTTAGTTAATACTCTTAGTTTTCTTTAAAAATATTTGTTTTAGTATAATATGTATATCATTTCATAAATTTTTGAATTTATAAATTATATTTTGAATATACATTAATATTGGTATTGAAAAAAAAATTCTACCGGAGTGATTTATGTTGTACTTTTTGCCCGAGAAAGATTCTGGGCATTGTAATGTGGATAATGATTATAGTATGTTCATAAATTACACAAATATATATAGTATGAATAAATTATACAAATTCTCTAATTTTGCAATTTTTTTAATGCATTAAAAAATTACTTGTTCTGAATAAAAATCAACTCATCCATTTTTGTGACAATAATTTGTAAATAATCTGATTTTCACTTGCTTCTTTTATTCTTTATGTTTTATTTAATTTTTTCTACTGAGAAGGGACAGTAGGCTTATTGTAAATTTAGATGTAATTAATGGTTATTATTTATCAGTTAATCGTATTGGGATAGAAAGGTCGATGTATCGAAATCTAAATCACGGTGGCTTAGATAGTTAGAGCATCGGGGTACAGTTCTGAAGACCGTGGGTTCGAATGCTATCCATGACATTGACTTTGTGATGTCAAATTTCATATTTAAAAAAGTTAATATGTAATAAAAAGAAATTTGCACAAAAACTATGTGTTGAGATAAAAAAAGTAAATATCTCAGAAATCAAAGTCACGATGGTTAGAGCATCAGGGCAGGATAGTTCGAATCCCATCTGTTACAGTGACCTTTATATCTCAAATTTCCTATTTAATAGAAATTTAGACGAAATGTTCACAGCTCGTGCTAACATGGTTGTGACAAATTTTCAAACAAAATTAAAATTTTTATGCTATTATCTTGAGCTCTTAATCTGGCTGTATTTTGTCATATTTTTGAACTTGTCTTGAAACTGCTATTCTTATCCATTTTGGGGCCTAATTAGATGAGGAGTAGTTCATTAACTAGTTTTTTTACACTAGACATTAGGACAATGTGAACTGTCTAGATTTTTTTTTTTTACAAAAATTATTGAAATTCATAAAAACATTCATTTTTTAGTAATAGTAAAAATATTCTGCTGAACTGCTGTTTGAATTGTAGAATTGTACACCTAAATGAGCACTATTTTGGGTTAACAGTGATTTTTCGTTATATAGTGATTTTCAATTGTTGTTTGAAGGTTTTGGTACTGAAATTGAACAAAGAGGCTCCAATTAAAAAGGATGTGTTCCGAGCCCCAGGTCATCAAGGTAACATGAAGAAACTGGTCCATTTCTTACAAACTGGAAGACTTGTGAATATGGACAACTATTCTGTTTATACTATTGCATCAGTTTTGAAAAAATTTTTGAGGAAAATTCCCGGCGGGATATTTGGAAGAGCTAATGAACAACATTTATTTACGATAGTTCAAATGGAAAACATGGAAGAACAGAGAGATGAAATTCACAAGTATGTTTCAACCATTTTCACTATTTCATTTTTTCTAATTGTTCTTTTTTTTTTTTAATACAAATGATCTCCAGGTTAATAACATCACTTCCTTCATACACACAACGCTTGTTAGTCCTTTTATTTGGTACTTTTCAAGTAATTGCTAGTAATGCGGAGAAATTTAATACGGGGATGACCTCTGAGGCTTTAGGTGTTTCTGTTGCTCCGAGCTTTTTCCAGAGTTGTGTATCTGATGGGAAAACAGCCAAAATGGAAGATGTCCTTAGGTTCAAAGTAAGTTACCTATTTTTATTTTTATATTTTGGTTTATTATATGTTTTTTTTTCTAATTAAATTGAAGTTTTTATTTTAACAATTAATCTTGACCAAAATTCAATACAATAGAATGAAGGAAATGATAATATACCATAGTTGTTTAGTTTTAGACATCTTTGCATGTATAACTTATTAATTGTATAATTCACAGTTATACTTAAAAATTTAACATTTGTTTATTTTAGTCAAGACAGTGAACGCCTACAATTATTTTATTTTATATTATTTTTTTCATTGGTATGTAATTGGTTTATTTTTCTTATCAATTACAATTTTTCACAACAAAGGATTTTGTAATGATAAATTTTTAATTGCCTAAAATATTTCCTGTTTCAGAAAGAAACCTTTTTATTGAAATATCACCTGGGTTCTTGCTTATTAACTAGATAAATCTTGAAACATCATAGAAATATTTTTTCAACATTTTGACTCAACATAAAGCTAGTATTTACTTTTGCGAATTGTTGAAGATATAAAAAAATTTAAATATTTTTGTATAAAACTGTCCTTTTAAAGTCCATTTCTTATAGATATACGGATTTTTTAAAACCAATTCTAATTATGACCTTTTATGTGTGTTTTAATGTTAAATGTTTGTTTTAGTTTTCTGTATGGTGAAGTTTTTTAAAATAGACAAAACAAAATATATACAGTAGCTAACAAGGATTTATTTTTTTGTTCACTTTTTTGTTTTTTCAATGTTTTTTGTCCCTGATTTGTTATGGATATTTATGTTTGGCATATGTAGTGTCCCTTATTATTTTCCATATTATCACAAAATAATGTTTGATAATTTGTCTATCATTGTAATTATTTGGGCAGTAAGAATAAGCAAATTTGTAGCAGAAAACTTCACCAAACATATTTAGTGTAATTATTTATAAACGATAATCTGTTTTTGGGATTATCTATTCTAAAATATAATAAATTTATGCTGTCTTTCATAGTGATAGTGTACATAAATTTGTTAGATTCACTGTATAAATTTCTGTTTGCTATTGTAAATATGCAACTTGTATATATTGGCTTATTGTTTGTTCTTGCTCAACCAAATAGGCTGAAGTTCATGTAAGTGGATTCAATAAATGTTGCTCAATTGAATGAAAATTCAATTTATTGCATGATTTTATTTGATTGATATGGTTGATCAGTTTAAATTTGCATGAATGTTCAAGAGTTACTTGTTGCAGTATTGAACTTATTTTATTTAGATTAAAATTTATAATTATTAAATTTCTCCAAAAAAAAATTTTTATTTTTCATTTTAGGTCGCAACTCGGATAATGAAACTTCTCATAGATAATTTTGGGGCTTGTGACTTGTTTGGTAGACCCAATTATGAATTTTATGCCCGCATAACAGGGAGAATATTGAAAGTGGAAGATGACTGGATTTTCAGTTTCCGTTACCCACCTGAAATTTTTGCTCGTAAGTTTGAATTATAATTTCATCATATATATTTATTTAATAATGAGAGTTTGGTGAGATCAGGTCAGCTGTCATCAGAAAATGAAAAGACTTGCCTTCAGTACGAATGTGAAAGATGGGGCTTGAAATTCAACTTAGAAAGTGAGTATGATTTTCAATGATTTATTTCTAGACATAGTAATTTTTATTTAAAATTTAGCAATGTCTCACCAAGAGGAAAGCCAATCTACACCAGCTTTAATCCACCTACCAGATCTCGATAACGGTGCTTCCAGTTCCTTAGGTATTATCCCTGAAAATAATCTATTGGAAAGTTGTACCAGGCTTTCTATCAGTCTAGAAGAAAACGGTTTATTCAAGGTAGGAAATTAAATATTACTCTTTTTCTACTTTAAATTACATGATTTTTTATATTTTACTTTAATTGTTAAACATTTTAAACAGGCAAACAACTTTCTTCGCTGGACTTGTTGTCTTTATTGATAGAAAGGTTAGATTGTATTGAGTTCAATCACAGCTTAAATTTTGTTTTGCTTAAAATGGGGCACAGTACTGTTTATAGTTTGTCATAAATGTGTTTTGTCCAGATCTACGTCCATTGTCTTGTGGTTAAGAAAGGTGGAAAGTGGTTTAACAACAAAGAAATTGCTGGTTTTCATTTCAACACATGTAAACCATTTGATAAAGTGAATAATTGTAACTAATTTGATTCAAATTACGATTTTGGAAGTTTGCACAGGCTGCAACATCACAAATAGATGACTTAGGATTTTCACAAATTGGCACAATGATATTTATAATCAATCGTGTCTGTTATGAATATATTTATGCATTTATAAAGGTTTTAAAAATTACTGTAAATTGTGTGCAAATGTCACTTGTGTTGATAAAATCCTGTTTAACATTTTTTTTTGTTCATGATGTTGAGAGTCAGCTTCTATAGCTGAATATATACGTTTTCATTTCTGCTACAGTTTTCAAAAAGCGAAATGTTTTAATTGTATTGTTTTTACGAGGTTGTCTTGTTCTAGGGTTCTAGCAGGTCTTCCTCAAGCAGTGCTTCAGCACATCACATGACCCTTGAGGAGTTAAAAGCAGTAAACAGATATGCCGAGAGTACAAAAAGTCTCACCTATCTACCTCAGGTAGATTAGTTTCTAAAGTTTACTTGTGTCTAACAAATTGAATTAATTGATTAGAATTTATATTGAATCCAGGTCCATGAAAGACAAACTGCCAGAATGAGAACAAGATCTGAATGGTTTTTGAATCCTGGGTATAGACTGGCCTCATCGATGGATAGTGACCCAACTTTACATGTTCTCAGAGGATCTAACAACTTTACATCTTCTGGGAACATTGGTAATTTGTTTTTCCTTCTTAGTTCTTTTCCTATGGTGCAAGTCGTATGCGTATTTTCTATGACATGCTTTAAACTCCATACGGTTCTTGGATTTTTATTTTTATTTTTGCTTCTAACTTGCATCAACAGCTTACCGTTTGAAACCCCTGTCTTATGAACATTTAAGGAAAAATTGTTTGGGTCATTATTGAGGGTTATGTCTGTTCAGGAGGGGTTTAAAATAGACAAAATTAAGAAAATTTTAAGTTGTTTACATATTTTAAATTTCCAATGAGTAATAAAATTAAAAAATCAGTCGGGCTGTATTAGGAGCGGAGCATTCCATCCTATTCTATCACAAACAAAAATTGTATGCATAATTTTTTTAGAGTAACTATAAGAAGACTAACTTCATTGTTTTAAGTTCCATCTTAGCAAATGAGATGATTAAATGTTTATGGAATTGAATAAAGGCTAAATAAATCTAAATTAGATGTTTCACAATGCACTAGTTACGGAAAACTCGGGTTAGGCTGTCTCTTTTAGCTCTCACTGCCAAACCTGGAGCACAGAATACAATTAGAGGTCATATCAGTGAACATATAAGCTAAAAAATGACACCACAATCCCTATGCAAAAGAGAAGTTTTGAAGGAGGAACAGACCTTATTAAAAAATAAAGTACATTTATATAGTTCTAAAAAATGGATTATTACCAATCCACAAGTTCAAAGTACCCAAAACGGGACCACGGTAGCTGAGTGGTTAGTGTGAGAAACTCTCGGCTCATAGACCCCGCGGTCATGGGTTCAATTTCCACTGTCACCTCTGGCTTTTTTTTCATGATACCCTCCTCCCCAATACGCATATGCATAATTAATTGTCTCCTTGCCTAATATGCAGATCATAAGGCCATTAAAAAAAAAAAAAAAAAAAAAAATACCCAAAACAGTCAAGGGTATATGGGGAAGAGAACTTCTAAGGGGAAAAAGGTAGTAGAAAATAGCAAATAAATTTCCTAACAGCCTAATTAATAATATTTTTACTGTTTATGTCCATTCTACAGAATTACGTAGTGCAGTATGGATGCATGGCATCTATGATGGTATGGAGGGTTTAAAGTAAATAAAAATTCTCCTTTTTGATTATTCGGAGATCGTGAGATGCGGTCTGGTGTGACATAGGTTTTAGAAAAACATTTTCTTTATCGTTCCAACGTTTCAATCTTTATTGAGATCGTCTTCGGGGCAGTTTTTTTTTTTTTTTTTTTTTTTTTTTTTTTAAATCTTTCGGGAATACACCCATCATAAATTTTGATTATATATAGTTTATTTTTAAAAAATATAAGACTAGTTCGCTTTGACAAGCTGCATGGGCAATAAGATGCTAATGATGGGTGTAAATTCCCAAAACAACCAAAAAATTTAATGTAAAAATAACGCAGAAATTAAAAAAATAATAATAAAAAAAATAATAAATTACAACTATAAATAAATATAAAAAACACGTCTTTAAAAATATTTGTTACATACTAATTGTAAATACTATTGTGTGTTGAACATTTTGACAACAATAAAACAGATTACTCACAGGGTAACCACAGATGCCGAGTGGCCAGCATGTAGAATCTCAGCTTGTAGATGTGGTTGTGGATTCAGTTCCTACCATCCTTCCAGGCCTTTATTATTAAATAAGATATTACCACATATAATACTCTGCTCTGGCTAATATCTAAGAACCTAAGGCCATAAAAAAAGTTGTATGCATGAGAATCACACTATCTGATATGAGCTGTGTAAATGTTATTCAAAAAATTGCTAGAACTGAGTTCTCATTGATTTCGAAAAAAAAAAAATATATATGTTATAGCAAATTATATATTTATTTAATACGACTAAAACACTAATTAGTACAATGTTAATTTTATTAATTTTTTTAACTCAGGTGGTACTGGCTTGAGTGCGAGTGCTGAGTCGGTGTCAAAAAGGTCCTGTGTCCGTAGGAATTCAAGCCGGTCGAGGCACAATAGACCTTCTTCTCGGAGGAACAAAGAAAATGGCAACAAGTCTATCCCAAAATCTCAACACAGTCAAGATGGATCTCAGCCTATTCAAATCAGTGTAACATACAAACCAAGGATATAAATACATACCAAAGATGGCTTACTTTATCGTGAAAATAATTGCTTTACATGTTCACTACGGTGCACATACTTCAACCCATCACTTATGAATGGCCGTTTATCAAACGAAACAGGAATACGAAAATAGTTCAATTTTTGTTATGTATTTTTTTGCCTTCTTCATTTAATATTTGAGACAAACACAAATTTGAAGTGTGTTGCTTCTAGATAAATGGTAAAAAAAGCTTTTATCTTAATGACAATTCATTAAAATCTTATATTTAAAAATAGGAGCATTTACACAATACACACAATTTTGAAGAATCTACAAGACATGACAAAGAAGAACGGAAATTCAAATTATTTATTTAATTAAATAATAAATATCTATATATTGAAGAACATTAACATGTTTAAAGTTGGAACAATATAATGTAATGTACTTCTTAAAAATGCTCATGTTTTGGTCTTAAAAACAAAAATTTGCTCCAATGTAAATTGAGGGTTGAATGTTTATTGAGAAAAGAAAAGAAAAATTATAAGATGTGGTTTGTGACTACTTCACTTTTGAACCTTGACATATCTAGAAAATCTGGAAAAAGTTTTGCCATTATGACGAAAACCTGTATTGAACATGTTAAAAACAGAAAAATATTGCCTAGTCAGGATGTTACATTATTTAATTTTGTTAATTGAAAATTTAATTTATTTACTTGCTAATCAATGTACACACACAACATGTTATGTCTTAAGTTTAGTGTTTTAATAAAGAATAATTTTGTTTGAATGTTGATAGATGAACACCATAGATATATTCTGTTCTACGAAAAAAGACTTGTGTGCTCAAACTTTTGTTGTTAAAAAGGGCCTGAGAATACAACATTATGAGAATATTATTCGCAATATCTTTCCATGTGTGTGTATTTTAAAGAACATGTTAAACTAACGAAGTCATTGTTTTGTAAAAAATAAAACTTGCCAATTCGTTAGAGTGAATGGCTATCTTTTTTATTTTATTATATTTATGGCCTATAGCTATGAAACATTAATTTTAATATTTCGTATTTTGTAATAATATTATACAGTGCGATATGTGCAGTTAATTGTATAATTATTTAATATTTTCGCCTTTTGTAAATACCTCTTGTAACAGATTTTTTTGTATTGACTTACAATATTTTTTATATTTTTTGTACATTTTGATTAATTTGTTAACAAAGACAAATGTTTAATTTATAATTACTAAATGTTATATATTGATATTTCTTCTATCAAATACCAAAGAGTTTATTATATTTTTTTTATTTATTTATTTTTTTTTTCTTAGCTTAAATGGACAAGAATATAAGTTCTGTCATTATTACCTAATAAATGGCTTATATTCCATTTAAATTAGGGAAGGCAATGGTATGCTTGAATCAAATTTTGTTCATTGTGCTTTTATAATTTTAATTGCGTGTGTTGAAAACAATATTTAAACATTAAAACTGACTCCTATTAATAGACAATTATTTTTGAGAAAAAAACAAAACAAAAGCCGTTTTTAATTATTTGATTTATGTATTTGTTATTTATTTTTGCTGTTCCATTTGAAATTATTTTTTTACTGACGTACCACAAGTCAAAGATTTTCTGGTTAAAATAATCTTGGCTGTGACCTTTTTAAACCTGTTATTTTTCGTTTATTTTTTACCTTGTGTAAAATATTTCATAGCATCAAAGACTGACTTATTTATTTATACAAAATAACTTCAGAATATTTTTTTTTTTAATGTGTTACCAATTGATTTATTGTATAACGTCCATTAGCAAACTTTATTGTATATTGCAGCTTTAACAATTTGCTAACTTGCTCTTTCCTTATTTTCTTACAAGATGAGACAGATCAATTATTGAAAATAACGTAAAACTATGTGACTACATGATCTCAATATTAGTGCATAGTTTTAAAAAAAGATATGTAAATTTTTTTAATGTAATAATCACATTAGTTTCATGGCTCTGTTTGAGTGTTTTTGGATATACACTGCCAAATATTGTTATTAAAGATGACTAATCATTCCATTATCTACATTGTGCACAATTGCATTTATAATGGGCCAAAGTTTGTAACTAAGTGTCAAATATTCATTAGTAGATGACTTTTTTTTTATTAAACTGAATACTTACATGCAGTATTGTAAATAAAGTTTTCCAATTTGTAACGTGTGTATCTTTGCTACTTGAATTAATAACAAATAAGAATAAACTGATGCTAAATGTTTCTTTATTCTATTATCAAAGAACCAATCTATGAAAAAGAAGTATAAACAGGAGGATTCTGTGTATCCACCACACCCAGAAGGACAGATGGCAAGATGTGCTTTACGAAGTCACACATGTTGAAGAGGACATTGTTAGGACGTCCAACTTAACATGCTAGTGGTTTTGATTTCAAAAGCAGTCTATGGAATTTTAATTAAGAATACAAAATCCAAAAAGAAAAGAAAAATAAGCTTGAAAGTGCTTTGACCCCTTTTCGAGATACCCAACTGGTGGTTGGGGAGTGCCCTTCAGTATGGCAGGAAGTTTTTTTCTCTTGCTACATAAATTATAAATACTATACATAACAGTATAATATAATAATAAAATGTTAATTAAATAGGTCATAGAGGCAATATGGAAGTTATAAATAGAGACCCCCGTCCCAAAGAAAACATCAATGATAAATTGCTGAAAAAGCGTTCGCATAGAATCCATTTCACTTTAATATTTCAAAAAGTTTAAATTAAGTAGAAATCATTGATAATAAATATTTTATTAATCATATTATGTTGTTTATTATAGAGATAAACAGAGACTTTAAGGGAAATGTTGTTTTCTTATGTTACCTAACGTGTAGCTTCAATAGTACTTGCCAACACGGACGCTTCAGAACATTATTCTTTATTTCTTCAACGGGTAAAGAAGGTAAGTGACTTTTCTACTTTTCCCCTTTTTAATACATACTATTTAAGCATATTTCACTCAAAACTGTATAAATTGGTCATTGTTCAACACTATTGAACTTTATTTGTTTGTATTTTTACCGTTTTAATTTGTGAAAAAATTGAATCCAAGTCGGAAGCGCCCTTATGGCCTCGCGGCATAGCAATTTAGAATGTTGAAATTGTTCTTAAATGTTAAATTAAACTGACAATAAATTAAACTGATTTAAGTTAATACCTCGTACTTTTTAAATGTAAAGAACACATATGTGTGTTCAAGCTTAAAATAATCAGTTGGTTGGACCAGTGTTACACTGTATTTATTGTGCCGATTTTTCATTTGTTATTTAATTTAAATCTAACTTAATTGTATTTTCTGTTAAACTAAAATGCTTTTAATAATTTCCAGCGTAACGGCTGTAGCCACGTGCTCTTTGAGTACCGCTACTAGGTTAGGATTAGGAGTGAAGGTCTGGGGTACTATGTTATGTTTTAAACGGATACTAATTGTTAATTTAGAAAAACTAAATGTTCTATTTGTTTAATTAAACTTTAAAAAAACTATCCTTTTGAGAAATTTCATTACGGAAATATTATTGATCTCATTACGAAAGACGTTATTTGAAAAATGAAATAGTTATAATTTCAGTAACAATTAAAAGATAAACAATCTAACAATTAATTTAATATGTAAACAATTTTTTATTAAAATAATAATTGAAATATGTGTTTCAAATTTTCGGTTGAATGAATTTTTTCGACGAAATCGTGGAATTTGAAATATAACGCACGTGGCAGTAGGTTAGTTTTTACTCTAGGTCTATATAAATGCAGTTAAATCTCGATATAACGCATCTAGAAGGAAACAAAGACTAAGTACATTGATTATTCAGAAATTGTGAGATGCGGTCTGGTTTGATGTCGGTTTCAGAAAAACATTTTCTTTTTCGTGCCATTTCGATCTTTATTGAGATCATCTCCAGGGCCTGGGATAAGCAATCATTGTTTAAATTTATCAAATAGATGTAGGATGTCGAAAAAAATTGAATTTATACAATGCAAAAACATATTTTTTATATTCAATCACGGTATTTCTACTCACCCAAAGTGTTTTTCTGCGAAAGTGTGTCACTCTAGTGTGTCGTGTTGAGAGTGCCAGTGAGTTATTGCTGTATTATGTTCATATACGTTGGGTTTGGAGAGCAGGAGTTCCTTTCCTTCAGATTATTTTACGATACCCTTTGAAGGTTCTGTGTTTCTGATAAGAGCAATTACAAGTTAATGATTTAGTCATTTTTAGTTTTTAAATGTGAAATATGCATAAATAATGTGCTCACCGCGATGATTAGTACATGAAACTTTGCGGTTTCCACCTGAGGGTATTTCACGATACCCGTTGAAGGTCCTCTGTGTCTGATATGAGCACTGACAAGTTAAATATTTAGTTATTTTTATTTTCCAAATATGGAATTGATATGTTATTTATGCATAAATAATTTGGTTTCCACCTGAGGGTATTTCACGATACCCGTTGAAGGTCCTGTGTGTCTGATATGAGCAATGACGAGTTAAAGATTTAGTTATTTTTATTTTTGAAATGTGAAACATGCATAAATAATGTGCTCACCATGATGATAAATACTTGCAAATTTGCGGTTTCCACCTGAGGGTATTTCACGATACCCGTTGAAGGTCCTCTGTGTCTGATATGAGCACTGACAAGTTAAATATTTAGTTATTTTTATTTTCCAAATATGAAATTGATATGTTATTTATGCATAAATAATTTGGTTTCCACCTGAGGGTATTTCACGATACCCGTTGAAGGTCCTGTATGTCTGATATGAGCAATTACAAGTTAAAGATTTAGTTATTTTTAGTTTTTAAATATGAAATTGATATGTTATTTATGCATAAATAATTTGCTCACCATGATGATAAATACTTGAACCTTTGAAGTTTCCACCTGAGGGTATTTCATGATACCCGTTGAAGGTCCTCTGTGACTGATATGAGCACTGACAAGTTAAAGATTTAGTTATTTTTAGTTTTTAAATGTGAAATATGCATAAATAATGTTCTCACCATGATGATAAATACTTGCAACTTTGCGGTTTCCATCTGAGGGTATTTCACGATACCCGTTGAAGGTCCTCTGTGTCTGATATGAGCACTAACAAATTAAAGATTTAGTTATTTTTATTTTTTAAATATGAAATTGATTTTATTTATGCACAAATAATTTGGTTTCCACCTGAGGGTATTTCACGATACCCGTTGAAGATCCTCTGTGTCTGATATGAGCACTGACAAGTTAAAAATTTAGTTATTTTTATTTTTTAAATATGAAATTGATATCTTATTTATGCATAAATAATGTGCTCACCATGATGATTAGTACTTGAAACTTTGTTTTTTCCACCTGAGGATATTTCACCATACCCGTAGAAGGTCCTACATAATTTGATATGAGCACTAAGAAGTTTTAGTGTTTTTTAGTTAGTTTTTTTATTTATTCATAAATAATGTGCTCATATCTTGAGGCTCCTCAGGCTTGTATGAGAAACATTTCAATTTCATCATTAATTTTTTTAAACTATTATATTTATTACTGATGTAATTTATTAGCGAATTCTAATTGTTTATTTACAAATTATTGTTTTATGTATGCAATTGTAGTCTCATTGGTGAAAAAAGGATTTTGTGCATATCACTTATTCTTTTTGTAATTTTTTGCAACTTTTTTTTACTTAGCAACATGGCGGACGCAGCTCCAGCCGCTCGAGGTGGTTTCCGTGGAGGATTTGGTGGCCGAGGAGGTCGTGGTGGTATGCGAGGGCGTGGTAGAGGACGTGGCCGTGGTCGTGGGCGTGGCAAAGAGGCTGAAAAGGAATGGATCCCAGTAACTAAACTTGGACGTCTTGTCAAAGATCAGAAAATTACATCTCTTGAAGATATTTACCTGTTTTCTCTTCCAATTAAGGTATGTTAAATTTTTCCTTTCTGCAATTACATTCAATTTTGATCCTAGATTTGTCAATCAATGTGGAAATTAAGTAATTGTTGATTTTCTCCATTTTATTTTAGGAATTTGAAATTATTGATTTTTTTATTGGGCCTAACTTGAAAGACGAGGTACTCAAAATTATGCCTGTTCAGAAACAGACTCGTGCAGGGCAAAGGACAAGATTCAAAGCCTTTGTAGGTACGTACACCCTAAGCCTGCATTATCTAATCATTGTTTTCATTTGTTAACAATAATGCATTACATAACATTATATGATGATAACTGCAACCCACTGTATAGATTATAATATGAATCTTTTTGATTATATCTTATGCATCACTATCTGATGATTATATATTATAAATATAAAAAAAAGCAGTAGTGACACAAAACCATTACTAATTAATATTTTCATTTCAGCAATTGGTGATAGTGATGGGCACATCGGTCTTGGCGTGAAATGCTCGAAAGAGGTTGCCACTGCTATCCGTGGAGCTATCATTCTCGCCAAACTGTCAGTTGTACCAGTGCGTAGAGGTTATTGGGGAAACAAGATCGGAAAGGCTCATACAGTGCCTTGTAAAGTCACCGGCAAGTGCGGATCCGTTCAAGTACGATTGATCCCCGCTCCTAGAGGTACTGGCATCGTAGGTGCTCCCGTCCCCAAAAAACTGTTGCAAATGGCTGGTATTGAGGACTGCTACACCTCCGCCCGAGGATCAACTGGTACACTCGGCAATTTCGCGAAGGCAACCTACGCAGCAATTGCTAAGACATACGCCTACTTAACACCCGATCTCTGGGACAATGACAGCAAACTTGAGCCACCTCCTTACAGCAAATTTGCTGAACATCTGGAGAAGTGTCATCATCCACATGCATTGGCACAATCCAGAACTGATTCTTAGGCAATTTGTTGTTAGAAACTGCCATAAATAAATATGATTTAAAAAAAGAAGTAACCCTGCAGTGTTTTTGACTTACCTTTTTCCTTTTCATTATATTTTTCTTGTATTTTAACTGAAATAAATTCATTTTTAAATATAATGGCCTTGTCAGTTTGTAGGTTGTTAAATTAATTTGGAATAAGCTTGGTTTTTTCTTGTTTCAAATAATGCATGTTTATACAACATTAATAAAAATGACAGCAATTAAATCATTTCTAGCCTGTTGAGTGGTTTTCTTAACAGGTATAAATCATTTTCTTAACATTTTACAATCAGAACGTTGAAATTCATTTTGATAACTCAATTCTATAAAAAAAAAAGGATTCCTGAACTGTTGTTAACATCAATATATCGTCTTTCAACAACCCATTTACCAAAGCATAACAGGAAAAGTCAAAAAGAAACTTTTTCCAGCCCTGATTTAAATGCTCATCTTGAAATGTTAAAACATAAGATTCAAAATACACTATCCTTAAAAAAAAATCAATACTAAAAATTTGGAAAATCCCAATACAAAAAAGCTCCAAGTGACTTCCTATTCCATAATTATGTCATGTTACGTGCTCACTAAGCTTTTCTGAAAAATCTCCAATCATTTTAACTGTAATGTGAGTTATAGGGCTGTACTTTCTAAAAAATAATTACTTAAAAAAATAACTTCGAAACAAATTATGAACATATTTGGCAAATGGTAGCTAACTGCAGAGAGCAATTAGTGGGTTTATGCTGGGTGTCAGTCTGAGAATTGGTTAACCCGTTCTGATCCATTGCTGGCATACCTACTAACAAGGGTAAAATATTGTCTAATAAAACGTTAACGCCTAAACTACACTTATAAATCAATCATAAAAATAAATAGGAATGACTACTGGAAAGCACACCACCAAATCCACCTGTCAGAATATGTTAATGTTAGAAAGTATTACATTTATTAAAATACTCCGCATGGAGCACAGATTAAAAAAGTGTTAATACTTTGCCTTCACATATATGTATATGTATATAATTATTTTTGTTACTTTTTTTTTTTTAATATTTCATCCAATTTTTATGCAAGAAGGTTGAGAAGAAAAATTGGTGTCTCGGGCCAAAATCACAATAGCTCAAGTGGTACAGCACCGGGGACAGGTTTGAGTCCTGCTCGTGACACATTTCTTTTCTAATTTTCAACCTTTGCACAAGAAATTGATAACTTATAAAAATAACCATTGTCTATGTAAAAGCAATCCATTCAAATGAAAATAGCCTATAAAGAAATAATTACAAAACATGAAAACGGAATTTGAATAATATGAGCTATAGTTGGTGTTTCTTTTCAGCCAGATGATGGATGCATGATTGGAGAATTTGTCAGTGTCCAGAGAATGACGATTAAGCTATTGACTTTTTGCATTGGCGTGTTGCGGACTTATTCTAGTCCTTCATCAAGTCCTTCTAGAATGTTTTGGCTGATGAAGGACTAGAATAAGTCCAAAATATCGCCAATAATAAAAAAAAGGCATGAACAGTTGAGTTGTTCGTTTTCTGGCCGCTAGCCTGACAAATCTCTAAGAGCTTTCATCAAATGGAAAAGGGCCTATATGGCCTTATGAGTTCTATGACTTATGAGGCTAATATCATCCGCAGTGGTCTTGACCAAAGCATTTATCGAGTCGGTGAGTTGTCCATAATTGCAACTACTAAATGCCAGATGTTTTCAAAACCATCTAGACCACTCCTACTCAGTTTCAAAATTGACAGACAGTAGACACTGCTATGTGTTATTGCCTAATAAAAAAATATAATACGTAATAATTAGGACTTATGAATTGAACTCCACAACAATAGTGGCTTATACTTCCTTGCTATGCGGACCCTATAAAAAAAGAACTTTAATCAAGAAATTTAAAAATATGGATGGATGAACCACTGAAAATGGTGAAATGTGTCTGGCAGGACAGTTAGAGCAAATAGGCAGAACAGGAAGCAGATATTTTATTTTAATTATTTAAACTGCATCTAGTTTTTATTTACGTCACATAGTAACATTTTGATTATCAACTTATTTTAAATTAATTCAACAATTTTTTAAAACTAATTTAATTTGTTTGTTTTACAATGTGTTTGATTATAGTTATGATAATAATTTACAAAAGGCCATGCAATGTGGAAACATTTGATTTGGCCGATATATACTAGCTGAGCAAATTTATCAATTGATTATCAATGGGAAATGTTTTCTTTTTAATAATCTGGGTATCCGGGTATAGGGAACTGTTCAGCAAACGCTTCGACTTCCTTTTTAAGCGCATCCACTTTCCCAGAAATCTCTTCATTTGATACTATTTCCTTTTTAAAGTCAACAAGTTTAGGACCAGATTTTTTCTGTGCTTCGACTGCGAGGTTCAGAGCTAAAATAGAAATTATGACAATTGTTAATCCTTTCAAACTGAAAAGAAATGTTAAAAATTGACTTGTTGATTTACCTGCATCGATGAATTCAACGACTCTGTCTATCTCCGGTTCCTTGAGGCCTCTTGTCGTAAGAGCAGGCGTACCCAACCTAATACCACTTGGGTTGAGTGGGCTTTTGTCTCCTGGCACTAAAATAACAAATGTTAACTTTCTTTTCCAAAAATCGCTTTATCCCTTCAAATTCTACCTGTATTTTTGTTACAAGCGATGTTAACCTCGTCGAGTATAAACTCAGCTTTAGCTCCTGTCAATCCTTTAGGTTTGACATTGACGAGTACTAAATGAACGTCCGTCCCTCCGGTAGCGATTTGATATCCAAGACTTTGAAGCCCAGCACACAGCCTCTTTGCATTTGCTACAACCTGGACAAAGAATACTATTTTAGCTCTTCCACATGTAAAGATCAATCAATTTGTAGACATTACCTGAGCCTGATACTGCTTGAATTGAGGAGTTGCTGCTTGCTTCATTGCTGTGGCAATCCCTGCTATCGCATTGTTATGCGGCCCACCTTGGAGGGCTGGGAAAACTGCATTGTTAACACGTGTCTCTAAGTCATAATACACCGGCTTTCCATCTTTTCCTGTCGATTTGACTCCTAAAAGGCAATTTAAAAACATCAAACCGAATTTCGGATACGTTGTTAGAACGTTTTATACCTTTTCTGAAAAAGATGACAGCTGCTCTTGGCCCTCTAAGGGTTTTATGTGTGGTGGTAGACACAACATCGCAATATTCAAAAGGTCCCGGGATCACTCCAGCAGCAATAAGACCGCTTACGTGCGCCATATCAGCGAAAAGATAAGCACCGACTTCATTAGCAATTTCCCTGAATCTTTTATATTCAAGACATCTCGAATAGCAGGATACACCTTTAACAAATATAAACAATTTAGTTTTATTTAAAAAATAAATATTAAAAAAATGATAGTTTTACCTGCAATGATAACCCTAGGTCGAAACAATCTCGCATGTTCAGCCAATTTATCATAATCGATTAAACCTGTTTTAGGATCCACCTTATACGGGAAGGATTCAAAAAATATTGACGTGGCAGAAACTCTTTTCTGGGCTGACATAAAACCATGGGTTAAGTGTCCTCCATCAGGGAGATCCAAACCTAGAAGCAATTTATAAGGTTTGTGTTTAATTTTAATTAATTATACTTTTAATCTAAGGTCTTGGTTGAGAAGAAAAAGTGTCAAGTTTTGAATCCATGTCCTGCGACGACGTCACTGTTTTAACCACTTGAGCTATCCTGACTTCAAACCACCCGGACACCAACTCCTCATCTCAAACTTCAACCTTTCCAATTTTCCCCTCTTTTTGCCGCATTTTCCATATTTGTGTTTAATTTTACTGAATGCATACACACATGAACAAAGTTGACCCCTCTCACAGTCCACTGGTAATTCTAGTTTTTGTAATTTATTGTATTTAATTATAGTATAACCTTAATTGATTTGTATTTTTTACAATAAATTACAGCAGGCCTCTAAATCACCCAACCTGGGTGTTGGCAGTCCGGGGTCAGTCCTAGGATTTATCCATCCAGCCACCGAGGTTGGGCTCCAGGGCTCAACAGCTAGGTCATTTCAGCCCCCAAGCAGTCTCAATCCAAACCCATTCACACTCTCACCCACTCTAAAATGCCTTCTTATTTATTTGAACTTATCTAACGGAGGTTTCAACTAATCTAACTGAGGGTCAATGGGTTCAAAAACAAAATTACATACCCATTATCCTGTCGTGTGGTTGTAAAAGAGCAGTATAAACTGCGAGATTAGCTGGAGATCCAGAATACGGTTGAACATTTACACCCCATTCTTCATTGCTCAAACTAAACGCTTCCAGTGCTCTCTTTTGGGCCAGAAGTTCCACTTTGTCAATAAACTCATTTCCACCATAATACCTATGGTTAACAAGACACAAATACTTAGAAAAAATTACATATAGAAGCATACAGAAAAGATAGAACCATATTTATATATTTCCTCAAATCATTAAATCCAATATAACACCAATTCTAAATTGGAGCCCATGTTGTCCTGATCACAAGAAAATGTAAATAAATTTGTGGCAAGTATTGTGAGTGCTTATATACAGTAAATTGAAAATTTAGTTTAAATAATTTTATGACATAAAATAGCTAGCGCGCAAATAGTCTTAATTTATTATACTTATTATACTTTATTTGTAGTAGCAAGCTTTTTATAGGCTGGCTAAGAACCATGGTTACTCTGCCTCTCTACAAATTGGAATGATAGACAAATAAGAAAATAACAAAATATAACATATATGTGCATAATGTGCATACATTACTTTAATAATTATTCTTTTACCAATATATCTTAGAAAAACTCTTATGCAGATTTGTATTTTCTCATTTAGACTACTGTTGGCTGTTTGTTTTTTCTGTTAATATTACAAATATTCAAAATTCCCAAAAGGAGGTGGCTAGGTTTTAGGATGGCAACAGTCTGAGTCATTTTTTATCCTGAAACTATTTTCTCTGTCTTCAGCTACCCCTAACTATTTGTTGTATTTGGAAATCTCATGAACTTTTTGTTCATATCCTTAAACTTCAATGTGATCTTAAGATCTCTTCGTTCTGCTGTTGCCCAGCTCTCTAGGTATACGTCTATAGCAATTATCGAGCGTAAGCCTTCATGGTTCTCTCATCGGTGGAATATTTTCAAGGATTATGATTTCCGACTTTTCTCCTTCTTGGGAAAATTCTTCAGGGTGGAAAGACCATCTTCATAGGTTGCTACTAAAAATATGTCAATATAATAGAAACAAATGTCTTCTTCGTATTCAATTATTATGACCGTATCTCACGATTTCTGAATAATTATCGACTAACGGTCACTAATCACCACACATTCGTATTCAATCTTCTATCCATCCATCCTATTAAGTAAGCATCTCCTAATTAGATATCTGGATGGTGTAATGGTGTATTTAATACAGTTGCCATGCATGGAGGCACAGATTTGAACTGGTCCATCAATGATTTACTTATCATACTGTTACGACACATTATATTTCAGGTTTGCTCTCTAAAATCATCTCACCTTTCTACTTTTCTGTATTATTTTACTTATTTACTATAGTGTAATTTTATTTTTTAATTTACCTACCGGCTTTTTTAATCATTTTTTTTTTAAATTTCTATATTATTTTTATGATACCAGCAACAAACTCTGGCAGACGGTTTTAATTCATGTATATACTTTATATATAAAGAAACAAATATATACACACACATTTTTTTTAAGTAGTATTTTTTCTTTTGTTGTAAATAAAAGTATCTAATCTATCTATTCAAAATTCCCACCTTGAACATGCTCTAAATAAAAAATAAATAATAATATCATCTCGGCTTTTTTTTTTCTGGCGTTGAAATAAAGGAAGTTGATATTGTCAAATATTTGGGTGTTTCTTTCGACAAAGCCCTTCAATGGAAACCTCAAATAGCCCAATTGTCTAATTCAGGAAGCAAAATACTAGGCCTGATGAGATTCCTCGCTAATTATAATTGGGGAGCGAATAGAGACATTCTTTTAAGAATATTCAGCATGTACTTAGGAGCAAAGTTTCGATACAGAGCAGCAGGTTACTCTTCAGCGCGAATATCAACTTTAAAACCGCTAGATAGGATTTATTACCAAGGTATCAGGATTGCAACAGGGGCGTTTAGACAAGCCCTTTATATAGTCTCTGCTATGACGCCGGTGTCTTTCCTCCGGATCTTTTCTGGGAGGAGGCAATTCTTAGGTTTGTTGCTAGACTTTGGTCTAAGCCTTTCCATCTTCTATTTCCTTCATTTTTCCATAACCCTCACCAAGATATGTATTCGTTCCTAAGAACTAGGACGAGACCATTGGGAATCCGCGGTACTGAAATGTTGAGATTAGGAGGGAATACCTTCCTGGCAGTTAAAGGTTTTAAATTGCTAGATATTCCGCCGTGTCATTACCTACTGCCACAATTATCGAACATCTGGCCTTATTGAACAGGCAGAATTCTTGCAAATTTTAAATAACTATCCCAATTATGAAGTTTTTTATACCTATGGGTCTAAAAATGAAATTGGTGCAGAGTGTGGGATATTTGCTGATGAGTATAACCTCAGCTGATCTCTATCGAATGAGGCTAGCGTATACACAGCTGAACTTCATGCTATCAGAAGATCATTGAGCATTATAAAGGAATCGTGAGGAATTTGTAATGCCATTATTTGCTCTGATTTGAAAAGTGGTCTCAAAGCCATCGAAAATAATTTCTCGGTTGACCCATATATCTTAGAAATTCACAAATCTCTCTATGAAATCAGAACACTTAACTAACATGTATTCGTTTGGGTTCCTAGTCATGTCGGCATTTCTGGAAATGAAAAAGCTGATCAACAGGCAAGGCTGCAAACCAACCACAAAGAACAGATCAATTTCCTCTCCGCCCAGATGATGTAGTCGTTTATGTTAAAAACATTATCAAACGAAAGTTGGCGGCAAGATGGAATGTCTGTAGAGATAGTATGAAAGAAATTAAGCCAGTTGTACATAAATGGCCAACTGAGGAACTTGAAAGAAAAGAACTTGTATTCTCTCTAGATTGCGAATAAGTCACATCAGGCTAATCCATAATAGGCTTTTAATAAGCAACAACCTTCCAACTTGTCCTCGATGTATGCGAAGTGGAGAGCGTATCATTTTGGCAGTAAAACATATTTTGGTCGACTGTCGCACTTTGCAACTCTTTAGGCAAAGGCTCAACCTTTCGAGTGATTTACAGGAGTTACTGGGTCCCCAGTGTTTCTTTCGAAGAGCACTTTTCAGCTTTCTCAAATTTATTGGAATTTATAATGAGATTTAGGCTTTTCCCAAATTGTTATACCATTGAATGTTTTTTCAGGAATTTTTGAGGCTGCCGGAGAGGAAAAATGAAATGGAAGAAAATACAAATTGCAGGGAGGGTAATAAACTGCAATGCCCAAAATCGCAATTTAAATAAGAAAGATAGCTCCCTAAAAAAAATAAAAAATATATATATATATAAATTATTATTATTATTATTTATTATTATTAGCCATACAAGCCCCTATGGGAAATGTTTAAATTATGGAACAAAAATTCAAAATTATAATTTAAAAAAAAGCAGAAATAAATTTTATATGTAATTTAAAATGGGATTTTTGCATACATTTGGCCTTCCAAATTAAGAATTTTAAAAGGATAAATTAAAGCTTTGGATGGCAATAGGATAAATTAGTTTACGAGTGAATGTTTGGTCAGAGCTTTATAGCACTCAGAAGGGATATAGCTAAACTAAGATAGAAGGTTTGGGATGTTAGGGCGTGAAATGACCTTAGCCATTAAAACGACCTTAAAAATTAATAATAATAATAACCCCTTTCTACAACAAATTACATTGTTGATAATCAGAGATAGCCAAGTTACAATTGAATAACACCATGAATTATTTGGTATATCTAGAAACTGTTTTGTGTTTACACACACAAATTACACTTTGAATTATCATGACAATAGGTCACGCAAAATACTAGGTGAGGATGTTACAAACAACAAAACATAACAGCAGATAGGTTGATTTTAGCAGAAAAGAATAAATTTGAATTCAATTTGCATCGGAATAAAACTGAAAATTGGGATGAGTTAAATAAATTGTCAGAAACACATGAAGCAAGTATCAAAAAGTTATGTTTAAGAAAGGCTTAAATAGGAATTCACTTCATCATTCAAGTATTCAGATAAATGTAAACCAAACTGAATAAATAAGTTTTTAATAATTATGTAAGGGAGGACTAATAAATTTATATTGTAAAATCATATTTAAAAACAACAAATATACCCTTGGCCATAGAGCAATTTAAAACTAACTGAAATTGTAAAACAATTTTTAGTAATATGCTCTATTACTGAAACCATAGAGAAAATAATATAATAAATGTTAAATAGATTTTTTTTTTAATGGGGCTATTGAAATTGGAGTCATATCAGCCTCCAATGCACTGTGAGGGTTGTGGGGTACTTGATATTCTGCCAATGACCCTCTCATTTACTCATTCACACAACTATATTCATAAACATGTATATAATATACAGTAATTACATACAATATTTACACTCCAAAGATAGGGAAACATCCCCTTTAAAAAAACAGGACCCAACAAATTCCTTGATCAAGTGTGACACAGTGAGCAGTTCTGTACAACTGGAACACCTGTGTGAGTTTTGAGTCTGGGTGTGTCAGGTATGGCCTATTCTCAAGAGGGTAAGCACCATCCCTTACTTGAGTTTCAGATTGTCAGTCGTGCTCTTGATACGCAAGAGCTCCCCCCTCGATCTGGCCTGTTGGAGCTGCCAACATTCTTTATGCTTGTGTAAAGCTTGAAAGCCTGGCTTTCTTTGCCTCATCGTTGTCTCCGAATCCAATGTAACCGGGTACCCAGAGGACTACCACCGTTTTTCTGAGACTCTCCAACTTAGCATATCTCTCTAATAAGCGCACGACAACAGAATCTTTCATCTCAAATTACCCCAAGCCCATGCCAGATCACATAAAACTCTGCCATGTACCATTGCATTATAAATTATTTTTAAAAAGTTGAGGTTGGTTGATAATTTATAAAACCATGTTAACCAAATTAAAATTTTAATCAAATAGATTTATAAGCTAAATATTATTTAGCCCACATCCTAATAGAACAAAGCCAATTTTTTTTATACATCCAGAGAGAAGACAGAGATTATATTTAGCATTGATTATTCTATTCTAGATAAAAATAAAGGTTGAGGGGTTATCGACTATTCAAGGGTACATCTACCAATCTATGTGCGTCACGGTGACGATCTGCGACAAATATTAATATTTCAAGGGGAGAGGGATTTAAGATTAAGCTGCACGGTATCTGAGATACAGAATGAATGATTTTTATTATCAAAATTAGTTTTAATGTAAGTATTAAAGCTGAAATAATAATTGGTTAATGGAACCATTTCAAAATAATTAAATACAATGACAATTAAATAAATTGCGAATTATCTGGATGACAATTTTGTCCCACAATTTTTCTTTTAAGGAGTGCACTAAAAATTCTTTAAAGTTTGGATAAACGATAAAAAAAATGTTCATAAGGGAAAAATGTTTCAACCTGGAAGATAAGATGTCAAACGTTTTTATTTTTTTATTTTCAAAGAATATCTCCAGATCTCAAGAAAAAAATGTCGTTAGCTCTTTTTTATTTATTTAATTAATTAAATGAATATTACAACACCCACAATTTTGGGTAACAAGTAACAGTGAACAAGAGTAAAGAGAAAAAAAAGAGTAGAGAAGAAACTCATTGGCAGCATTCTAATTTAGATTCATTCCATCACACTTCGCTTTCACTAGATAGGAGATCCCTGGGCCATCGCCTTTTGAGCTTACATAGAGGTTTTGAAGGGATTTGGCGGGATGAGAGTAGTTGGATAAATGGGTTAATGTTGACTGGGAGTGATTTGTGAAACTTATCATATCTAGATAGGACAGTGTTGCGTACAGAGGGTATATTAAGATCAGTGTGGATAGTGTCAATCGATACGTAAGAAGGGTGCAGGTAGAATTTTTCTAAGTATTTTTTGATTGTATGTTGGAACGTTTAGTAGAGCCACAGAGTTACAGTCCATAATTCCAGATCAGTTTTAGAATATTATTGCAAATTAGTCGTTTGTCAGTCATCATCAAGTAGTCTTGAAAGAGTGTTGTAATATCTCTTAGCTCTTCATCGTGAAAGTTACTGATAAATTACATAAATTAAGGTTTTTAGTTGAGATAATAAAGTCAATGGCACGAGCGGGATTCGAACCCACGATCTTCGGCTTGATACGCCGCTGCTCTACACTTGAGCTATCGTGACCTCGAGGTCCTGGAGGTCACGATAGCTCAAGTGTAGAGCAGCAGTATATCTAGCCGAAGATCGTGGGTTCAAATCCCGCTCGTGTCATTGACTTTATTATCTCAACTAAAAACCTTAATTAATTGTAATGTATTAATTGGTCAAGCGGACCACGAAATTAGTGAAGTTACTGATAAAGTTAAAATAGTTTTGTCGTTGAATAGATAATCGCCTATGATCATTATATCATTACAGATACATATAAATATTTTGTGTAGTTCATACCTCTGGCCAGGTAAGCCTTCGGAGTATTTGTTGTGAAGGCAGGAGCTCAGGCACTGGAGTACTGCGAGCGAGGTGAAGTTCTCGGAGGCTATCAGTTCCAGTCCTCTGCGTTGTCGCTTTTTCTCGTCTTTCATCATCTCGAAAAGCTCAGGATCCGAGTCCCAGACCGACTGGTGTAGAATATTGTCGGAAATGCCCATGTTCCTAAGTCTGCAAACGGTAAAAGGATTGTTAAAGGTGCATCGAAGAATTATGCAGGTCTGTTTAGAACTTACGCTATGACAACTGTGTTCCTACAACCACTGTTCCTCAACAGTTTGCTAACCGTGTTCAGCATGTTTAAACGACAAGGCAGGAGTGTGAGAAAAAAAAATTGACCGAGCGAGGTGAGATAAAATTATCAGGATCGTTTAAGATAAATGGATCATGTAAATGTCATGATTATTACATTTTACCGACACCCCCACGTGGTTTTCTCCTATAATCTTAAGAGGTAACTCACATGAATATTGTCTTATTAAATCGTCAGGGCTTGAAAAAATTCCAACCGAACGTTAAACAAACTGTATCAATATATAAATACACGAAACAAGTGTACAACCTCAGGAGAAGGAAAAAGGCTCCAAAACGCCAGTATATAAATTTACAGCGATTTCAACGATAAGACGAAATATAATGAAAAATTTAAAGTACTTACAATTTATACACAAACGGTTCAGCCAACAGACCAAAACGAACTGATTTGTTAATACTTTTTAATCTTTGGGTTGATAATTTATTTGAAATGCCTCTAAATTGAATAACGGTAAAAACAAGTGGTTTGGAGGGGACACTACGTTAATCTTTTTTTGAATCGATTTATCTTTTTATTATAGGAGAAATGATTTGATAAAAGATCAGCGTAATTAACTGGCGAGGAGAGATAAATGAAATTAATAAAAATCATGACATTGTCTGAGAAACTAGTTTGATAAAAAGTACAATTCAATAGCTAGCCATGATGAATCAATTCTAAGATTTTCCCACACTTTTTTTAAGTTTCAATAAAAATAAATTTGAGTACAAACTAAAGAAAATCAAAGCTCTTCTGTGGCATAGGAATCCACACTATCAATAAGCACCTCAGACAGAAGGATAAAAGGAAAATGAGGGAACAATGGAACTCACTCATTGAGCAAAAACAATGTAAGAATCTCCTAACAAACTTTGGAAGGAAAATGCTAACAGAATATATTAAAGGAAGCAGGAAAAAACTGCAAATCCTAACAGGATTATAATAGGACACTACAAGCTAAATGGTCATCTGAAGATTGGCATAACCCAACATTGCATGTGCAAAGAAACAGAGGAGACACCAACACACCTACTAAAAACCGTTGTGTCACAATCAATCACATATGGCGACTAATGACTAATTTAGCCATCAATCACATATGGCGACTAATGACTAAATTAGTCACTTACTACCAATCATGACTAACAGTCTGAGTGATCAATCATTAATCATTAGACATGACTAATTTTTGCCCAACACTGTACAATAGCTCCTGAAGGACACGGTATTATACACACAATGCATGTACCTATCTAAAGAAAACCAATGAGATTTTGGTGATCACATCTGTAAGAAGCAGCGGACAATCTACCTTGATTTTCTGTGACATACTTGAACGAAAGAAAAATAAATTTAACCAATAGAAAGCCCTTTCCTAAAGTTTCATCACCAACATCTCCAAATGTTTTTCGACCTATAAGCATTCTACCCATGTTATCTAAACCTCTAGAAATCATTATGTTTAAACAAATTAATAACTTTCTTGATACTCATTCACTGCTTTCACCTTTTCAATCTGGTTTTCGACAACAAAGCAATGAATCGGCCTTTATTTGATTACCTTAAACTCCAATCTCTTAATTACTTATTTAAAATTAAAGATAAGCTCTGGATTTAGTCACTGTATTCAATTTTAATTTTTCCCATAGTTTAAATATTATAAAAAACTTGTATCATAGAGCCAAATCTATGAATGATTCATTTAGAGTTGCTGGGCTGTGTTTGTTGAATTCCCTTCTGCAGCATATTAGGTCGGCCCACCCCATTCGGACTTTCAGGTGTGAAGCTATCAACTTTTTTTTCAGGCAATTCATGATTTGATCAAATTAACTCAACATGATTTTGTTCTCAAGATTGTATAATTCAACATATCTTTTTCTTCTCTCTTTTATACCTACTTCTCTCCTTCATTCATATTCAACAACGTTAATACCATATAAATTTTGTTTATTAATTATTATTTCTTGCATTATATTTGGTGACCCCTTTGTTGTTTAATTATTTTATATTTTTCTATTCACTGTAAAGGGACCCTACTGTGAAAATGTTTTTAGATAAATATATTTATATAAAGATTTATGTAATGTCACAACAATCATGGAAAAAAAATAAATTCAAGATACTGCATTTCCATTTCTAGCGAGTATTTTGAAAATATGGTCAATTTGTAAAATTTGTACAGAAGACAAAAAACATTTTAGAGCCATGCATTTTAGATATTTTTTAAATTCATTTTTATTGTATTATTTTCACATTGCCAAAAATTTAAAATTTGGACTGTACCAGTTTTGAAGCAATCTGTGCAGCTAACCAATCATTTTGGTGGAATAAGTTAAAATAAGTCTCAATTTAAATGTCCAAGCCCAACTATTTTTGAAACATAGTGTCAATAAAAACAAAAATATTCTAATTTCTTAGGTAGGAAATAAAATTTTTATTAAAAAAGTGTAAAAATGATTATCAATAGTAAGTCTTTAATACCGCTTATTAAACTTAAAAAAAAAATCATTTAAATGAAAGCATTTTCCACAGGGTTTATGTTTCGAAACATCTCTTCATACTCTGCATGGAATTCTTGCCCTGTATTATTATTAATAATAATTATTTCCTTATAATATTCCAAATTCAGGGGTCCTTCCTCTCTTCTCCATAATGTATTTTTAGACATTTACCAACACCGTTTACTGAACAATGGCTGGAACGCAAATGAAAATCAAAAATCATCCCTAACCACCTCGGACATTGGCAGATGATTTAAAAATATGAAAAGATTTTTAAAAAACTTAAGGACTTGAACAAGTTTTTGGAAAAAATAAAATAGTGAAATTGAAATGTGGAGTACATACGATTGTGATATAAATCAAAGTTTTTAAAATCAGCACCGATCATTAATCACATGAGAAAAAACAACTAAGAACTAAAGTATACATCTCTTTTCGTAATGCAATTTATTGAATTGTTACTTATCGATTTCAGAAATGTAATTAATTTTTTAATATTTTAAATTTTTTTCATTCTAAATTGCTAGCCCCAATAAATTATAATTTATATTTATTGTAAATTATATGAAGGAATTTTGTTTTAAATTATGTTTATTGTAAATTAAATGAATAAAAAAATTGTTTATAATGTGTGGTGTTTAATGACCGTTAGTTAATTATTTGGAGATCGTGAGATGCGGTCTGGTGTGATGTAGGTTTAGAAAAACATTTTCTTTATCGTGCCAACGTTTCAATCCTTATTGAGATCATCTTCAGGGCCTTGGATTTATAAACATTGTTTAAATTATACAAATATTATGTACAACAATTCAAAGTATTCGTACTCACTCAAAATGTTTGTATTGTGTCATTACTGCACAGATTGCTCAACACGACATTCAATAATGACACATCTACGCAGAAAACAAACACTTTGAGTGAGTACAAAAGTATGATTGAGTCTAAAATTTCTAGCATTGTATAAATTCAATTTTTTCCACGTCCAACATGTATTTGTTAAATTTAAATGTTTATAAATCCCAGGCCCTGAAGATGATCTCCATAAGGATCGAAACGTTGGCATGTTAAAGAAAATGTTTTTCTAAACCTCATCACACAAGACCACATTTCACAATTTCTAAATTATTACTAAGATGGTTATCAATTCTAACATTTCCCCACTTTTTGTGTTTTTGTTATTTCTTTTATTTACTTATTTATTTTTATTATTTATAGGCTGTCTACCATTTAAGCCATATAATATGATATCAAATAATATTTTTCTTTTATACAAAGATAGTATGCTCAAGGCATAGAGTGACCCCCATCAGGGGAGAGCACCACCTCCCAGTAGGGCCACCCAGACACAGTAGCAGCTTCTCTCTCATTAATGAAATGATGTTTACTTGAGAGTGAGGAAAGTTCTTGCTCTAGAAATCATTCACATACCTCGTGAGTCTAGAGACTCATTGAACCGGAGAGCTGACTCGTCTCCACCAGCCCTCGATTCAACCTATTAATTTTTTTGTGTGTGTGGTGATTAGTGACTGTTTGTCGATGATTATTCAGAAATCGTGAGATGCAGTCTCGTGAGATGAACATTGGTATGATAAAGATGTTTTTCTGAAACCTACATCTCAACAGACCGCATCTCACGATTTCTGAACAATTAACTATTAATTTTTGTTAAAAAAATAAAAGCAATTCATACTTTGTCAAAAATTGAAATGATTAAATAAAAACACATAAATGTGATAATTTGAAACTGCAATGTAATCATAAAGATTAATCAACAACACAGTGAACAAATCTTGAGATTTTTTGTGATACTCTTGCTTGTTTGAGATAAAAATTAAAACAACATTTTAAGGTTTATGTGTGTTTTGAAATTATATTGGTAATTAAGTGGATTATATGAAAGATATTTATATGATTAATTTTTTTTTTTTTAATTATAATTTATGTCAAATACATTCATTTTTCCAGTGAAATAAAAATCAGACTAAAAATAGGATTTCTATGTTTAAAATTGTTCCTTGTTTTATTTAATGATTTTAATTAGGTGGAAAATTATTTATTAGTCAATGGTATCACTAATCAGTAATCAGACAGATAAATCTCATAGATTTATCTGAATACCTTTTTATTTGCACATTCTTGGCAGGAATATTCTCTTTGGACGAAAGTGTGGGGTGGTCGATAATGACAGGACCTCTATTTTGTGGGCTGTAAATGAAAAATCATTATTTTAGGAAATATTTTTTTAAAAACAATTGTTTTAAATAACTTTGGTTTTGTTATAGAAGATAAGTATAAGGAGTAGAAATGTAAATCATACACAGTTATGTATTATTATTATTTTATCTATTTATTTTCTTAGAGTATTTCGTCTAACCTTTACATATATATTCTAATTAATATTTTCTGATGGAGATAAAAGAAATCATTTACCTATCTGCAATTTTAATAGTATAAAAATCGTTACGCTCCATCATTCCACAAATATGTGTAAATATTTTCATAAATTTGTCCACTTTTGATAATCCTCTTTTACAAATAGAATTTCTACAAATGTGACAAAAGTAAGTGATTCTGATGAGTTTGGAATGAAAGCTGCTCAATACAGAAATGAATTGTATGCTTTACAAATACATATGTTCGATGAAAGTTTAAAGGTTTAATCGATTCTCCCTTCTTGTGAAAACACTAACACAGCCACTTGTGATAATTTCGTAAGCAAACATAGCCATTTGACTTTACTTATATATTTGCATTGTGTTGGAAAATATAATTAAAATAACTCTAAATAATAAGAGAAAAAAAGCTCAGTCCCACATAAAAGTTCTCCATTATATAAAATCATAAGCTACTTGAAAAACTAGTTTGATGGCATAGTCATCCGGAGACAGCACAGTAAGAAGAAGAAACACTTTTTAGCTCTTTAGAAGAAAAAAATCATGTAAAAGAGAATATACCCTTATTTGTGATCATCTAGTTTCTAGAGATGCAATCTGCTAAATGCTAGTTGGTTAGATTTTTTAAAGATTTGATTAACTTGTAATAAATTTACATAGAACAGAAAAAACCACAATTCTTTCCAAGCTCAGAATAGGCCACAGTTGACACATATATTTACTTTCAAACACAGAGGTCACAAGATATACCTTACAAAATAAGTGTGTGTTTCTAATAAATAGAAAGGAATGCTACTGAGTATTAATCATAATTTGTAGACTACCCTCTGAGAATTGGGTTGTTATGTGACTCAGAATAGGTCACACTAATTTGCAACACCTAACTTTTAGGATGTCATCAGTACCTCTACATAATAGAAGAGTGCCAGCTTCCGTACAAGGTAACATTCTTTTCAATATGAAAATTGATTTTGAGCACAAGATGGGTCCTCTGTTATTATTTTTCCCTTTAAAATCAGGTTTTCCACATTTGAAGTTAAAGCTTTGTTCATCCTAGTACAGAGAATGGTGTTCTCCCTTATATTTTCTTATCTATAGAAGTAAAGGGCAAATTCCTCCAAATCTGTAACTTCATTGTTTCCAATCCTTGCTGCTTTTGTTATTATTGCATTTCACCACCTGCAGTAGTTTGTCTGTGTGTAATTTTTTGAAATTTCTCTGTATCCAAAAGCAAATGGATTTGTCGATAAACTGTTCTGTTAGAAGTTTTGGTTTTTCGAATGTTCTGGCTCAAGCTGAAACAAATTGCAACAGTATGTCTTCACCACTCCAATTAATACAATCACTTTATCATTTTATTCTTATGGAAAAAAAATTTGCAAGATGATGCGTGAAAATATAGAAATTCTCTCTTATATTATTCTTGTCTGCTTCGCAATCTTCAGTGGAGTTTTTATTGACATGGACTGACAGAATAACACACAGGCCAACCATTATAGATGGCAAAATGAATCTGGCAGACAAAACCAGAAAGAATAAGAACACCAACATGGTCCAGTTGGGGACTGCAGTAGTCAACTTAGTGGTTCAATTCCCACTATTGCTCACATAATCGTCCCCTCAAAAATTACAAGTTTCAAAAGGCCATTAAAAAAAAAATAATAATAATAATAAAGTAATTTTAAGGCTTAAGAGTGAGGTGTGATAAAATAAAAAATCTTACAAATAGTACTGCGCATTCACTGTTAACTTGTTAGCCGTAAATTTCTTTCTTGAATCTGTTGAAAAGAAAATTATTTTAAATGTTAAAAAGATGAATTACATTTAGTTTTAATGGTTTGTTAATACAAATTCTGTCTTGTGACAACAGGAAAGACATTTTTTTATAACAAGAAAATGTGTTTTCAGAAACAGATTACATGGATGTCAAACGTTGCATTTGCACATACAAGATATAATAGGGGGGGGGGGCATCAGTGGGCGCAACGGTTTAGGCGTTGACATGGTGCTCATCACTATAAGATAAAGGTCCCAGGTTCGAATGCAGGGCCGCTGGATTCGAACCCGACAAACTTACAAATTTTTTTTTTCAAAAACACCAGCACTCTGAGGGTTGATATGACCTCTGCTGTTGCAAACCCTTGGGGGGGGGGGGAAGATATAATAAAAAAGGCAATGTTCAAATGACAAAAACAAGTTTTATTTCATACAAAAAAACGTTTACATCAACAGGAACAAAAATTGAAATGATTAAATTATTAAGCACAAAAGAAAATATTTACATTAAATGAATTACAATAACATTTTTTGGGAGGGGGCAAAGACTCATTTTACAGACTTTTTGCCACGACTTTTTGTCGGCTTGGAGTACTTTTCTTCAAGGTGTTTGAAGAATGCATCAGCTTGTCCTTCTCTTTCTTTTTTTCTTAACATTATCGCCTTAATGGCATCTTCATCGACGAGTTCAGCTTTTTTCTTGTCTTTCTTTTTTTGAACTTTGAGTGCTTCCTTTTCTTCCTTTTCATACTGTAATTAACACATAAGTGAAATAATCTAACATTAAGTAAATTAATTTTTATGTGCGTTGTGTGTGTATGTGAGACTGACCTTTCGTTTTCTCGCTTCTTGCTTTCGAGGACTTTCATTGAGAAAACAGTCAAACGCTTCTAATTCACCACTGTCGATCAATTTCTGAATGATCCGTCTCAACCTAGGCTCTTCCAAAGGATTCGAGTACGGAATAAAATTTAATATATAATCCATATCACCTTTGCCATCTCGGTATGCTTTTATGAGATCCTCCTCCTCCTCTTTACTATCTAAATAATAGGAAATATTTTACCCCACCCTTCATGATTTGTACGTTGATAGTAGGATAATCAACTGATAAAATGGAAAATCGTCTTAAACTTTATTATTTTTTTGAACAAACCTTTATATTTCTTTTCATACTCGACTAATTGCTCTGTAGTGATATTGTTGAATATCAACCTCCAATACGAGTACCAGTCCTTGTCTTCGAAATCGGTCAAATCTTCTGTGGCGATAATACCTGGAAATATGAGGATAATATCAATGCTGATTTATTTATTTTTTATTGTATAAATTATACCAGTTTCGTCGTAAAGAGCACGTTTATCCGGATCACACAAAATCGAATGGATTTGCCCAACAACTTTGAATTTTTCCGTTGCCTCCTCCTGTTCTTTTTTGGCTACTCGATCAGGATGGACTTTCAGAGAAAGTTTTCTGTATGCTTTATTAACTAGAATACAACAAATATTAAAAAATTAATATCACTTCAACACTAGAATAGCATTCTAATTTCCTTCCACTCCATAGCGTTCAAGAGATTTGTTAGGGATAAGTCCCAAATTCTCATAAAATTTCCATGATATGCTAAATTACAAAACTACAACACGTCTACACTACAATCAACTCACTTTCATTGGCGTCGGCCGATTTTTGTATACCGAAGATCACGTAAAGATCTTTCGTCCCGAAGTAAGTGACGCACGATTCCAACAAGTTGGGCATGATAATCAATTGAGGATCAACGACTGTGGTATGTGTTGGGATGAATTATGACTTTATAAAACATAAAATTTTGCTTCTGACTTCCTCTTGAACCTTGTCGTGCAATTTTGGAGGGAGATAGAAGTCACCGTGAAGGAAACTCCTCACCCGGCTTCCTTGGAACCTTGATCACAGCTGATGAGCAATGACAAAATTATTTTTTGCCTTCAATTACATCATTCTACTAAAAAATACTACGAGAGAAACTGAAACTTTATAGTAAAATATATTGTTTCAAAATGTATTTTACTATAAAGCTATATTTTACTATGGCTGCTTTCCTTTACATTGTCACGTGGAAGAGGGAGGAAGAAAAATCGTTTTCAAATAACAAAACAACAAACTCCTTATTTAGCTCTTTATTATTTACATAATTTACATAAGCATCCCTTACATCATTCCTTATTCAAGAGAAGAAGAGAGAGAGAGTGAGAGTGAGTTGGAGAGGGAATGTGAAAGTGAGAATGAGTACGAAAGAATGATAGCCAGAGTGAGTTGGAGAGGAGTGAAAGTGAGATGAAGTGGGAGTGAGATGAAGAGGTATTGAGAGTGAGTGAAAGAGGGAATGTGAAAGGGAAAGTGAGTGTGAAAAAATGATAGCGAGAGTGAATTGGAGAGGGAGTGAAATTGAGATGAAGAGGGATTGAGAGTGAGTAGGAGAGGGAGTATGAAAGTGAGAGTGAGATGGAGTGGGAATGAGAATGAGTAGAGTGAGTGAGAGTGAGATGGAGTGGGAATGAGAATGAGTTGGAGAGTGAGTGAGAGTGAGATGGAGTGGGAATGAGAATGAGTGGGAGAGGGAGTATGAAAATGAGAGTGAGATGGAGTGGGAATGAGAATGAGTTGGAGAGGGAGTGAGAGTGAGATGAAGAGGAATTGAGAGTGAGTGGGAGAGGGAATGTGAAAGTGAGAGTGAGTGCAAAAGAATGATAGCGAGAGGGAGTTAGAGTGAGATGAAGACGAATTGAGAGTGAGTGGGAAAGGGAGTGTGAGAGTGAGATGGAGTGGGAATGAGATTGAGTGGGAGAGGGAGTGTGATAGCGAGAGTGAGAAGTGTGGGGGAGATTGATTAATGATTTATTTAGAAAAATATCTGGGTTCTTTCTTACACTTAACATGTAGTCACAATTATAATTTTTATTTAGATTTGCTTCAGGCTTTTAAAAAATTTATATATTTTTAAAATTTTATAAAGTAAAATGTAAACTAAAAAAATGGAAGCAAGTTAAACTTACTTATTTATAACTTATTATTCTATACAGGACCGATTATTGAACAGCTTAATTTGTGCTATTCAGATTAAATACAGTTTGAAAATTTTGTTTATTAGTGTTGATTTTATCATTTTGTATGGAGTGGAGGTCATTAGAAATTTTGTGATGGTGTGTAAAAGACAATCGATGATAGTGTGAGAAATAATGATAGATGTAGATTGGACATTTGGGTTTAAAGGTTTTTTTTCAAAGAAGATACAATCGGTGAACTTTCAACATTTTAGTTGACATTCAACTTATAGATTAAATGTAACATCACATCTCCTCAGTTATTGTTTCCTCTGCTCGCATCCTAGGATGGTGGTTGGCAGGGCTCAACATACATGGGCACCGTATGGGGCTTCAGATATGGGTTAGTCTCGGGATGGATTGATAAGTGCCTTCACATAATCTGGGATCAAAATGTCTCTAGTAAGTTTGGAGGAGATATCGTTGATGACTAGACACTGACCCATCTCTTCAATTATAGTTTAAAATTTGTATACTAAATACATATTTACTTTTTATAAAGAAGAGTGAGTATGGCAATTCACTGTTTGTAAAGATAGTACCATCAATTTTTACGTCTTGCAGAGAATCGAATGTTTTCCCCTTAATGAAGCAGGCCTGTTGCTCTTAAAAGATGGTAGTCTGAAGGAGCAAGGTCAGGTGTACAGTGAGATTAGGTGTATTCATTATTTGTATAGCGCCATACACTGTATTTGTAAGCCAGACTATTTGTTTAAGATTACTTAATAAAAATCATTTTCAAATTAGTTAAAATTATATGATTATGAGTTGAAGCTTTTTTTCTTAATTACAATTTACAACCCTACAATTATTAAATTGAACTCTTAATGTTTGCTAAATAATTATCAATGAAATGGTGAGACCGACAATTGAAAAACAAATTTATTTTATATTTTCAACTAATTATTTTCCAGAAAAAGCAATATCGCATTGGCACTCTCAACACGACACTCAAGAATGGCACAATTACACAGAAGACAAACACTTTGAGTGAGTAGAAATACTTTGATTGAATATAAAAAAATATATTTTGCATTGTATAAATTCACTTTTTCCACATCCTACAAGTATTTGTTAAATGTAAACAATGTTTATAAATCCCAGGCCCTGAAGATGGTCCCAATAAAGATCGAAACGTTGGCACAATAAAGAAAATGTTTGTCTGAAACCTACATCACACCAGACCGCATCTCACGATTTCTGAATAATTATCGATTAATGGTCACTAAACACTACACATTTTCCAGAAAGTTTTGCCATGATTCTCCCTTACTGTGGTTCAAAGGCATGCTGCTTTTGCAGCATTATAATTATCAAAGGTTTCCCTGGAAGGTCTTCGGAGGAACTTTCTGAGGATTCCTTTATTTATTCGATCCTTTTTAACAAATTGTGTGGACTGCGAGGTGATGAACTTTCTAGCTCAACCTTATTTGGTTGTCCAGGTCTGCCGATTAAACAGACTTGGCTATAATTAATAACTATAGTAGCCTCTGTGTGTTGTACCCAATTAGTAATTAAGACATGATCTGTTCATTACCAGTTATATTGGTATTTATTCGGAAATCGTGAGATGCGTGAGGTTTCAGAAAAACATTTTCTTTATCGTGCCAACATTTCGATCCTTATTGAAATCATCTTCAGGGCCTGGGATTTACAAACATTGTTTAAATTTAACAAATACATGTAGGATGTGGAAAAAAGTGAATTTATACAATGCAAAATATATTTTTTTAAAAATTCAATCAAAGTATTACTACTCACTCAAAGTGTTTACCAAAAAATATTTTTTATATTCAATCAAAGTATTTCTACTCACTCAGTGTTTACCAAAAAATATTTTTTATATTCAATCGAAGTATTTCTACTCACTCAAAGTGTTTGTTTTCTGCGTAACACTTTGAGTGAGTAGAAATACTTCGATTGGATATAAAAAATATTTTTTGGTAAACACTGAGTGAGTAGAAATGCTTTGATTGAATATAAAAAATATTTTTTGGATTGCATAAATTCACTTTTTTCCACATCCTACATGCTAAATTTAAACAGTGTTTGTAAGGCTCTGATGATGATCTCAATAAAGATTGAAATGTTGGCAAGATAAAGAAAATGTTTTTCTGAAACCTACATCACACCAGATCTCATCTCACGATTTCTGAGTTATCATCGACTAACGGTCACTAATCACCACACATATATTGGTATTATTGACTCAAGATAAAACATGTTGCTAATTATATATTTTTTTACATTTATAATCTGAGCGAAAATTGTATTTACAGTGATAGTGCTTTTTAAAAATAAAAATTACAAAATAATATTGTATGTATTTTATTTTTGTTAAAGGAAATTAGCATATTTCCAATGTAATTACAACCATTCATGATAATGTGTTTTCAATTTCTTTGCTTTAAAAAGAAAGAAAATAAATCTTTTTTGTTTTACAAATGCCACTAAAAACATTTGTATTTATATTCTCTGTATGCCCAACAAAAATTTTTTAAACAATTCATTTATTATTTTGAATAATTTAGTAATTTATTATACAACAAATAATAACTTGAAATGCCTTACATTGGTTCCCTGCAAAGAGATTATATTTCAAGTAATTCCAAAACAATTAATAACATTAGGGAAACATGTCAAAAATCATGTTATAAAATTAAAAAAAAAGAAAAATGAAAAAATTACATCAGCTGGCTATGAAAAGTGGCATATTATTTTAGACACCAAATTTTAATGACAATGTAATACACTTTTTGGTTGTTCCTAAATTCATAGTAAGTTATTAGCATACACAAAATATAAAAAGAAATCAAATTAAAAATGCTAGATCAAGTATTAAAGTACAACAGGAAGAATCAAAGAATTGCCTTTTGGCTTTTCACAAAGCGAACATATGCAGACTGCGGAGGAAGTTCCACTAAGGTAATAAAATCAATAAGTCAAAACTGAACGCCCAAATTTCTACGTTGCAATAACGGCAATCTTTATTTTGGATAAATACCATGAAAATTGGAACTTATAAAATCATTTTGTCTAAAATATTGCCTGCTTCACACTTCCTACAGAAGGCCAGAAAAATATTTTAAAAACAGGCTATAAGCAAAATGAGTGAAAAAATCATTCGGCCGGTGAAAGTCATAAAACTTTCTTGGCTATTTATTTTTAACAATTTCTTTACTATTGTTATTAATTTGGTTTATTCACAGTGCATAAAAATCAAATTGTTATATTTTTCAATGATTGTTCAATGGAAAGTATTATTTTACTAGTCTCTTCTGATATAATTCTTCTTCTGTGTAATTGAATTGATTCAGCAATTTATTTAAAATAAGTAATTTTGAAAAATATAACAAAGTAATGTCATTAATATTACTATTATAATTGAAATAAACAACTGCTAAATCTTGTTTTAAGGATAACATAAATTTCATTTTATAATCCAAATTTGATTTTGCTTAACAAGTATCCCATTTAATTTGACTTGACTGCTAAGAAAATAGTTTTTTTAGCTATTTAAAATAATATAATACTAATTATTTTTGAATATTACAGAAAGGTTTGGTAGTTGGAGCATATGATGGATGTAGCCCTGGTGAACTTAAATTGACGCCAACAGCTTTGAAAATTGATGAAGAGACAGGAGGGAAATTGAGAGCACTCTTGAAAGGGTGAATTTTATTTTTTTCAATATAAATTTGTGAATCAGTACGGAAAACAGAATAGAAATTTTTTACTTTTATAATTTTATTTTTCAGTGACATGACTATAAAAAAAGGCACAGCTCAGGTTTACTCCAACATTCATCCAGAGTTATACTCCATCGCTGTAGCCGGTCTGGGCCAAGAAGGCATAGGTTTAACTGAAAGTGAAAATCTTGATGAATGCAAAGAAAACATCCGTTGGGCTGCTGGTGTCGGTGCAAGAGCTTTGCATGAAACAGGTCTGGGCACTATATTTGTTGAAGGATTCACAAATACGGAGTCAGCAGCTGAAGGCGCTATTTTGGGAACATGGCAATACCAAGAACTAAAAAACAGGGACCACCAATATATCAATGCAAAAATAGAAATGTTCGAAGATCAAGACAGGTAACTAGCATTTTTACTGTCATCACTAATTTACTCAATCTAAATTATCCGCATTTTTAAATACAGGGAAGGATGGGCACGTGGAGCGTTAAGAGCCGATTGTCAAAACGTCGCGAGAAAACTTGAAGAAACTCCAGCCAATTTGATGACTCCCATTTTGTTTTCACAAGTATATAACAATATAACATATAATTATTGTTGTGGGAGGTTGTATTTATTTATTTAAAAAAAAGCTTTTTAAGAAATCTATATGCTCACAAATGAAATTTAAAAGATAAAATTATTTCATTTTACATTCCAAATAAGAAGTTTGGTAGACAAAAAAATGTGAAGCAAATAGAAAAAATAGAAGCAAAATACACTCATATTAATTTACAAAACAAATAATGAACAACTATAAATAATAATATATTTGTTATTTAGCACGCGCTAGATTTGCTGTGTGCTTGTGGGATTCAAGTAGAAGTAAGGGACAGAGATTGGCTGGAGCAAAAAAAATTCAATGCTTTTCTCACACTCGCCAAGGGCTCCTGCGAAGAACCTCTTTTACTTGAAATCGGCTATTGCGGTGGACAGCCGGATGACAAACCTATCGTTTTCATCGGTAAAACAGTTGTAATTTAATTTAAGGAAATAATCATTAATATTAATCGTTTGACAGGCAAAGGCATCACCTTTGACAGTGGTGGCCTCTGCTTGAAAAAGTGCGAGGGAATGTCTGAGTACCGAGGAGATTTAGCAGGAGCTGCAGTAATCGTAGGCGTCCTTAAATGTATCGCTTCAATGGCTTTGCCCATAAACGTCCGAGGTAACGTTCACTTGATTCTCATTAGGATGAAACTAATAGTTTTCATGGTATTACAATGAATCTCAAATTTGGCTAAAATTTTTTAAAACTATTTTTGAGTAGGTACTGGATTATAAAATATTAACATAGTTTATAAATTCAATATCTAGCTCTAATACCGCTTTGTGAGAACCAACCTGGTGGTATGGCCATTAAACCTGGCGATGTCGTGGTTGGACTCAACGGTAAAACAATCGTTGTTGAGGACACTGACAATGAAGGACGAATAATCATGGTAGATCCTCTTGTCTATTCGAATACACTTTATCCCTGCATGGTCACTTCAATCGCGACCCTAACACGTGCGTATTTTCATACTTATTTTTTTCTTATATTCGCTGAAAAAAAAACAATATAATTTGTATATACTTTTATAGCTGGAGTCCGCTGGGGACTTGGGTCTGGATGCTCTGCAGTATTTACAAACTCTAATCCTATTTGGAGAGAGATTAATCGAGCTGGTGCAGAGACGGGTGATAGAGTTTGGAGGTTCCCGTTCTGGAAATACTACACCAAAAAAATTACATGTAATTCCGTCACAGTTGATATTTTCCAAATTTCAATCGTACATTGATAAATATGATAATTTTATTATTTTCAGCTTATACCGGAGTTGATGTCCATAATGTAGGGAAAGGAACAGGGGCCGCTCCTTGTCTTGGAGCAGCATTTATAAGGGTATACTATCATCAATTGCTTATGTTCATAGAGAAACTAAAATTTCATTTTTTTTAATAGGAATTTGCTCCTCCTGGTATTGACTTGATGCATCTAGACATAACAGGTACTGGTTTGCTATCTACCGGTTATGGTCATCCTTACCTTAGAAAAGGACTTATGACTGGTCGCCCGGTTAGAACAATTGCCCAGTTCTTATATCAAATAGCTTGTCCTCATGATAGAGGTGATGAGTGTTAATTTAATAATTGTGTTGATGTCCCTCCATAAAGTCTTTGTGAATCGTCTTTTTTAAAATATACTGTCTCAAATTTACTAATTTTTTTAATATTTTTTATTTACAACAAGTAGCATATACAATGTACAGTAAGGAATAGAAATGTTGGTGACCATTTTCGTGTTATCAGGGAGGGTGTACACGGGTTAAATTAGAAGTTACAGATTATTTTTACATGTTTATAATGTTAAAAAAAAAAAATGAGAATTTTTCACACAATTTGTACGCCATAAAAAAATCTCAGCTGATTACATAATCTTTTTTTTTTCATCTTATCTATTAAACAAGGTAAAAGCAACCTTAATTTTGTTCATAAATATTTTTAAACATAAAACATTAAAATTGTCACGTATTATAGAGATAATTTGAATTCAGCCCACTAGATTTGTGTGACATTGACTGTTTCACTGTTCATATTATACTATGATTTATGATGGGGTAATAAGTTTAAGGAAGACTTAATTAACTTAGAGGGAAATAACAGATCTATAAACCATTTTGTTCTTTTTTCACCTTTTCTATTAAACAAGGTAAACACAACCGTATTTTATTCATAAACATTTTTAAACATCAATCATTAAAAATGTCGTACAAGAGAGATAATTTGAATTCAGCCTACTAGATTTGTGTGACATTGACTATTTCATTGTTCATATTATACTATGATTTATGCTAGGGCAATAAAACTTAGAGGAAAATAACAGTATTTATTTTTATGATCAGTCTCAACATATTGACATCAAAGCAGTTCTTACGAATTAGTTTCAAGGTGTCTCATTTTGAACCTTTAAAATAAACTGCAGTCAATTAGTTTATGATGTTTAATTCTTTTTTGATTGTTGCATGTTTAAAATCATGAACTTAATAAATATTTCAAGACCGTCGCTGATCTCGTGGAATTTTCCATTGTACATAAAAGCCGGTGTAGAAAATATTTGATTTTTCTCATCGTAACTGACCTCATTGTAATCCTGAAAATATGTTTAGGATTTAATTTAGGTTTTGTTTGTAGTTATTTCAAATAACTCACCTTTGATTCTACAGTAGCTCCCATATCTTTTGCAGCCTGAATGGCTCCATGGTGTGGCCAACCATCACATTTCACTGGAAAAAATTGTTGTTACATTTTGTATCAAATATAAATTAGAAATTTGTTTCTAAAATAAACATAATTTTCTGAGTTGCTTATTGTTAGTACATTGAAGGTCTATAAGTAACATTTCTAACATATAACTTACAGTCTTTTCCTAAAGTGATCCTAACATTGCCTAACACTCTTGCGACTAGAATTGGAGCTATACAGGCTAGTCCGATGGGTTTCTTTTCACTGTGAAAATTTTGTATGACTTTCACTACTTCAGGGTGTACTGTACATGCTGGACCATGAGTTGCGAAGTTCGATCTTCAAAGTGAACAAACTATTAGAACAATAAGTGGTTATATTGATTATGTAGTGATATACAAATTTTTTGCGACGCCGAATCCTCCAGGGAAGATGACTGCTTGGAATAAAGCTGTGGTTTCAAGCGAAGCGAGTTCTGAAAGGGGCCTAACGGGGCCTCTCGCTATTCTTGCTGATTCATCAAGCACCCCCCTCTTCACTTTCGGTTCAGGGTCTCCCTTTAATTCAACTTCAAATTAAAATATAAAAATGAAAAATACAGTGATGTACGGGGAGTATGGATAGCAATTAAAATACTGACCGTATTGTGATTTACGATTTCGCAGTGGGGCATTTCTGGAGCAAACATGACTGGATTTACCCCGGCTCTGGTAAGGTGGGAGAGAATGTGAGCAGCTTCATGGATTTCGGTTCCATCGAAAACACCACAACCAGAAAGCACCTAAACAAACAAATTTCTCCATCAGAAATTACCAGTCAGAAATTGTAAATAATTTTAAGAAAATATTAATCTAAGCTGAGAAAAATAAAATGTTCAATTGTATATGAATGTTAATTTGTTTTTATCAATTTAATTTATTCAGGACATATTAATACAAGACCACTTTTTTAGAATACGTATCCGAAGTGCGTAGCCAGTATGCAGAGAAAGGTTGCTCTACACCCACTTAACTGAAGGGTGCCTTTCTTTGGTCCCATATGGAACATGTAGGAATGCCACCTGATATGAGAAATGAGCACAGCAGTGAGTAACTGGGTCTCCTATTTTGATTCTTGGTGGAAACAGGGTTGTTTTATTGTATATAGTAATGATAAGTTTTGAGTCCCTAGGATGTGTTGAGAATGTATTTATTAACATGAATGTTTAATGTGAGAGGACTTGATGGCAGAATATTCAGTACCCCATCAATTATGTTAGTGTAATAGGTGAAAAGGGTGATGAAGGAATATCAAGTACTATACTAACCTAACTGAGTGAATGGTAGTGTAAAGTGTAAACTATTAATGGTGTAGTAACCTCAGCGGCTGGATCGATAAGATTGATCTCTGATTCTGGACTGCCAACACCCGGGGTGGATGATTCTTGAGGCCTGCCGGTAGTTTATTGCAAATTACAAAGGGGGACTACAAGAAGTGATAAGCTCTACTTTATAATATAGTGTGTATCTATCTACATGCTTGAGTAGATTTGAGCTTATTTACATCAGTAATAGTAAATAACAAGAGCAATTAGAGAAGGTATATTCCTCTTCAAAATTGGAATGCAATAAGTTTTAGCAAAATGTAAAAAGTTCACCTTAGAAGTGGAGTCATCTAATTAGTAATCTTTGCCTGTCTATTCTCAAGACAGTTGTTTTTTAAGTTATTGACAGTTAAACAATAAAATGCATTTCAAATATAAAAATGCAAGAATTATCTGAACAGGGTTATTCTCCAAAATTTAAATATAATTTAGAGAAAGCCACTTTAACCACTAGAAAAACTATAGTTTGTTATCCATAACTGGGTATATGCACAAAATATAGAAATGTAACAGTTTTCAAAGTAAATTAAAATTTACAATGAAATAATATAATAGAAAATGTACAATGAATAGAAAAGTATATTTATAAAATATATAAGAAATAATAATTGAAATAATGATATAATAATACACAAATAAAATATAATATATGAAATTGACAATTAAATTGTTTTAATAAAACTAACAATCATCATGACAAAATAATTCCAATCAATTCTTTTTATCTAAGGTTTTTGGTTGATATGAAAAATTAAAAAAGAATAATTAATATGGTAAATTATGACCTCTAAGCAAATACGGATTAATTTAATAAAAAATAAATCAATATCACATTAATACAATAAAATACTTGAATAAAACTAGGAATATGTGGAATATATAACATATGTACTAGTTTTATTACCCGGTATTGCCCAGGGAGAAAATAAAAAAGTGTCATCTAGTTGTTAAGAAGTTTGTACAACAATAGAGCCTCAAGTGGAAAATTATTCCTCAGATATTACAGTCCTGGAGGAAATCGAAACATTCGGACTTGTCTCATCAGACTTCTTAACTCATTTACCGTAAAGCCTGATGATGGATGAATGTATCGTCTTTCTCTCAACAGTAGGCCTAGGACGACCTTGTCCAGGCCTTCTGGCGTAAAGCCCTTTTTCTATAAAGCACCGAAGAAACCATCCTCTTGACTTTAGGGTGATTTACACTCTCCTGGCAACTTGGCACTGGCTGTATGCTTCCTCTAACAATGTTATGACCCTGACACTTTCATACTCACGCAAACGCCTTATTAGAGCCATTGAAAAAGGTTTAAGAATAAGAATAATATTAAATAAAATCAAAGACGGGAAATAATTAACAAAAAGTGACCTTTAGGCATAGCAGAATAGAAGAGCATAATTTATTATTTTTATGCAAATAGGATTAATCAGTACAAAAATAAATAAAAGAAGTAAACAAAGCATCCTTTATTGTCTATTTTGACTATGATAACTCTTAATTATCTAAATCTTAATTAACTAATGTAGAATTTTAAACTAAATAAATTAAGCAGTGGGTTAAATTTGTCCATCGGCCTAGTTATTAATGCACCACTTTTCCAGGTTAATTAGTCTAGACTGTAAATAAATGCAGTCAGATTCAGAATGAATTCTTTGGAAAATTTTGAAGCCATCCGCGAATAGGAGAAAGTGTGTGACATTAAGAGCCAATTCAATATTGTTAATGAAAGTATTCAACAGAAAGGGGCCTAAGTGTGATCCTTGGGAGACTTCAGAGGATGCAAGGAAAGGAGAAGAACGATAAATATTAATATTATTAAATAAATAATAAATATAGTCATCATGGATGTTGATTTAGAATTTGTTTATAGTTGAAGAATTATTTGTAACACATTAATGCAAGACCTGTCAGAGCTATTCTAAAAAATTGAAATGTTTAAAAATCTGTCTCCCACCACTAGAAATGGAGCCATCCAGATGGTTATCCATAACCAAGATCCTAAGGTCTATAAAGTTATTGGTTAAGCAGACTGACAATACTTACAACGGCGAACCTATCGTTCTGACAAGATTTGTTGGAGTAATTGTTGGTTTGACATGTAAAGCGTGCTTTAAGCAGCCTAGTGGCGAAAGTCCTCAGCATTTTCTAGGTACGTCCACGCCTGAAATTTTAAAATTTCTTTTCATCTCTTGGAAAGAAGGAAAAAGCCTGTCCGTTTTTACTTACTTGACAATTTTAACGTGTAAATTATTGTAAATGTTATTAATCCTTAAATGTCAAACTGAATGCCGTAACCTCCGAAAAATCAACAGTGCTGTCTTGATTCCCCTTTTTTAAATAATAAATAAATTGTTTGTATTTTTATATATTTAAATCATGGTCAGTTTCGCCTGTTGTCGTCGGTGTGACTGACTTTTTCACGTAGTACAAAATTAATTTTTCAATGTTAGGCACAGTTTGAACCACAGGAGAAAACCTTTCGTGCGGAGACTCGAAATTTCACTGCCTTTTATTTTACTGTCAATTCTAGAAACGAAAAATCTGAAAAACATCTCACAAAAATAGAAAAAAATGACTTACGTAGGGACGAAAAGATGCATCGATATAGCAGAACCCAAGAAGGCACGGGTGACATTGAAAAACGGCGAAAAGATGCCCGTCCTCGGATGTAAGATTCAAATTTTACAATTAAAATTAGTTAGCCGGCTAATTTTTTTCATTAAAAAAATGAAAAATCAGTTTCACATTTGGCATGCAACATTTAATAATAGGATTTCCATTGAAACTTCCTGTACAAGACAAAAATCTATTGCCATTCTCATTCTGCCAGTTGTTGGATTAACTGGTAGTGAAAAATATTCATTTGAAATATATTCTGACTAGCAATTTGTTTTACTATTTCAAAAGCTGAAATAGTGTGCTTTTTGGTTTTATAATACCAGAAAAATGAAATAAAAAGCTACAAGATTAAAAACATCACTCTCGTGCCTCAACCGGTATGTCAAACTGAAAAATAGGTTGAAAAACATCCATATTCCAAGTTATTTTAGACTTTTGATATTTCCTTTATTTTGGAATGTATTTCTACATATTGTGACCGATTTTTAACAAGATTCCTACACGAGATCAAGGTGAACTAGTCGAAAGGCTTCATTCGCTAACTCGTAACTCGCTTGGTTAGGGATTAAGTTTAGGGATAAAAGAAGTGGCAAGAAGACACATTCTGTACCTCGATCTGAGTTGAGCTGTTGTGCTCCTCAATTATAAATAGCTAGTCTTACATATCCTTGCCTAGCTGCTTTTAGTGCTTTAATGCTCCTCAGTGTAGGATCTTGCTTACAGCTTTTCCTCTCCTAGCAAGAAGAATCTGCACTTACAAAGACACCCACAAAAACATAAAATGTGTACTTCGGTCTCCTCTTTTCCTAGTTCTGTACAATGTTTCTTTCGTCTATATTGCTATCCAATGCATGTGCCTTCTTAGGCAGCAGAATCCTGGTTTTATTGTGGCTATTTCCTTCAAATAGTTCCTTTGTAAGTCTTGCGAATGACCTGATCTCTTCTCAGGCCTCATGCTGGGGTATTGCTCCATCAGGTTTTGGACTCATTAAGGATTCATTTCTGGATGTATGTAGGGTGGTGGGCCACAACAGAGTTCAGGGCCTAGATTATTCATAATGGCTCCTTTGTTGGTCAACTTTTAAGGCTCCTTTCATTGCTTCTATGTCCTGAATATCCAATTTTGTATCAATATATAAACTGTCTCCTCCCCTTACCAGTACCAATTCAATGTTTCTTCTTTCTGTACTCCTAGCCGGTGAATGTACCTTCTTAGGTGGCAGCACCCTGTCAGTAGTACAACCAGAATCCTGGTTCGGTTACAGTTGCTTTTCAGTAATTCCTTTATAAGTTTTGCGGCTGGCCTTTCTATCACATGCTTCATGCCTGGGGTATTATTCTACCAAACTTTGGACTTATTAAGGATTCATTTTAAAACATATACCCTTTTGTGGCAAGATGCTATGCTACAGTAGGGTTCAGGGCCTAGAGCCTACCTCTTTGGCCAACTTGTCAACCTTTTTCTTTGCCTCTATGCCCAGGGTCCCACGCTAGGCTCAGGTCATTGGTGACTTCCACCAGGGCTTCATGCATTTCCAAAAAATTTGTCTTCACCTCATGAGGCTAGGACCTTTAGTGCTGCCTGACTATCAGAGAAGATGGATATCTTCCGGGAAAGTATTCCTAGCTTTTTGATTTCTCTGGTGCAGTGTTCAATCATTATGATTTAAGACTGGAAAACTGTAGCGTATTTACCTAGGTCCTCCAAAGACTCCAGCCCTCATGCTCTTGTCAGTTTTTGAGCTGTCAGTGTACCACTAGGAATTTGCCTTTAGCGGTTTTCTTTGGTTCATTCTGGTATCAGTACCTTGTTCTTTTCAGTAAAGTTGTATTTTGGAGGGTGGCATTGATTGGCATGTCTAATATGACTTCTGCCTGAATCTCCTTCCTCAATTTCCATTGCTACACGGCCTATCCTTGCAGATGGTTTTCCAATTATGTGTCTGTGGGCTGCTACTCTGGCTTCTCCTTAGATTCAAATATGAAGTGGTGGGAGGTTTAACACCTCAAAGGCCACAGTTGGCATTGAGCTCCTGGCTCCAGTGACACATGACAAGCTTTAATTTAATAGCCTACACTATAAAGAATAAAGATCCAAATATTATATAGCAAAAGAAAAAGTTTTCCCAAAATATTTAATTTTAAAGAATATCGAATCCTTGAGTTACTCATAATGAAAGAGTTTTACACAATTCTCCCTTCCTAAATACCAAAATTTTTCATACAGATTCTCCCATTAAAACAATTTTTGTAAAATTCAAAATTGAACTTGAAGTAGTCCACACTCAGTAATATATTTTATTGGAAATTATTTAAATTATATTTCCAGTTGGCACATACAAAATGTCAGATAAGCATGTTTTGGAAGCGGCCTTAGAAACTGCCATCTCCAATGGTTATCGCTTGATTGGTAACATTTATTTTATTGCAGAGATCTTTATTACTGTCCTGTTTATTGGCCAACCCCAATAAATTTCAGATACTGCAAGCACTTATGACAATGAAGATTTAATTGGAGATGCTTTGAAAAATGTTTTAGCCAAACTGCAAATCAATCGCAATGAACTCTTTATAGTTTCAAAACTATGTAATATTAGATATATAACCACTTAGTGCAAAACAAGTATTGAATAAAAGTGAATCGTAAATTGCTTTTCAGCTCCCAAGGAGCACGGAAGGGACAAAGTTAAGAAAGCTGTGACGACTTCTTTGAAAAAGTTACAGCTTAATTATTTAGATATGTTTTTAATACATTGGCCAGGAGCTGGGAACTTAAAGCCGAATCATCCTCAAAACAAGACGTTACGGAAAGAATCTTGGCATGAGTTGGAGTCGTGTGTCCGAGACGGGCTTGTTAAGTCGATTGGAGTGTCGAATTATACTTTTCCCCATTTAGAAAATCTGTATTCATACTGTAGCATTGAACCATCAGTCAATCAAGTAATCACTTGATTTTTATTAATGTATTATTTTTATGTCGGACAATAAATTATTTGAATTTAGGTAGAGTTTCACATTCATTATCGGCAGAAGGACGATATAATAAACTTCTGTAGCAATAGGAATCTTTTGTTACAAGCTTATGGTTCATTTGGGGGCGAAGAAGGAGCAAATGTTCTATTAAATGATCCAACGGCTGTACAAGTTGCTCAAGATTTGAAAGTCACTGTGCCTCAGTTGCTGTTAAGGTGGTCTTTGCAAAAAGGCTTTGGTATGGGCTTTATTAATTGTAGAAATATACACTAGTAGAACACCAGTAATCCAAGCACTCAGTTCTGCTTGGTGAAGAAACTAGCGTAAGTTTATTTTATTCCAAGTTTTAAAACATACATTTAAGTATTTCGTTGATTTTTGTATCTTTGGATTCACCAATTGGATGGTGATTAAATTTACTAGAAAAAAAGAGTAAAAACCTAATAATAAATCCAAACAGAAATTTCATTTTTCATTACTTTTCCATCAGTAGAAAATCCTTTGCTATATACATTTGTATTGTGTAGTGGAAATATTATTGCTGTTTTCTTTCATTCATTTCATTTTCAATTATTTAAATATAAGACCATTAAACAAACATTTATTAACTATATCAAAATTTAAAAATCTGGAGTTCTACTGGCGTAGAAACATCATAAAATAAAGTTTTTATATGAATTACCATAATTTTATTATTTCAGCTGTAATTCCAAAATCCTCCAAGCCTGAAAGGATTCAGGAAAATTCCCAATTGAATTTTGTTATCCCTCCTGAAAAGATGAAGGCATTAGATGGCATAACAACAAGAAAAAAGTACGACTGGAATCCTGATGATATTGTCTGAATAATATTAGAACACATCTGTCTTTTTGCAAACTGCCAAAATACAAATAAATTTTAAATATACTTGGTTTGGTTTTTGAGCTGACATTCGTGTTTTTCATAAAAATGTTCAGTACAAAGATTCACTGAGATGTGAGACATTCAAATTATGCTTATTTTAAGTATGCTTTGAAGTAATTGATACAAAAGGTGTCCATAAAATCCAAAAATCTACTTCACTATGAAAAAATATTCTCTATATAAAATATATACCATTTAATTCATAATGTTGTGTTAGAAATTTGTTGAAAATAAAGCAACTGAGTCATGCAAAAACATTCTGATAACTGGGTCGTTTTAAATAATCATAAAATTTTTAAAAGCAAATTGGTAGATGTTTATACAATCGATATTAGGGCAGAAAATGTATTGTGATTGAGATGATTTCAATTTGACTGAGCCTGATCATAAAGTTCTCCTATTCCACTATATGATTTGATAAGACACTTGGTTCTTGGATTGAATCGCCTCACCAAGAAACATAAAAAAGGCAACACATGGTCATTTGTTGCAAGAAGTTGATGTAAGTTTTATGCTTAACCTCTGATGTCTAATTATCTGACATGAAACCTAATTGCACTATAAAACGTTTTAACTTCATAGAATAAGAAACTGCGTATTTCAACAACAGATCAGTAAATTTTGTGAAATGAAAGTTCTACAAATTAGTACAATCAGTCTTGCACTTGGCTTTTGGTAAAAGAGTATGTATTCGGGCTACTTAGTGAACCAAATTTGGTGTAATCTTTAGGCATGCCTAATCCAAAATTCATTTTAGTATGTGTATTTTGTGTTTTTTTTCTTTTTTTCAGCGGTGATGCCAAACAATACATATGAGAAAAGAAAACAACGATGGGAATAATGGACTTGACAGAAACACTTTTTATTTAAATATGTAGAAAAATATTTGATAAATGATTACTGTAAAATGGAAATAGCAGATAAAGTGGCTTCCTTGATCTTCTCTAAATATGATGAAATTGATAAAAAAGGGAAGCCAGAAGCTGGCAGAGAATGGACGTTGCTCTCTGGGTTTGTGTTTGAGTTGAATGGCAATTTCAAAGTTGTTTCTCTTGCCACAGGTACAAAGTGTTTAGGCAAATCCCAAGTCTGTCAGAAAGGGACAACTGTCAATGATAGTCATGCTGAGGTACAAACATCAATCTTTCACAAATTATTCACACTAGTTAAACTGCATTAATTCTAAATTTTCCTCTTTAGGTGTTAGCTCGAAGAGGTTTAATAAGATATTTATTGTTTGAGGTCAAAGAAACAAAACAAACTACGAGTTCCTTCGTTTTCACTGGGATATCACCTGGTGGTAAATGTGTATTTAAAAATGGTTTAAAGTTGCATTTTTTCACAAGCCATGTTCCTTGTGGAGATGCTTCAATAATTGATATGCCAGTCGAGAAGGTAAAAAAGGTCTTGCATAAGGTTTTCAATTTTTTTTCTAATTCATTCAAAATCTTGGAAAAAGATTGGTGAGAAGCGAGTTTTGAATGATGAAAAAGAATTAAATAAAGAAGCTAAAAGAATTAAATTAGATATACACAGAACCGGTGCTAAGCCATTAAAGCACAGTCCTATCCAAGATCCAAAGCAAGAGGGTCAAAATTATCATAAAAGAGGTGCTGTAAGGACAAAACCTGGCAGAGGTGATCCGACTGACTCTCTTTCCTGTTCTGATAAAATTGCACGCTGGATTTTCACCGGTGTTCAGGTATTATTATTAACTTGTGGTATGTTTAAAGGATGCCTCTATTTTGTTACATTGCAGGGTGCTCTACTTTCTCACTTGGTTGATAGAAATTTGCATATAAATTCAGTCATAATTGGTGGTGGATGTCAATACGATGAAATTATAATTAAGGGATCATTAGTTGGAAGAGCTTTGTGTGCTTCCTCGCCAAGCTTTTATCAGTCTCGGTTTGTTTTCAAAGATTCAAAACAGGCTACAAAGGCACAAAAGCCATGTCCAAAGAGCATCATCTGGACATTGGTCAATGGCGAGTATGTATAACAAAATAGTAATTTTATTATTTTTATAGTTTATTCAGTTGTTAGTAATAACATTTTTTTTTAAGGCAACACATTGAAGTTGGAGTTGAAGGGCGAAAGCTGGGTGCAACAAAGAAGAACTGGCTTAAAAGCTGTCTTACAATTTCAAGAAGGGAATTGTTCAAAGAATTCCTGTCGGTTGGTGGTGAAAAATTTATAAAAATGAGTTATAAGGAGGTGAAAAATTCCGCTGACGATTATAAGAAACTGAGTGATAAATTCAAATGTCTTATGGGAACCTGGGCTGTGGATAAATCCCAAATGCAAAATTTCAGCATTTCCACTCTGGATTAAATGGTTTTTAGGTTCTAATAAAGCCAATTTTTTGAAATATTTGTGTATGGTTGATCTCTATTTTATTTGTATTTATTCATTCTTTTTTAAGTTTTAAATACCATTATAAAGAAGTTTTTACAGTTTAAATAAATTTTTATGATATTGTTTTAAATTGGAGTTTGATATTGAAGTCAATTGTCATTTTATGTTGCTGAATGTTAATGAAATAAACAGTTAAATTAGAAATGTAAATAAATTTTTAAATTTTAACTTAACAAAATTACTTCCCTTTATTCTTTATTACCGTTATAAAATTAGGCACTTTAAAATTGTATTCACTTTAAAATTATAGAAAAAAAATCCAAGCCTAAAATAGGTGTATATGATATATAAAGTAATTTATTTTGGAAACAACCTTTATAGGTCAATTTCAATTGAAGTAAAATACCCATCGAAGCAAAATAATCATCAATATCAAAAATTGTTAAAACATGGCAAGTGCTTCTCTAGAAAAACTAGCAATTTAAATTAAGAGTAAATTAGAAATAATATATTCAATAATTATGATGTAATTGTAAAGCACTCCAGTTTCAAATTAGCTTAGAATTTTGAAGCTTAGAAATTTCCAATTTTCATGTACAAGTTATTGCCCAAGTTGCATTTACCTCTTTTTCATGAATGTCTTGTTTTTAAACCTTTTGTCCCATGCAGAAATATTGCTATTTGTTAGTAAAATTTACTTTAACATATTTAATATGTAATAATTTATTCTTTCTTTTTGCAGTATCAACACAATAATTTTGTGTCTCAGTTCATTGAAAGTTGGCCAATGCTCAGTTCTTCTTTTTTTAAATTTAATAAAATTAAAATTTGTTATATATCGGTGACCAGTCTCTCTTTATCCCACGTGACATAAAATATCTATTGTGGAATTTACCCTTCTTTATTTCCGAGTCAAAGTGCTCAACCTTTAAAGTAGTTTAGGACTTTCTGTGATTCTTCTTCACTTATTCTTTATGTATAATGAGGCTGAACTGTTTCTGCAGCAAAGCTCTGCAGTCACAAAGGACAGCTCTGATGTCTCTGCTTTTTCATGGTAGAGTTGACATGTTTCTGTATGTTTTTCCCAATTTATTGAAATGGTTATTAAATGACAGTGACCAGTTTAAATACTTATTATTTTATTTAGTTTCTGCCTGTTGAGAGAGTGGTAGTGTCTTGTTTTCCTGGTCGAGATATTGAGGTTTTTGTTTTGCACCTGGTTAATTTATCCATGTGCGTGGTCATTAATTTCCATGTCCATTTGTTCCGTTCTGCTCTTAGCATGCTTGGGGTGTGCCAATTTGCGGTTGTGGTTCAATGGGTGTGACGGCTGCTCCTGCCTTTGCTTGCTTGTCAGCTTGTTTATTTCCTTCAATCCCTTCATGTCCTGATGGCCACATTAGGGTTCCCTAATCCTCTAATAAAGATTCCACTATTAGTTTCAGTGTTTTTATTTTTACAATTATCTTATTTTATTTTTTGTTTGGAAGGGTCTGTCAAAGTTTTCTTATAATTCTTATCTTATAGAAGATGGTGCTATTTTACTACTATACATGATCATAAATGGTGATAAAGCCAACTAATTGGCCTGCAACAATAAAAACAATTATTATTTAAATATGAACATGTTTAAAAAAATATATGTGAGGGTTTGCAACAGCAGAGGTCATATCAACCCTTGGGGTACCAGTGTTTTTGAAAAAAAGTCCATTTGTATGTTGACTTTATTTGAAGCCGTCCTCAGGGCTATTTAAGTAAAGAAAAAAAAAGTAACAAAAATTTTTTTGTCTCCTTTAATGCCAAATATTACCCTTTGGTATGAATCACATCCATTAATGATTTCTGATAGAATCCTGGTGAATCAAGAACAGCCATTTTCAGCTTTTCTAGGGTGTTAGGACCTGGGTTTTGCCATTGTACTCGTAGCTTAAGTTGGTCCCAAATGTGTTCCAACCTCATAACTCATCTACAATACATGCTCAATGGGGCATAGTATTATCCTGCATTCGCAAAAATCTTTCACTAATGTGAGGAGCATGTGGCACTATATTTTCTTTGATTATGTCTTGTTCTGTGAAGTTAAAAGATCTTCATTGCACATCAACCAATTCAGGAAAGGCATCCAAGCAATACCACTCCAGAACATCCACCATGGAGTGCCACCTGAGGAGCCATAGTACATCATGGGGCATACTTTTTTCCTGGGCGTCTACTTTCACTTTTTTTACACAGTACAAAAGTGAAGAGAACATTAAATTTGTCCATCAATGTATTTATAAAGATAAAATTTTACCCTGATTCCATCAAGAATTTATAGTTCAGTTTAGCAATCTTTAGGCATACTTCAGCTTTTTCATGTTTTATCCAAAATGCACTGGATAGAATTCAAAAGCTTATGGATTACAAGCTATAAAAACCAACAATGTTAACGGGAAAGAAGATGGGTTGAAGGTGAAACAGAAAAAAATCCACGAAGAAATCTGTCTGTTTTTCAGCTTGTTAAAATTTTCAACTTACGAATATGACAAGCAAACAGTTCAAATTTCAATTACTTTATTTGACGTAATAAATACTTGAGTTGTGATTATTTTTTTAGGCTTCGGGAGAGAACACCGTTAGCAACAGTTAACTTTATGGCCATCTGTCACCTCCACTTGCCTAGTTTGTGTAACCGATTATTATTGCAGAATCCAGTTTCCACTGCAAGCTGTCATATAACTGTTAAGCAAGTAACCTCATACATAAACACAACATAAATCGTACAAATTACAGACTAAAACATACTAGCGCTGTCAAGGGAAAATGCCCTACTTCGGCGTGCAGGATGTCCTCGATGGCAAAGACGTCAAATCCTGCTACATCGAACTCAACAATGGGGATTTCATGCCTATTTTCGGACGTAAGACATTATTTTAATTCGATGTCTACCTTTAACTTGCTCATCAATTTCTACTAAAACAAATCTACGCGGGCTAGGGTTTTCTCTTCTAATCTACTTCAAAATTTCTGTAGATAATATGCAGAATGTTTTCAATAAACCCTTGGCTCAACTTTGAAAGTGAGGATTGGAAAATTTATTCACAATTCACATGCATTTTTGTTAGTTAATTATTAGTTTCTTACACTTTAGAATAAGGTATGTGTAAAATGTGTGTTTACATTTATACAGAACCAATAATAATCATATAGGTCATACGTAGATCAGAAGGTTGATAGGTCTATAGTTTATATTCATTAGGTCATTAGGTTTAGCTAGCAGGATTAGCTAATGTCTTGCCAGGTGTTTATATATATAATCCTCCTAGATATAGACCTATCAATCTTCTCATCACAATTAGCCAAATTTTTGAGAAAATACAGCTGATTCTCTGTGTCAGCATGGGCTTCATCCGGGACTAAGCACATCCTCCCAATTAGAGTTTTTGAATTTTCGACCACATCACATTAAATTTTAATTTGTTACTAAGGTTTTGTTTAGAGGCTTATAAAGTACAACTTAACAAATTACATTGTTAGGGTAATATATTATGCAGGGTGGGTGACCAAGACCCGAGGGGTTAAATGCCTGGGTAGACTCGTACCCATCCCTTAAAGTTCCGGGACTTGGTCGGCCCACGCGTCCTATATAAACCTCTTGGAACTGTTCACAAACCCCAAGATTTTGGACCATTTAATCTCGGGGAGTGATTTAGTGATATCCTTTCCTTCAAAAGTTTCAAATCTAGACCTAGAGTACCTATCACACTCAGCGAGGTAGTGCCTTGCCATTTCTTCTTTTATTTCGCAAAAACGGCAAAAGGGATCTGGTAGAATACCCATTATGGAGAGGTGTCTTCTCAGTGGGCAGTGGCCCGTCAGGATACCTATCAGCTTCCTAATTCTCTTCCTTGAGTTAGAGAATTAATCTTGTTTCATCTCCTTAACATATTCCTTTGATTGCCTGTGTCCAGGGGATTGATTCCATTCCCTAAGGAATTGTTTCATACCCCAGTTTTTAATACTCTCTTTCGCTGTGCTCAAAGAGTAGGTAATGCCAGTTGTGGCCCGACAAACACAGTATTAACGCCTTCTTTGGCCAGGCTTCTTCATTGCCATAGTGTCCTTTATGTGCTGGTATCCAAATAAGGGTTACCTTGTTCTCAAATTTGGAAGAGATTCTATTGATAAGATCTACAGTTTCCTCCACCAGTCTAGATGTTGACAAATCTTTTTGTAATGACCTAAGACTAGCCTGACTGTCAGAAAAAACTCTAAGTATCTTTTCCCTTGATTTTATTTTCTATAAGTGTTTTGCAACACGCATTAATGGTCCAGATTTCCGCCTGAAAAACGGAGGTGTTATTGCCAGAGGGGAGGAGATGCTGATTCCTAATTTAGGTATATGGATTCTAGCACCACTTCCTTTACCTTTGATAAATGGACCATCTGTATAACAGTCTATGTTACGATGGTCATCATCCACACTATAGTTATATTCACAAGGAGTGACTACCTGAAAGTACTTTTTCCCCGAAGGGTTGTTAGGGTAATACACGGCTACCTACAAAAAAGAACATTTACAGTAGGCTCAAATGAATTTGTCTCGCCACCACATTAAATTGTTGCTGGGGTTCCACAAAGTTCAGTCTTAGAGCCGACCTTGTTCTACATATTTATTAATGCACTCTCTTGATTGTGAAATTACTATGTACGCTGACAATATAGCACAATATTGTTCATCATGAAGGGTGAGTGCTATCGTTAATAAACTGTGTCGTAATTTTCACAGGAGTGTTAAATTTTGTCATAGGTGGAAACTCAGGCTAAATACTGCGCTATTGTTGCGCTCTTTTTTGTGTGTAAAGAATCAGGGATGAGCCACAAAAATAAATAAATAATTTATAAAACAATAGTTAGATAGTTATATGTGTTATTAATGTAACACATATATGAGTTATATGGGTAACACCAATGTACAGTATATAAATAATTCAAAATAAATTTTTAAGATTAATAACAACATCTACAAGGAGTACTAATATAAACTACATGCATGAAAATTTGAGGTATGTTTAATCTGACAGTTTTTGCATGATGTCAGTCAGAAATTGTAACTAATGTAAATAGCGAATTTATGTAAGAAATATATATTTCAACCACCAGCTATTTGTATTGACACATATATACCAATAGATGTAAACACTGTAGTTGCAAGTTCAAACTTGTTTGACACTCGTCACAAAAGTTGGCTTTTCTGTACTTTTCTGGCATTGCAATAAGTCTCATGTAAGCATGGACGACAAAAAAGAGTGGTTCAAAGCAGGATTTGAAGAATTAATGCATAAAGGTAAACTGGAATTATGGGATGTTAAAAGTAACATTTATAAAGACAAAGACAAGAAACAAGGTGCCTTAAAGGAAATGGCAGATTTAGAATGACAATAGAAGAGATTCAAAGGAAATTCACTACTTAACAGAAAATCAGAATTAAGTAGTTTAAGAACAAACTAAGTGTTTTTCATGTAATGCCTGGGTTTTTAAAATATATTTTTCCATAAACTATTTTATATTTTATATTTTAATATTTTAAAGAAAAAAGTGCAATAATGCCCTGAAGCCATCTGAATGTGTAGAGCAAGTATTTCAGTTTTTCCCATACTTTTGAGGTAGTATTTGGGCAGTGACAAGCAGAGTAACCAACCTAATGCCATTCATCAAGTGATAGACTTTATTTCCATTTTAAATTGTAATATTTTAAAATTATAGTATACCTACCATTTCAGTGTAAGCTTTTTCTTTGGCTTTTGTCTCATGAGCATACTCTGTGGGGTGCTTTTTTTTATGGGTACTGCACCTTCTTTTCTAAGTTTGTCAACTAATTCATTTCCTTCTACTGGCACCTTAATTAGAGTCATCTCATTACTTTTCTGAGGACCTAAAGATGTGTAGACAACTCCAATCGCTGTCTGGCTATCTGAGTTTATCTTACCAGAACATCTGTTAGTTCCTTTTCAAATAGTCTTTTCATAAATAATCATAAAACTCACCAAAAGTAACTATTTTTATCCCTAACAATGGTTTTAGTTTGTGTTTATCCTTAATATTTATTCTATATATAATATTAAAAAAATACTAGAATTTTTTTTTCAGTTGGTACTTATTTGCTGAAGGATGAGGAACAATTGACGCGAGTGTTGGAGACAGCTCTTTCCACTGGGTACCGTCTGATTGGTAACTATTGAAAATACATAGTCCAATCTTCAGGTAAAGAATGTTTTTTCCGTTAAGATACAGCGACTGTGTACCACAATGAGGAGATAATAGGGAAAGCATTGCAAGACTTACAAAAGCGACTTGGCATTGCACGATCTGAGCTGTTTATAACTTCAAAACTCGGTATTTCCCCTATTTGTCTTTCTGTTGACAATTAAAGAAATAAGATTTTCTTGCTAGCCCCGAAGGACCAAGGTAAAGATAATGTAAGACAAGCAGTGGCCACATCATTACGAAAGCTCAATTTGAGCTATATAGATTTGTACTTGATACATTGGCCTGGGGTAGACAGTGTGAATTCAAGGTCGGACAAAAACCCAATACTCAGAAAAGAGTCTTGGATCGAGTTGGAGAAGTGTGTTGAAGATGGTTTAATTCGATCAATCGGGGTATCGAATTATAATCTTAACCATTTAAAACAACTTTATGAACATTGCAAAATTCCACCGGCTGTTAATCAGGTATGATTTCCAAGTGTTTAAAACTTTCCATAGATAAATGATAACTGGTTTTTAGGTTGAATACCACTTGTATTATCGTTATCCAGAAGAATTTGTGGACTTCTGTACCTCGAAAAAAATTCTTTTACAATCATATGGGACGCTCGGAGGTGGAGGAGTGAAAGATTTGCTGGAAGATGAAGAGGTGATGAGAATTGCAAATTCGCTTGGGACCTTGCCTGCACAAATTTTATTACGATGGGCTTTGCAAAATGGATGGGGTAACTTTCTTGATCGGAACTTTAAAAGAACAATGAAAATAATTGAGACAATTTTGTTTTTCAGCTGTAATTCCTAAGTCCTGCATGCCAACTAGAGTGATAGAAAATTCAGAACTGAATTTTGAAATTCCGGAAAATGAAATGTCCTTATTGAATTCAATATCAAAAAGGATCAAGTATGCTTGGGACCCGAATTCGGTTTTATAAAAATATTATTATAATAAACTTTCGTTGAAGAAAAGCACAACAACAAAAATTCTAGTTTTTGTTTCCCTCTTCCCTTTGTGATAAACGTGTGTGATTACTACAAACTGTTACTATTGACATAATGCAATTGTAATATTGTAAATTTTAATTAGTTTTTTTAGAGAAGCTTGTTTATTTTATGTAAAAAAGATGAGAGAGATTGGTAAAGAGATTTGAGAAATATCTTATAAAAATTGATTTCATTTCACTGAAATAATAAACATTTTTTTTATACATTTGCAGATATAAAAATCATTGGGATTTGCTGTGAAAAGTGTAAAAATTGAATGCAATGCTTAAAAAAAAGAATTATTAGATAATTAATAGATTAATAATTAATAAGAAGAAATGATTTTTTTATATGAATTTTTATGTTTTTTAGTTGCTGGCATATATACTGAAACCGGAGATAATTTTTTTACATGATTTGATTCAATTTGATGGGGATTTCAAATGAAATAGAAAAAAATTCAATTTTAATCCTTGACGATTCTTGTTACTAATGCCTTGAGCTTAGAAAAGAAATTGATAAAACAACGCTTTGGTTTTATGTTGTAAAAGTTAGTTTTTATTCTGAAATATCATCAGAAATTTTCCCTTTTCATAATATCAGCCATTGTTGCTGTTACAAGTTGGAAAGTTGGAGTAATTAAGGATTTTAAAATGTAAAATGATTTCTTCAACATCAAAAATAAATATATCTATATTTACTACAGAAGAAAAGAAAGTAATGCACTATAATTTATCTATTTAAAAATCAAAATTTATTGTATTTATTTTTATCCACAATTTAAACAAAGGTTATGTCAAAACTGCTAAAAATATTGTACTACTTACCTCAATAGAATCAATTTTTTTTTATTTTTAAGATTATTAGAGGATTCTTAAGAAAGAACAATTATTTGTTTTTATTATGCGTTGGTATGATAAGGAAAGATGATGGTGCACATTTTATTGATATGTTAAAGAACTGTTTCGTGTTTTAATTCTTCGCTAGCTAGAATAATTATTTAAACAACAAATTTTATAAATACACTTTTACCCAGATATGTATTAATCAAAAAAAAAAAAAAAAATTTAATGTTCTGAATCCAATTCTACCAACAAGAAACAACGTACTAATTACATTTTGTTTTCAAGAAGGAGATACAATATATATATATATATATATAGAATTCTTTTATAATCACAAAAGATCTAAACTATAAATGTATTTTTGACATTTAAAATTCTATATCATTCATCCAAAATAAATAATGTTATAACAAAAACTTTTTAATAATTAGATTAGTCTTATTAAAATGGATATTGAATTTTAAACAAGAAAAAATATGTGGGAAAACATTTTTTGATTTTTACATTAATAAATATAAGTGTAAATAAAAAATATTTTATGGCATATATATATAATATATATCAAATATGTATATATATTATATATATTACATTTCAATTACCTACATTCTATATTCATTTTTATTGATAAGATATGGTTGACATTTATGGTTGGTTATTTTATTAATTAATAATCCAGTAGGGCCAAGGGACAATTGTAGGTGGGGGGAGGATAGGAAAAATATTTAATAATCTATAAGAGATCTGGCTCATTCAACATTTGATAATCTTCAAATGGATCCATCATTCCAGCTAACCTCTTTTCTCTTGAATCCATTGCATCTTCCATTTCTAAAAAAGAAAATTAAAGTGATTAACATCAAATAAAACTTTTTGATTGGTTACATTAAATAAGCTAATAGGATGTTGAAGTTTAAACTTGTACATCTATTATAGAAAATAGTGCACAAAACCACATTTTGACTCAATTATTAAATTAGATCGATTAAAAATTGTCTGTGGTTCTAGAATTCATAAATACCTTTGGACTTTATGTGATATCATAAATGTTTCAAATCACGTAAATAAAATGCAAGAAGGGTGTTTTTAAAAGCTGAACTCACTTAAATTCATTGCTGTTTGTATCAAATAACTTGATAAAAGGTTTTATTAAAAGTTTTCACGACTTCTGTATATGTAATTTATATTACAGGAACTCTATATATATCTATATTATATATAGATAGAGCTGGGGGTTTAGAAATAAATAATAAGAAGAAAAAATTTGGTGAATCCTAGTCAGAAAGAAGATGCTTGAATAGTTGAAGACTTCTATTTGTTATGTCTATAGAGTAGCTCAACCAAGAATTTTTATATCTGCATCTTTTCGAAATATTATAAATTCAAGGAAACATCTGCAAGTTAATTTTTTGCATTTATTATGATTTTAACAACTAATATTTTTAGGTGCTGCAAGCAGAGTGGTTGTGACAATCTAGCATGTTGCACATGATAGAAGTCACCCAGCAGTGACACTCTCTCATATTGAGTTGATCAATCAACCACTTCAAATAGTGTGTGGGATTTCCTGGGAATTTGGGACAAGAAAACTATTGGACTAGTATATTGGAGGTGAAAGTTTTTGCATCGGGATTTAATTATGAAAATTAAAAATTGGATTTAGAGCTCATTGCGGATTGTTAGGTTTGAAATGTAGAAGGGACAGTTTAATATTTTTCTTCATATTTTTGATTGGATGGATTGGATTCTGTAAGAATTGGATTTTTTCGTTGAACCCCAAACTTCAATGCTGTATATCCATATACATTGTCAGGAGGGTCAAGTAATCAAAGGAGTAGTTTGTAGCATTGGTTAAGTTCCTATCTTTTCAGTCATATGGGCATTCCTCGTCTTTTGTCTGTCAGGTAGTGCATAATATCTGAGGTTGGAATGGGCGTTCCATTGAAATAGACTGTACAACAAATGGATTTTCGGGTGTAAATGTGATGTGGGTGAATTTAATTTTGTTAATTTTTATGTGTGGTTTTTACTGATTGTTAATTAATGATTATTTGGAGATCGTGAGATGCAGTCTGGTGTGATGCAGGTTTAGAAAAGCATTTTCTTTATTGTGCCGACGTTTCAATCTTTATTGAAATCATCTTCATGGCTCAAAGTGTTTGTTTTCTGTTGATGTAGATGTGTCATTATTGTGTGTCGTGTTGAGAGGCACTCTCGAGGCAAGATCAAAACGTTGGCATGATAAAGAAAATGCTTTTCTAAACCTACATCACACCAGACTGCATCTCACGATCTCCAAATTGTTGTTAATTTTTATAATTCATTTACGAGACCAAGACTGGATAAGATGACAGGATGGCTGTGTCATCAGCTAAAGAGTATATAGCACTGTTAGGGAAAACAGGTATGTCGTTGTGCATATTGTGAATAGAATTGGTCGTAGGATGCTGCCTTGAAGGACACCTGATTTAATGGAAATATAAGAAAAACAGACAGCCAGTGATGCGGCAGTACTGTCTGGCAGATAGAAGGAACGTGAAAGGAAGGAAACCCTTGAGCTTCAACAGCAAATTAGAGTGCCATACCCGATCAAACGTTTGGCAAGATGATCAAATCAACAAGGTTTTACAATTTTCTACAAGTATAAATGTAAAATTTATACTGCCTATTCCCACTGGAGTAATGAAGACAATCCAAAATGAAAAACAAGTTGCCATGTTAATTATTAATAATCTTAAGTTATATTGTTATGATCCGAAAGCGTTTTTGTATTTACTCTGCATTGGTTTATTACCTCGTCTAGATTCTGTTAGAAACTGAAGGAGGGAGTCGATGTCGTCGGGAGTGTCCTTCTTTCCTCTTAGGCCGAGAAATCCGCTCGGCCCTTTCTTTCCTCTCATGCCAAAAAAGCCGGCGTTCGACGGTCCTTTCTTTCCTCTCATCCCGAAAAATCCCGAAGCGGGAGCTTTTTTACCCCGCATACCAAAGAAACCCGACGCGGGGGCCCGCTTCTCTTCCTCCTGCAAATAGTCCCAGCCGTCTTTCTTCCCTCGCATCCCGACGAAGCCCATTGTCGGGCCTTTCTTCCCTCTCACGCCTTGGAAACCCATCGGCGGTGCCCTCTTGTACTCCTCGACATCGTAGTCAGACACGTCTTCCTTCTTCCCTCTTAAACCCTGGAACCCAAGCGTAGGCGCCCTTTTGAACTCTTCGTCTGTCCCGTCTTTTTTACCTCGTACTCCCAAAAACCCCAACTGTCTTCTTTCTTGGGCCAAGCATGCGCTCAACAGACAGGCAAATACAAAAGCCCAGCCGACAGACATCCTGAAACACAGACACCAAATAAATTAAAAATAGTAATTATAAATAAATTCATACGTGAAGCAGAGTATAGCATCCACAAAACCTATACTCAGCAAAGTAAGGCAGTTGCAGATATTAACCCCTTGTTCTTAACCAGCAGACGAACTTCATTTCATTTAAATTAGTTGTTGGCCTGGTAACTAAAAAGTTTAATTATATTCACCTTTTTCCATATAATTTTTTTGTTTTTTACTTCTTCCCAATCCTAGGTGAAATATTTGAACGCCTCCTGCTCAAAAGATTGATTAATCGCCATATTCAACACCCATAACATCACTCCCGTCCATCAATTTGGCTTTAGACCTCTCCACTCTGCTGTCCAGTCGACACAATATCTTCTGTCGCAGAAATTAAGTATTTATTATTTACTGCTCGGTCGTTTTGCTAGATGTTACGCCGGTATTTGACAATGTCCAGGTCTCATTTTCAAATTAAAACGTATTTTTCTCCACATGTACTATCATGAAGTCTTACCTCTCGGTTCCTCAAATGTGTAGAGGTCTATTTCTGGTCCACATACCGGGTTGATTTAAGCCAATTTTTCTTCCGGGGTGCATTGAGCATCAAAAAAAAAAAAAAAAAAAAAGATTGTCTAGAAACAAGTTGCGATTTTAATTCTTACAGTTCCCTGTTTTTTTTTTCTCACGAATAACCTGGATGACGGTATAGATTTGATAAAAAAGCAAATTTAATTGTTACTGCCAAGCTTTCGACCTTTCATCAAAGTTATCATCAGGGCAAAACAATCTTAAATATGTCTACAAATTGAAATAGTTTTTAATAGACGAATTCAAATTTCCTTCATTGCCGAGGATTGTTCATGGATTAGACCATAACGTGGTTAAGAGTGGTCGATACATTAACATTTAAAACATAAACTTCTTTTTTCTACCAAAGTTAGCAAGTTTAAGTTGTTTAAGACTATTCAGTGATGGTGTTTTTGTGATTCGGATTGATCATTTGTGAAGGGTATTCGATTGTCCATATTCTTATGAAGGAAACTTTGCATTTCCAATATGTTTAGCTTTGTTATTGCAAGTCAAAACCACTTTTGATTATGTTCAAATTCAGTTTCAAATTTCCGATGTGCTCTTGGCGAGCGCATTTCTCAATTATTGTTATAGTTCCCAAACTGCTATCTCCTGTAGATGAATTAGCTCCGCAGTATTTCGCTTAATAATTGGGGGGGTTTCTATTCATGCAGGATTTACAGATTAACTTGTTCATTGATGATAATCTTCGTTAAATGCAATTTGAATCTGTGATGTCAGTGGCTTTATGCTTCCTCCTATCCATACATACAAAACCTTTTCTTTATAGCATTGTGCCTGTTTCCAGTATGAGATTTCCAGTTCTTGGTATGTTCTATCTAATCTTCTTTTCTAAAATAATGAATAGCGTGCATTCTTAGTCTTCGAATTGTTAATTATTCAAATCAAGCTGTATGGTAACAACGCTTTTTTCTAGACGGAAGGATCATCGGGAAAATTTGAAGTATCGTCGGGAATGACGTTTTAGGAGAAAGTACTTCTTGGCACGGAAGATGGAATTTCCGGTTTGAATGAGGGAAGCCTTCTGGCCATTGACGATGACGTCCAGGCTAGGCCAAAACAGGGAGATAATCCCGCAGCCTCAACTCATTTGGAAGTTTTTACGATTTGCTTGAGAAACGGCCAAAGGGCGTTGAAAAGGTCATTGAGAAAGATGAGAGACATGCTTAAAAGGGGAAAAAATTAATGAAATTACCAAGAATATGGAAGACGTAAGGGCGAGAAAATTCATTTATATTAGTAGTAATAAATTAATAAAATATTCCAACATTTATTTGACGTTGGCTTTTAATTAACTCTCTGGAAAAGCCAAGTTTTTAAGTGTAGCCGTTTAAAGACAATGGTTTCGGGCCTCGGAACAGTAAATTTATTCGAATGAAGACCTGTATTACTTTTATAATCCATACTTTCTCATTTTTTACCTCTCCCTTTTTTTTGGGTCTTCATTAACAAAAAAATAGCCATAAGGCAATAACTAAAGCGTCGTTTATTCCCGCACACTAATCATCCTTATCAAATGACATATTTGTTTTATAAAACTTACCCTAGCATATTTTCTCTAACAACTTTTGTATTTAAACGGACACATTTACAAAAATATATTACAGACGTAGACGAGTGGAATTATCCGTGATGTGTTATCCGCGCAACGAGTAGTAACAACTTTAATCCAAGGATGAAATTTGAAACGCCTGTAGCTTTATGTTCCAATGATAATTACAAAATTAATTATTTAAAAAGATAAGCTCTCGGAAGTATTTTCAAAGAGGTTCTAACACTACCCGAACTCGGTTTTACGGGGTAAAAGTTATAATGAGTTTTATAATTCGTTAATATGGATGTGCGATCGCTGGGAAGATTATCAGACCCTTTTTCCTCGTGTAAACGCTTTTGTTCCCTCTAGACAAGTTTGTGTGCAACTTTTCTATTAACTCTCATTTGAAATTTAAAACTACATTGTACATATTATAAATAATTGTTGGACGAAAACCACTTAAAAGAATTTCCGGTGATAACCTCCTTTACATCACACTTATTAACCACCCTCTGTCACAGAAAGTGTCGAATATCAAAGGTTACATATTAACTGGACACTCATAAAAAGTCTATTTGCGACAAATAAAACATCTTTTTCTTAAAATCAACGGTTAGCAATTATTATCGAAAGGTTGAAAAATCCCAAATTATCCGTGGTTGAAATATTTTATTTATTTTGTCTATTACATGGACGTTTCGGGCTTGCGGCCCATCTTCAGGACCTAAACATGGAAAACCTCATCGTACAATTGCCATCCGAAGATACACACATAAGCAATTTACAATTTTTTATAAAAATAAATATACCTGGACTATCCCACATATACATATATATTTCCATCCCATTTTGAGGGGGATGCCATCAAAATGGACAAATAAAACGATAATAATAAAATGAACCCTTTTCTATGTGCAATTTTTGGCATTAAACAACGAATTGGTTATCATTTTCTTATATTGAAGATTGAAATATTAAATGTATATTTAAAACTATGATTATATTCAAGCAAATGATTCACTTATTAGTTTTACTTATTTATTTAGTTTCACGATAGAGGTTTAGAGATTAGGTAGTTATGAAATTGGGGTAAATTTTTTATTTGTATTTATACCAACTCAAACTAATACTAACACTCATCATGAGTATATTTTTCCAATGTTTGGAATATTTTCCGTTAAGGATGCTTGAAGGAGAATGTAGTCTGACGAAGGTGATGATGAAAGGAGACTAGGAAGTGATGGTTTATGTTCCCCAAGCAGCCTTCTGCCTTACTGTACTTTCCTAGTTCCTTGTGGCCATTCGATCCTTCTTTTAAGGAGTACTATAGTATTTTCTGTCGTATCTCATCGTAACCGAAATACGTCATATGTCAGAATTGGCTTCTGCAACTTGAATAGTGGAATCCTTTACCCCCTCCCAAAAAAAAGTACAAAGTAGAGAAGGGACTGTTTATCTTGCTTGTTTGTTAGAGTTGAGCCAATAAATATTTTTTCCGAGATAACTTTTTATCAAAGGTTTATAATTTGGGTTAACAACAACGAGCTTATTTCCAGGCGAAGTTGAACTTTCAGCGAGGTCAGCTCGTCTACAACTTTTCTTCATGCCCTTTTCACTTTTCTCTAATTCGTTTCGGCGATTACACTTGGCTGTGAAAAACGTAGTTCGTTTGACAGTTGTCAGTTCGGCTCGTTCGCCCTGAGCCTCCCTCTTTTCCGCAAATTTGAGCCACAGCCAGACGTATAGAAATGATGAGTGGTGGAGTGTGTGTGTGTGTGTGTGTGTTGTTCAATCTTTTTAAAAAGATAGTTCCTACTCACGGTTACTTGTTTGCAACTATCCGGATTTCAAGCTTTTAGCTCTTAAAATTCATATCGAGAGACGTGTTTGTAAATTCCTTACACCTGATGATGAGCTGTAAGCTTGAAATCCGGACTAACTTTGAGTCGGATCTATCTTTTTAAAAAGATTCAAATTCAGACGGTCTCTTAAAATTTTCTTCGACAATAATTTCGCAATATTGCCAGGATTAACGGCTTTAATTTAATTAACGTCTTTTTAATTAAAGGAATTTTAAATAAGTGTTGAACCAAGAAGGGGGCTTTGTAATTGTAGTTACCGGTGTTTCACCTCTTTTGATCTAACGATCAAATTCGATGTTTTATAATAATTTTGAATTTTACACAATTAAACTTGATTTAACATTTGCTTAATTGAGATCTCTTTGTAAAACAATTTTCTACTTTATTTATTCGTACTGTTTTACCAAGATGTAACAAAAATTCACAACAGATCGAAAAACCAGGCCTCCATCACGAGGTTGCATAACTTTCTCCGATATGTTTAGATAGATTTCTTTGTTCTTATTTTTTTATTCAAAACAAGAGACCAACTTCTATGGAAAGTACTCTCAAAGTTTGATGTTACTCCGAGCTCGGTTGTTGCAATAGTATTACGCCGTCTTATTGTCTCATTCCGACGCCTTCCAATAAAAAGTTTTCCGTCAAAAAATATTTGCTTATTTGCTAAAGGTAGATTTTTCCAATCAGAGAGATAACTACTTTTTATTTGGAATTAACGTCATCGTTTTAAATTAATCTTAGATCACAATTGTGTGTAACATAACAATTGTGAATAACATAAGAAAGGGGGTTTTCAAGGCGCATTTTAACCCTATAAAGATATAGTAAAAATATTGCATGCCGCCGATCGGTTTGATCATGATTGATGTCACGTTGTTCATGATTGTTGGGTTTGGTCGATGTGTTTTATTTTAACTCCCCTCGGTTTTAGCGGCTTATATGTCTGATAAGCACGTTACAGTCTATTAAAAGATTGTTTGAGCTTGTTTTTCTCGGTGGTAAATAGTAGAATTTTGAAGAAAATATGCGCCATGG